AAAATCCCAATGATGTACTTTACTGAAATACAGAAACAGTCCAAAAGTTCATATGGAATAACAAAAGACCTAGAATAGCCGAAGCAAGTCTAGGCAAAAGAACGCAGGAAGAATCACGATACCAAATTTCAAGCTCTACTATAGAGCCATAGTAACAAAGACAGCTTGGGACTCGTACAAAAAGAGACCCGAAGACCAATGGAACAGACTAGAGGACCCAAAAACAAAGCCACATATGTACAGTCAGTTGATATTTGACAAAGGAGCCAAAGACATACAGTGGAAGAATCATGGCCTCTTCAACTATTGGTGCTGGGAAAACTGTGTGGCCCCATGTAGAAAAACGAAAGTGGACCCTAGTCTATCACCATGCACTAACATCAACTCAAAATGGATTAAAGACCTTAACATCAAACCTGATACTCTGAAACTACTGCAGGACAGAGTAGGAGAGACATTTGAACTTATAGGCACAGGCAGGAATTTCCTGAGCAGGAATTTCCCAGGGTCACAACAAATTGGAGAGAGACTGGACAAATGGGACTACCTTAAAATAAAAAGTTTCTGCACAGCTCAAGACATAGCAACCAAACTAGAAAGATTGCCAACTATTTGGGAAAAAATATTTACCAGCAATATATCAGACAAGGGTCTAATATTCATTATACGCAGGGAACTCAAGAAACTACCCCCTCCCAAATCTAACAAACCAATCATGAAATGGGCAAGGGAACTAAAGAGAGACTTCTCAGAAGAGATAAAAATGGCAAAGAAACACATGAGGAAATGTTCATCATCCCTGGCTGTAAAGGAAATGCAAATAAAAACAATCCTGAGATACCACCTTACCCCAGTTAGAATGGCCCACATCCTAAAGTCAGCCAATGACAAATGCTTGAGGGGATGCGGAGAAAGAGGAACCCTATTGCATTGCTGGTGGGAATGTATACTAATACAACCACTTTGGAAAACAGTCTGTAGATACCTCAGAAAGCTAAATATAGACCTCCCCTATGACCCAGCCATACCACTCCTAGGCATCTACCCTGAGCAACAGGAACCAGTATACAAAGACACATGCGCCTCCATGTTTATTGCAGCACTGTTCACAATAGCCAAGATATGGAAACAATCCAGATGCCCCACTACTGATGAATGGATCCAAAAATCGTGGTACCCATATACAATGAAGTATTATGCAGCCATTAGAAAGGACAAAATAATGGCATTTGCAAGGAAATGGATGGAACTAGAGCAGATTATTTTGAGCAAAGTAAGCTCAAACAGCACATGTAAGTAAGAGACAAACGGCACAGTCTCCCTGATATGAGGATGCTAAAGCCAAAATACAAGAAGATATGGCAAACAGGATTCAAGAAACAAAAGACAGCCACCCATTTTGTCATATCATTGCTAAACGAATCCATGTTCTGGACCATATATATGGTAGATATATGCACAAAACAGAGGGAAGACAGGAGGAGGAACAGAATAAGTGGGAACAGCCCACATTAAGCAAAAGGAAAGAAATGTAAACATCACCTGACATGGAAAAAATAACTTGTAATGTCAAAGTTCATAGAATTCACAAACTATATAGACCATGATAATGACAATTTGCCTTGTGAAAATTAAAATGTGTTTGCGATTCTAACTATCACTATTCCACAATACTGTGAAGTATGTGAAATTTATGTAATCACCAAATCTCAATGAAAGAAAAAAAAGTGAAAGAAGGGATGGGTTAAGAGAGGTGGGTGACAATGTTGTCAGACACTTTGAACTCATATACTGTTTTGTAGAATGGGAACTTCTTTGTACAACTACTTGAATTAAAATAAATAAATAAAATGTCTTATGCTGAAGGAGTGTGCCCTTGAGGAGCATTCAAAATAATCTTGTTGCAAGATCCTTCACTTGAGTCACACTTGCAAAGTCTCCATTGCATATATAGAAATAGTCATAGGTCCCAGAGATTCAGACATGGGTAGATTTGAAGAGTCATATTCAGCTTAGCATAGCAATTTTGTATATAAACACTTGTTCAACAAGTGTTAGGACAAAGTCAGTCACTGGAGGAATGCTTTTGAAGGCTTGCCCTTGTCCTTGGCATCTAGGAATGGGGCCATGGTTTCTACTTCCAAACTATGAAGTGAGCAGCCTTGTTTTCCACATGCTCTGGTAACCATGATATTCTGCCTTGCCTCAGGCCCAAGACAGTGGAGCTAGCTGGACAGAAACCATAAACCCAAATAAAGCCTTCTTAAGTCCTTTTCCTCAGATGTTTTTGTAACAATGACAAAAACTAACATACACATACCTACAAAATAATCTTAAATAAATCAGGAGGATGAACATTCAGTTCAATGTTCTAAAGTCAACTATTTAAAAAGAGGAAAAGGGGATAAAAATACAAAAGAGGATAGAGATACAAATCAATATTTGAGTTTTATAAGTCAATAATGGATGTTTATAGTTCTTAGATTAATCAGTAGAAGAATTATGAGATAGGGCTGGAAGTGTAATTCAGTAGCAGAATGCTTGCCTGACATGATTAAGGCCCATCCAGACCCCTGCACTGAAAAAAAGGTATTACAATACTATATAATTTTCAAGCATATAGAAGAAAGGAATAGAATAGCAAAATTCCAATCAATCTGAAAACAGTCAAGAAAGGAGAGAAGAGAGAAAGTGTGTGTGTGTGTGTGTGTGTGTGTGAGTGCACGTGTGCACAAGTGGGTGCTCCTATATGCCATACCAACCCCTCCCCCCAAAAAAACCAACAGTAACACTGTTTAAGCTCAAGGGTATTAGTAATGTAATACTCCAATTAAAAGACAGATAAAAGACAGTTCATATAACAAGAACAAAACCCAAGCATATTGTAGTTATAAGAGACATCTAAAGGATATAAAGGAAATGTAAATAAAAACAACTCTTACCCCAGTCAGAATGGCCTATATCCTAAATTCAAACAATGACAAATACTAGCAGAGATGCAGAGAAAGAGTAACCCTAGTGCACTGCTGGTGGGAATGTACACTAATATAACCACTCTGGAAAGCAGTCTGGAGGTTCCTCAGAAAACTAAACAGATCTTCCATACCACCCAGCCTTACCACTCCTAGACATCTACCTGAGCAACAGGAACCAGGATACAAGGACACATGCACCTCCATCTTCCTTGCTGCACTATTCACAATAGCCAAGATATGGAAACAACCCAGATGCCCCACTACAGATGAATGGATCAAAAAATTGTGGTAGCTATATACAATGGAATATTATGCCACCATTAGAAAGGACAAAATAATGGCATTCACAGGGAAATTGATGGAACTAGAACAAATCATGTTGAGTGAAACAAGCCAAGATCAGAGAGGCATATGGCACATGGTCTCCCTTATTTGTTGATATTAAATTCAAAATGTAAGGAGATATGTCAAAGTAAACAGGACTCAAGAAAGAAAAGAACGAGGGGCTGGGAAGGTGGCTCAGTGGTATAGTGCCTGCTTTGCATGCATGAGGCCCTGGGTTCGATTCCTCAGCACCACATAAGCAGAAAAAAAAAGCCGGAAGTGGTGCTGTGGCTCAAGTGGTAGAGTGCTAGCCTTGAGCTGAAGAGCTGAGGGACAGCGCCCAGGCCCAGAGTTCAGGCCCCACGACCACACCCAAAAAAAAAAAAAAAGAAACAAAGGACCTCTTCTTAACTTGTTGTATTGTTTTTAGATGACTCTATGTTCTTTACCCCACATATGGTATATACATGTGCACATCTGAGGGAAGCTAGGAGGAGGGCACAGTATCAGAGGGAAACAAGTGAAAAAATACAGCAGAGGGGCCATCAGCTGCACTGGGCATTGATGAAAGTGAAGCAAGCAACTCAAGGGCAGCAATGGGAGGGAGGGAATGAGAAGGAAAGAGGGAACAGCTGACACTAAGCAAAAGGAAAGAAACGTACATATCACCCAATGTGGAAGAAATAGTTGTACTATCAAAGCTTATAGAATTCACAAACATTATAGACCATGATAATGACAATTTGACTTGAAAAGGTTAAAATGTACTTGTGACTTTAGCTAAGTATAAGTATCCCACAATTGTGGAGCACATGGGCAGCAAAGATGGCGCTGAGAGGGAGTGGAGTGGCAGAGCCCGAGTTGTTTATGTTAAAATCTGACTGGGTACCACAACCAGGCGAAGTGACGTCAGTGCATGACAGCTCACGGACAGCAGGGAAAGTATAGAAAGCTTAGGCACATGATAGGGTGACTTCTATGGAGATTGGTTGGTTCCTTTTCCTCCCCTTCTATGCCACTCGGTTTTTTGCTTTAAAAAGTGTTTGCGAGTTCCTGCTTGACTTGACTCCCCTGTGTCTGATTGTCTCTGGGGCTAAGGGAGGCTGGGGAAGGGGCGAGCAGTGCACTTACCTTTCCTTGGACCACAGACGAAGACCCAACACACAATATTGTGAACTTTCTGTAATCACTTAATCTCAATAAAGAAATAAGAATTGCATAGATAACAGTAAAAAATATATTTGATAAACTCTGTATAAAATAGGCAAATAAAAGTTCTTGAATAGCTTAAGTAAGCTATATGAAAGACAATAGATGGGGAAACCTGATAGAGTAGATATTAAAACACACTACAGGGGAGATGGGGGGGCAAGTGTATAAACCAATAAATGTAAGAGTCACAAGACAAGGACCTACATGGGAGGGAGTAAACAAAGTGGAAAAAGGAAAAAAGTTACTTTGCTCAACTGTTACCCCTTTTTAGGGATACTTGTGACTATAGTAAATGCTGTTCAGAATCAAAAGAAGCAATTTCAACAGAAACTTCTGGCCACTAAGCTTCTGAATGAAGAGATTCAGAAATAAAAATTGTCCTTTAAATCCAGCACTCATACATTTAGTAAATATATACCTGGTGCCAACCCTGTAAACAGTGTTTCCTAATAACCCCTCACTAATAACCCCTCCACTCCCTGCTCCTACCTGTTGAGGCCTCTGCCTTGACTGCTGATGAAGAAGACTCATTATTTGTGTTATTTCCAGTTCCCCAAGGGCCTACATTAGATTCCATTTTCCCTTTTTCTTCCATATTCTCTATGGTGCCTGCCATATTGCCCATGCTCTTTTGCTTTCCTGCTGGTATCTGGAGCACTCGTGCTTGAAGTTGTTTGAAAGCCTCATGAAATGCCATTTCCATTCGAATATCATTGTTTTGAATTTCATAGTACAAACCTGAGGAAATATTTAAAATGAATACGATAGTTTTTTTAATTTTAATTTTACTGTAAAGGTGTTGTACAGAGGGACTACAGTTACCTAAGTAAGGCAATGAGTAAATTTCTTATTGAACATTGTTACTCTCTCTTATTTTTCTCCCAAGAGTATTTTTTGTTGTTGTTGTTTGGTTGGTTTTTTTCTTTTGTGGGGGTGGGGTGGGGTGAGTTGGTCATGGGGCTTGAACTCTGGGCCTCAGCGCTGTCCCTGAGCTTTTCAGCTCAAGGCAAGTGCTCAACCACTTGAGCCACAGCGCCACAGTTTTCTGATGGTTAACTCAGGATAAGAGTCTCACAGACTTTCCTGTCAGGGATAGCTTTGAACCGTGATGATCAGATCTCAGCCTCCTGAGTAGCTAGGATTATAGGCATAAGCCACTGGTGCCCAGCTATTTGATTTTTTAACTGTATTTTTGTTTGTGTTTTTGTCTTTTCTTTTTTGGTAATGGGAATTGAAACAGGTTGCACTTGCTAAGCAAGTGCTTTGCACTAAACTATATCCTAGTCCTGAATATGATAGATTTCTTGACATCATATAATGAAAAACTGCAACATATAACTTACTTTTCTCATATTTTTCTTGAAGTTTAAGAACTACTTGAGCTGGGTGCTGATGGCTTATACCTCTAATCCTAGCTACTTAGGAGGCTGAGATCTGAGGACCACAGTTTTGCCAGCCTGGGCAGAAAAGTCTATGAGACTCTTGTCTCTAATTAACTCCCAGAAAACTGGAAGTGGCACTGTGGCTAAAAGTGTTAAGAGCAGCAGCTTTGAACAAAAAAGCTGGGGAGAGTGCACAGGGCCTGAGTTCAAGCCCAGCTACTGACAAAACAACAATAACAACAACAAATGAGCTGATTAAGAATAGAAAGGAGCTGGGTGCTTGGGGGCACACCTGAGCAGAAAAGGCCTCAAAATTTTGTCTCTAATTAACCAGTAGAAAAAAAGCTGGCCTTGAGAGCAGAGCACCAGCCATGATGAGAAAAAACTGAGCAGCAGAGGCTAGAAAGAAGACAGAATCTTAGAATGGAAAAATTCACATTCATCTCACAGGAAAATAACATACCAAGTAAAGTCCAGGCTATCACATTGGTTGGTTCCAAGCAAGTGGCATCCTCAAAGAAAATTTCTGCCTGTTCATAGTTCTCCAACAAGACAGCCAGGATACCACACAGCAACAAGCTGAAAAGAGACCACTAATTCAATGGTACTGTGTCTCATTCACAATACCAAGACAATTTCACTAGCAGATGATCACTTCAGACTTCTGCACCTCCCTTCCCCCTGTACCTGTTGATATGACTCTCATTCAGGGAAAGAGCTTTCCGGAAACACTCTTGGGCTTTGACGTTGTCTTCAATGAGGAGGCAGAAGGCGCCATAGTCCAGCCAATGCTCTAGGTTGTGGGGCTCACGGACCAACCTCTAGGCACACAGGGCATCAGAAGGGCCAAGATTACTGTGACACTATGTCTTACTTTTTTTATAGTACAACCTCATTCAGGAAGCACCCCACAAATACTGTTTTACAAAAGCAAAGGCTAAGACTTCTTTTTTTCTCTTTACTATAGGACATAGCACACTCCATTATTATTCTGGCTCTTAATAAGTTCTCAAAAATTATTGAAATAATTAACAATTTGAATCCTTAAGCTATTTCTCCCATTATTTGGTCAACCTACAACCTAAACTCATTCAGTATCTTGGGAGCCTAAAGTTTCACTCAGTGGTATATTAACCATGTGTAATAATTTCTGCCATAATCTTAAAATGGCAAATACTAGATTTGTCTATAAATCTGAGAAAAAAGATGCCTGATAATGAGAGAAAACTATAAATATTGATTAATGACATTAAAGAAAAAAGATATAAATAAGTGGAAAGATATCCCATATTCGTGGATTGGAAGACTAGTATTAAGATGCTAATTCTACCGAAGGCAAGCAACAGATGCAGTGCAATCCCCATTAACATCCCAATCAAAATCCTTAAAAAATTAAACACATGTTATCAGATGTGCTAGCAATTTAATTTGTAATTTATACCTAAAATACTTAACAGGAACTCAAGTAAATTCTTATATACAAATGCTAAATTTTGATAGTTTCTTATATTCTTTTTTTGGCCAGCCCTGAAGCTTGAATTCAGGGCCTGGACACTGTCTGTAGCTCCTTTTTGCTGAAGGCTAGCACTCTTCCACTTGAGCCACAGCACCACTTATGGCTTTATGCATGTTAGGCAAGCACTCTACCACTAAGCCACATGACACATCCCAGCCTCTTTATATTCTTATACAAATCAGTTGTCATACAGGTTCTACAAACATTTTCTCCTAATCTATTTTTTCTGGAGATAGATAATTTTTCTCTTACTTTATTTAATATATATTTTTATTATAAAGATACTGTACAGAGGAGTTACAGTTACATGAGCAAGGTAATGAGTACATTTCCTATCGAGCATTGTTATACCCTCCTTTATATTTCCCCTACCATCCCTTTCTTCTTCATTTCCCCAACTCCTCCTTCCCCTCTCCCAACCCCCTGCCAATGACGTAAAGTTCATTTTCAACATACTCTCTGTTAGGTTTTTAAAAAGAGGTAGCTGAGTAAGAACAGCACCACACACGTGGTATTCAGGTAAGGGGTAGGTTTATTCAGTAGACCTGCTGGGACCAGGCAAGGTTGGCACTCCACTCAGCTGGCAAAAGAGAGAAAATAGCTAGAAAAGAGAAGAGCTAGAGAAGAGCTAGAAAAGAGCAGAGAGAGAGAGCAGAGAGCAGAGAGAGCTAGAAAAGAGTAGAGAGAGAGGTAGCCGAGTAAGAACAGCAGCATTCACGTGGTATTCAGGTAAGGGGTAGGTTTATTCAGTAGACCTGCTGGGACCAGGCAAGGTTGGCACTCCACGTAGCTGGGAAAGGCCTGGGAATGAGAGAAGCTGGGAAAGAGAGGAAAGAGAGAGGAAAGAGCTAGAAAAGAGCAGTGAGAGAGGGCCTCTGGGCCTGGGCTAGGCCTTATCTAGGGTATGGGCTGAGAAAGGTGTGGCCACATCAAATTCAGATGTGACCTCAGCGGATGCAGATGTGACCTCTTCCAGGTGTCCCAGTTGCCTAGGTAACGCAGGTACTGGGTGGAGACTTTGCTGCAAGGAGGTGGAGACTTTGCTGCGAGGAGGGTGAAGTCAGCTCGCCATCCAGGAGCGGACCTTACATTTTTGCCAACCTTGCCTGGTCCCAGCAGCTCTACTGAATAAACCTACCCCTTACCTGAATACCACGTGCGTGGTGCTGTTCTTACTCGGCTACCTCTTTTTAAAAACCTAACATAAATGGTGCCGTGACTTGGATAAAGGGCTTAAAGTCAGGATAGCTGGGGTTCTTCTCTGTTTTTTTCCTCTTTTTTCTTTTCCTGTTTGTTTTTCCCTTTTTGCTCTGAGGAATACCCACAGTTCTGACGGCCTTTTGCGAACTCATCTGTCTGCTGCAGACACAGCGCATCGATACCATTGAGGCCTTCACATCCATGTCCACACCACTTCTCTACTCTGGTGAGTGAAACTACTCTCTACGGTTCTCTGTTGATCTCTCTAGAGGGCTCTGGGGGAAGTCGGGACACCACTTCTGCCTGGTCAGCTCTCCTTCACTCACCAGACTGACTCTCCTACTCATTTAATGAGGTGCTGCGAAGAACGCCTGAGCTGTGAAACCCCTTTGAAATGTCTCCTGCGCTCCCTGGAAAGCCAGAGTGCCTCATTTTTATGCCATTCTCAGATGTAGACAGTTTTTGCCACTGCAATGGTAAATGGTCAGAAGTCTGTTTACTTTCGGGCTCTCTTTGCTCTCTCTGCCAGTCATGTCCAGCTTTCCCTGTCTCTCCCTTTCTCTTTTCTACATTTTGGCTTGTGCCCTGAAGAGTGCGACGCAGGCTGGGTCCCAGGGACCCCCCCTCTAGGTTCCCTCTCAAAGGCTAGCCAATGTAGGCTTGATCTATTTGTATTTTTTTCAGAAATTCGCCATCTTGAGTTCGCCATCTTGGCCACATGGTGGGTTAAGGATTTGGCCCCATCTGATCCTTAACCTTCCACCAAGCTTACTACTCCATTCATCTGTTTTAAGGTGCCTTGCTAACAAATTGCTCTTTTCACAGGCCCTAGTAACTGAGGCCCAACCATCTGATGTGCTTTGTTAGCAAAGATGTCTAAATGTTGTCAAAATTTTAGGTTTTGAGTTTTGCTTTTTGTGTTGTGTATTCTACTGACTACGTGGTTCTAAAATACTGGGCATATCTATGCTAAAATTCTCATCACATCTAATGAGTTTTGTCATTGCAGAATATTTGTTGGTCAGTTCTTGATAAGGAGCAGGTAAGCTCTACTTATTCTACTTGATCTCCTTGTTGCTTTAATTGGAAATAAAATAAAGGGCTTTTGTGGCAAACATTTCAGTTCAAAGCCAACCCGAGCTGAAAAATCCCTAAGACTCAGATCATCTCCCAACTAACCTACAAAGAGCCAGGCTGGAAGCATGGCTCAAAACACTTATCTCTAACCAGCCAAACTCTACAAGTGGTACTATAACTCAAAGTGGTTCAGTGCTAGCCTTGAGCAAAAGTGCTCAGGGTCAGTGCCCAGGCCTTGAGTTCAAACCTCCTTGACTACCAACTGGGACAAGCCATCCCAGCAACGAGGGCCTAGACTCAGCCAGTCTGGGGAACAAGGGAACGTGGAGAGGAGTAAGAGGAGATGATGTCACATCAGCTACTTTGTGCCTGCCCTTTCAAAATTAACCAGAGCGGGGAGGTCAGTGGAAGTAAGAAGCCTGCCCATCCAATGTCTATACCTGTCTACCTATTAACTGAACAGGAATTTATATTCTTGCCTTTGTCACCTGACTTCTCTACTTAGTCGCTAGCTGTCAGAAGTAGCTAGGGACGTTTTTACCAACATTTTCAGCCCCAAGTCCTTCCTCTTGCCATTTATTTGCTCTCTAGTTTTTGTTGTTTATTTTTTTTTTTTGTTGGTCATGGGGCTTGAACTCTGGGCCTGGGCGCTGGCCCTCAGCTCTTCAGCTCAAGGCGGGTGCTCTACCACTTGAGCTACAGTGCCCCTTCCGGTTTCCTAGTGGTTTATTGGAGATAGGAGTCTCACGGTCTTTCCTGCCCGGGCTGGCTTTGAACCACGATTCTCAGATCTCAGCCTCCTGAGTACCTAGGATTACAGGCGTAAGCCACCAGCGCCCGGCTCTCTAGTATTTTTTTTTCCAGCCCCTCAATGCTCATGAGACTTTCTCCAGACTTCATCTAAGGACTCACACCACCAAGGGACAGCTGCTGCTCACTGCCTTCTCCGGGAGGGGACCAAATTCCAGCCTTTTACCCCTATTGTCGATGCTCCTTGTCAGCAGGAAGTAGCCAGAGAGAATCCGTGCTCTATTTCATGATTATTAAAAGGCTAGAATGTAAGGTCCGCTCCTGGATGGCGAGCAGACTCCACCTTCCTCGCAGCAAAGTCTCCACCCAGTACCTGCGTTACCTAGGCAACTGGGACACCTGGAAGATGTCACATCTGCATCCGCTGAGGTCACATCTGAATTTGATGTGGCCACACCTTTCTCGGCCCATACCCTAGATAAGGCCTAGCCCAGGCCCAGACGCTCTCTCTCGCTGCTCTTTTCTAGCTCTCTCAGCTCTCTCTCTGCTCTCTCTGCTCTTTTCTAGCTCTTTCCTAGCTCTTCCTCTCTCTTTCCCAGCTTCTCTCATTCCCAGGCCTTTCCCAGCCACGTGGAGTGCCAACCTTGCCTGGTCCCAGCAGCTCTACTGAATAAACCTACCCCTTACCTGAATACCACGTGCGTGGTGCTGTTCTTACTCGGCTACCTCTTTTTAAAAACCTGACACTCTCTTGTACATCTTATTGTTACAATGGGTCATCCTGTATCCATATTTCAGCATTTTGTTATTTCCTTCCCTTCCCTAAATTAGAAAAATGTATATATAAGATGCAGGGCACCAGAATCAAATACAGTGACAACAGCGGTTGTACCATGGGAGAAGAACATACAAAAGAAACAAAAAAATCACATAGTACATTAAGAAGAACAGCGACAAAGATAAAACCTCTTGTGTCCCTATCTTGTGGTTCATTTTGTTTAGCATCAGGTTATATGGTCATATGTACATAGTTTTAGACCTCTTCTGCTTGTCCTAGACATATATTAATCTGTATTTTTTTAACTTATAGGACATAGACTTTTAATTTTTTTCTACTGGTTCTGGGGCCTGGGTATTGTCTCTGAGCTTTTTTGCCCAAGGCTAGTGCACTGCCACTTGAGTTGCAGCACTACTTCTGGCTTTTTTTTTTTTTGGTGGTTAATTGGAGATAAGAATCCCACAGGCTTTTCTGCTTGGGCTGGCTTCCAACTGCAATCCTCAGATCTCAGTCTCCTGAGTAGCTGGGATTACAGGCATAAGCCAACCATACCCACCTGACTTTTTTAAAATTTTTAATTTTAGGAAGTGGCGCTGTAGCTCAAGTGGTAGAGCGCTCACCTTGAGCTGAAGAGCTGAGGGACAGCGCCCAGGCCCAGAGTTCAAGTCCCAGGACCGACAAAAAAAAATAAAAAAAGTCTCCCTCGCATTAAAATTTTTAATTTTATTATAAAGGTGATGTACAGAGGGGTCACCATTTCATAAAGAAGGTAATTGAGTCACCCCTTCCCAGTTTTCCCTTTCTCTCGCCCAGTTTTTCCCTTCTGTCCCCACCCACAAGTTGTATAGTTCATTTTCAACATAATATCTAGTGAGAACCACTGCTGTACTTGTTAACCCTTCGTCTATTAGACTTTCAACTTTCATGTTCTGTTTTTCTTTGATAGACCATGCTTTGGTCTCATATAAGAATAGTTGATATAGCTCAAGCTCTTGCTGTTATTTTTAATATACTTATAATGTACTATGTGTTTTTTTGTTTCATTTGTATGCTTTTCCCCATGGTATAACCCCTGTTGTCACTGTAATTCTGGTGCTCCGCATCTTGTATATACATTTTTCTAATTTGGGGAGGGGAAGGGAAATAACAAAATTCTGAAATAAGGATACAGGTTGACCCATTGTATCAATGGGACGTACAAGACAGTATGCTAAAAACTAACCTTACAACTTGGGGAAGGGGAGGGAGGAACTGGCGAGGTAGGGAGGGAAGGGATGGTAGGGGGTAACAATGCTCGATAGGAAATGTACTCATTACCTACTCATGTAACTGTAACCGCTCTGTATAGTATCTTAACAATAAAAATATGTATTTAATAATTTAAAAAGAATAGTTCATATAACTCAATGTCAAAAAATTTTCTACATTTCTTCTAAAAGTTTTATGGTTTTATATTTAGATGTTTTATGATTAGAAGTTTTATGGTTTTTATGTTTAGATGTATTATCCATTTTGAATTGATTTTTTAAAATATTTAAGAATGATTTATTTTGCCTAAGGATAACCAACTGTTCAATTTGTTGAAAAGATTATCCTTTCCCATTAAATTTCTTTATAACTTTTTCAAAAATTTAATGACTGGGCTGGGAAGGTGGCTCAGTAGTAAAGTGCTTGCCTCACATGCATGAAGCTCTGGATTCAATTCCTCAGTAACTCAAACACAGAAAAAGCCAGAAGTAGAGTTGTGGCTCAAGTGGAAGAATGCTAGCCTTAAGCCAAAGAAACTCGAGGACAGTGCCTAGGCCCTGAGTTCAAGCTCCAAGACTGGCAAAAAAAGCAGCACTAAAAAGAGCTGGAGTGGGGCTGGGAAGGTGGTTCAGTGGTAGAGTGCTTGCCTTGCATGCATGAGGCCCTGGGTTCGATTCTTCAGCACCACGTAAGCAGAAAAAGCTGGAAGTGGAAGTGGCGCTGTAGCTCAAGTGGTAGAGCGCTCGCCTTGAGCTGAAGAGCTGAGGGACAGTGCCCAGGCCCAGAGTTCAAGCCCCATGACCGACAAAAAAAAAAGAAAAAAGAAAAAGCTGGAAGTGGCGCTGTGGCTCAAGTGGTAGAGGGCTAACCTTGAGCTGAAGAGCTGAGGGACAGTGCCCAGGCCCAGAATTCAGGCCCACAATCGACAAAAAAAAAGCTGGAGTGACTCAAATGGTAGAGCACCTGCCTACCAAGAGGCCAGGCCTTGAGTTCAAACCCCAGTACTGCCAAAAAGCCAAAAGAAGCCGGGTGTCAGTGATTCACACACCTGGAATCTTGACTACTCAAGAGGCTGAGATCTGAGGATTGCGGTTTAAAGCCAGCCCAGGCAGAAAACTCCATGAGACTCCAATAGACTACTCAAAAAATAATTTAATGACATGATTACTGTGGGCCTTTGATTCTGTCCTGTTGCTGTACCTTTTTACCATTCAAGTTTGATTTTGAATAATCAAAAACTACTATTTATCATACCCATTTTCACAAATAATAACCACCATCAATGGAAACATTTGATTACCTCTTCATAATACACTGCTGCCATTCCATAGTTCTCATTGACTTCTGCTTCATATGCAAAGAGTCGAAGCTGACCACTGGTTGACTGAATGACTGGAACAGGGCCTTGGATATCATCTGGCATAGCCTTGCCATCATGAAAAGTTCATGAAGGTGTTGAGAAAACAAATGAAGCAATTACATAGAAAGGTTTAGGGAAGTAAAATGGATGTGAATTACTGATAGATCTTATAAAAGAGATATTTAGAAACAGGAAAAGTAGGGGAAAACCATACCTTTCCAATAGAAGAAAAAGAATATAATCAGCTGGGTGTTGGATCATGTGTCACATGTTTACTCAGGAGGTTGAAATATTTGTGGCAGCCTAGCAAGCCCAAGGCCCTGGGTTTAAACCTCAATACCAAATACTATAGGGGAAGGGGTATTTCCTATATATCCACATTGAGAAGAGTTGATCTGGTATAATTAGTACTATCCTGGGTCAGAAGCTATGGCTAAGGAAGACCCCTAAAAATCTTTAATTAAAACAAAACAATGGGGCTGGGAAGGTGACTCAGTGGTAGAGTGTTTGCCTTGTGTGCATGAGGCCCTGGGTTCAACTCTTCAGTACTACATAAGCAGAAAAAGCCAGAAGTGGCACTGTGGCTCAAGTGGTAGAGTGCTAGCCTTGAGCTGAAGAGATGAGGGACAGTGCCCAGGCCCAGAGTTCAGGCCCCACAACCAAAAAAATAAAAAATTTAAAAAAAATAGTGAGTACCAAGTACCGTTGCTATGGAATATAGCCAAATCTGTGATGGGGCAAAGACAGCTTCTGATCACTGATTAGTGCCTCTGTCCTTTGGGTACTGGGTCTTGGTGGCTTACACCTGTAATCCTAATGATTCAGGAGGCTGACATCTGAGGACTGCTGTCATAAGCCAGCCTGGGCAGAAAAGCCATAGGACTCATATCTCCAATTAACTACCAAAAAAGCCAGAAGTGGAGCTGTAGCTCCAGTGGTATAACACTAGCCTTGAGCACAAAAGCTCAAGGACAGTGCCCAGGCCTTGAGTTCAAGCCCTATGAGAGGCGTGCGCGCGCACGCACGCACACACACACACACACACACCAAAAAAACAAAACAAAAATGAAAACAAGACAAAAACCTCTTTAGTTTCATTTCTTTCCTTCCAGTAAATCTATCTCTTCCCAAGATCAGCCTCATGCTCATGACTACCCTCATGTTACTCTCACCAGCACACTCAATCTCAAGCATCTTCCTCCCTTTCCTAAACTTGTACTAAAACTCACATCTTAAAACAGCCCTGCAATCTGATTTCTTCATTCCTAGAGAGATGCAGCTAAAATTCGTTCTAAGAAAAACAACATAGAAAGAGCTGAGCCTTTCTAGACTCTTGTGATATTCAGTATTCACTGAAGGTCTTTAATATTCTCATTCATTTATGGTTTTTTTTTTTTTTTTTTTAGCAAAAATCATCTAAATTTCCTTCAAGCTGTTCATCAATTCTTTTACTCATCTATTCTTTTTTTTTTTTTTTTTTTTTTGGTCAGTCATGAGCCTTGAACTCTGGGCCTGAGCTCTGTCCCTCATCTCTTCAGCTCAAGGCGAGCGTTCTACCACTTGAGCTACAGCGCCACTTCTGGTTTTCTGGTGTTTCATTGGAGATAAGAGTCTCATGGTGGGGGTGAAAGGGGTGGGAGGGGGGAGGATGGGAAGGGATGGGAAGGGGAAACAAAGGAGGAGGCTGCAATGCTTGATAAGAAATGTACTCATTATCTTGCCCATGTAATTGTAACCCCTCTGTACAGTATTTTCACAATTAAAAAAAAAGTGTTTCACGGACTTTCCTGCCCGGGCTGGCTTTGAACAGCAGTCCTCAGATCTCAGCTCCTGAGTAGCTAAGATTACAGGCGTGAACCACCAGTGCCCAATTTACTCATCTATTCTTAACTTTTGGTATTTCCTGATTCTATCACCAATTTTCATCTCTCCTCATTCTTTCATCCTTTGCTCAGATAGCCTCATTTCTTACCATAGCATCCATATACTGGCTCATAAAAATAGCATAGATGTCTCTCTCAAGCAAGGGCCCAGAAGAGCCAATGTTCAAAACTGAATTCAATATTGCCTGCATTCCACCAAACCTACTCATGTTGTATTCCTTGTCTTGGTTAATGTGAACATCAATAACCTAGTCATTGAGGCTTAAACATAAGAATCTTTGACTCCCCTCTTTCTTTAGCAATAGCCAGCTAACTTTGCCAGTTTCACAACCTCTAATCCATCCTCCAGACTGCTGTCAGGGTGTGTATATATAATAGATTTTATGTAATCTATATATTATATATATTCCTGATCATAATATTTTCCAATGTAAAGCTTATTGTTCCCAATTGCTAGTGAGAAAAAAAAGTCGAAACTTCTTTATATGGCCACAATCCATATCCCCTAACAGAAACAGATACCTACTGTCAGCTCCTGAGTCTCCACTCCTCAACCATTTTCACCTCTGCTCCTGAACTCTGCCGTTCTGTATGTTTTACTTTCTTTTTTTCTTTTCTTTTCTTTTTTTTGTCGGTCGTGAGGCCAGTGGGGCCAGTGGGGCCAGAACTCTGGGCCTGGGTGCTGTCCCTCAGCTCTTCAGCTGTAGACTAGCACTCTACCACTTGAGCCTCAGCCCCACTTCTGGCTTTTTCTGCTTATGTGGTGCTGAGGAATCGAACCGAGGGCCTCATGCATGCAAGACAAGCACTCTACCACTGGGCCACCTTCCCAGCACCAAGTTTTACTTCCTTACAAACTATTATGCCTTTGTAATGCCCCTTGTGGTTCAGGGCTCTGAAACAACCATTTGGAGACCTTTTCGTAGCTTCCAAAGCTCAGCTCAAGCTCCAAGGCTCATGATCCTTCCCCTGGTAAAATGACACAATTCTCTTTCTCTTTAGGTGTCCCTAATCTGCTAGGATTACAAGTGTGAGCCACTGGCGTCTGGCTACTGCAGCTGTTTCTATTATGAGCCCATCCTTCTATCAGACAAGGGGTCCTTGAGGACAGAAGGATAAATCAGTTCAAATCCCATGCTCAACTCTCAATTGTTTTCCAAACCCAAATTATTCCTATCATCTATGCCCAAAGAAGGACTGTTAATCCTACAATACTGGATGCTTTTGTCCTACCTCTTCCAGGAAGACAGCCAGGTAAAAGAAAAGATAGGTGTGGGTGGTGGGGAAGGAAAGCAGTGAAGAAAAAATAAAAACAGAGGCTTTGAGGAGACTGAGTTGGTCAGGCTACCAGGGGTGCAGTAAGGCTTTAGTTCTGTTTTCAAAGAAACAACAACATAGAAAAATGAACAAAGAAGGCAAGATAGATATGAGCTGTACAAGTACTGATACAAACAAGTGTTCTGGAGAAAGAAGGTCACTAGTCACAGAAACAGCATGTTTGAAATGTTAAAGTGTTGTCAGTTGTGTATATTATCTGAAACACATAGTTTTTCTTTGTTTTACTATTTTGAAGACTAAAAATTGTGCATATTCACAGAATAAATAGACCAATTTTTGTTTTATACCTTCCACAGCCTGTTTTATTATTTTGATAATTCTATCATAGGTGTGTGTGTGTGTGTGTGTGTGTGTGTTGGTTCTGGGACTTGAACTCAGGGTCTGGGCACTATCTCTTAGTTTTTCACTCAAGGCTGGTGGTCTATCACTTGAACAATACCTCTATTTCTGGCATTTTGGTGGTTATAAGGAGACAAGTCTCATGGACTTTCCTGTTTGAGCTGGTTTCAAATCCTGATCCTCAGATCTGAGCCTCCTGAGTAGGTGTGAGCCACTGGCATCCAGTTTTCTCAGTTTTGAGATTTATAAAATTTATTTTTTTAGGAATTTGAAAGAGCATATCCTTTCTCCCAAAATTTGTCTTTTTTTTTTTTTTTGTCGTTTGTGGGGTTGAACTCTGGACTTGGGCACTGTCCCTCACGCTCTTCAGCTCAAGGCAAGCACTCTACCGCTTGAGCCACAGTGCCACTTCTGGTTTTCTAGTGGTTTATTGAAGATAAGAGTCTCACGGACTTTCCTGCCCGGGCTGGCTTTGAACCTCGATCCTCAGATCTCAGCCTCCTGAGTAGCTAGGATTACAGGTATGAGCCACCGGTGCCCAGCTGTGGTTTTGTTTTTGTGTGGGGCAATACTAGGGTTTGAACTCAGGGCTCCAAGCTTGCTAGACAAGCACTCTTATCACTTGAGCCACACCCCCAGTCCTTTCTGATTTAGTTATAGAAAGATAGGATCTTAATGATTTCTTTTAGGAGCGGGCTTCTGAATGAGATTCTCTTACCTCTTCCTCCCAAGTAATAGGAGGAATTATAGGAATAGGCCAGTGTGTTTGGCACTTAGGCAGTTTATATTATTCATCTTTATGTATCCAGTGCCTAACACAGAGCATATATTTTACTAATTTTTTTGTCAGTCATGGGGCTTGAACTGAGGGCCTGGGTGCTGTCCCTGAGCTCTTTTGCTCAAAGCTAGTGCTCTAGCACTTTGAGCCACAGTGCCACTCCTTCTGGTGGTTAATTTGAGATAAGAGTCTCATGGACTTCCCTGCCTGGACTGGCTTTGAACTGTGATCCTCAGATCTCAGCCTCCTGAGTAGCTAGGATTACAGGTATGACCCACCAGCGCCCAGCTTAAATATTTGTTGATTAAAGGATAACAGAAAAAAAGAAGGAAGGAGAATTTCCAGGGGATCTCTGTGCTCAACAAAACAGAAAGGGTGCTCTGTTCTTGTCACCTACCTGGTTTAGTGCCACATGCATTTGATCTACCAAGAACACATAAAGTTCGCTGATAAATGTCTGCAGTTCTTCCTGGCTTTCAAAGGATGCTGTCCTCAAATATTTCTCTCTCACAATCTTCACCACAGCATGCTGCAAGACATAAACATTGTCCCCCCACACCCTGATAGCACAGTCCAGCAGCAGGCTGGACCAGGTTTCCCTAGGTCTTTTGGTTTTAGGCTCCCCTCCCCCAACAAAAAAAAATTCTGATAATGATTAGTCTTTTGCCTGATGACAGCTAGACTAGTAGTTCCCTAGAGCTCCTTCAACAGACTCAGCAGGATTTCTTCCTGATGCTACCATCATCACTAATAGGGACAATGCAGAATTCACACCAAGAGAAGAGAGGCCAACACTTGAAGACAATCTTAGCAGGTTTATGCTTTCTCTCATAGTGGCTATGTGGTTCATGAAGGAAGACCTGGAAAGAAACACTGGGAGACGGGCTGGGAAGGTGGCTCAGTGGTAAAGCGCATGCCTTGCATGCCAGAGGCCCTGGGTTCGATTCCTCAGCACCACATAAGCAAAAAGAAAAAAGCCAGAAGTGGCGCTGTGGCTCAAGTGGTAGAGTGCTAGCCTTGAGCTGAAGAGCTGAGAGACAGCGCCCAGGCCCAGAGTTCAGGCCCCATGACCGGACCCAAAAAACAAAAAACAAAAAAAAAGAAACACTGGGAGAGTGTAAGGGAAGTGGGGGGTGGACATTGTCCAAAAGAAATATATTCTTTACCTAACTTATGTAACTGTAACCCCTCTGTACATCACCTTTATAATAACAATGAAAAAGTAAGAAGACGTGTCTAGAGTCCAGAGAATGGAATTCCATTTTGAATGCTGCTAATGTCCAACCTCATACATTATACTTTGTTAAGTGGATATATGGCTCAGGTGTTATTTTACTCTGAAAATTGATTGAGGCTGGGTCCTGGTGGCTCAACCTATAAGCCTAGCTACTCAGCGCAGGCAGGAAAGTCCATGAGACTCTTATCTCCAATTAACCAACAGAAAACTGGAAGTGGAATGTGGCTCAAAATGGTAGAACACTAGCCTTGACCAAAAGAGCTCAAGGACAGCACCCATGCCTTGAGTTCAAGCCCCACAACCGACTAAATAAATAAATAAATTGATTGATTGATTGACGGTTGAAAAGCCAAGAAAAGAAAGCAGAAATAAAAGATTAAAACAAGACAGAAATATAGTTGCTCCCCCCTTTTTTTCTGGTGGTGGAACTTGAACTCTGGGCCTGGATGCTGTCCCTGAGCTTTAACTCAAGGTAAGTGCTCTACCACTTGAGCTACAGTGTCCACTTCTGACTTTTTCTGTGTATGTTGTGCTGAGGAATTGAACTCAGGGCCTCATGCATGAAGGGCAAGCACTCTACCACTGAGCCACCTTCCCAGCCCTAGTTGCTCTTCTTTATCTGCAGTTATCTATGGTTAACTGCAGTCTGAAAACAAGTGGAAAATTCCACAAATAAATCCCTATGTTTTAAGTTGCACACTATTTGGAATAATGGGATAAAATCTTACATTGCCTCACTCCATCTTGCCCCAGCCATAGTTTGTTTCTTGGCTCCTTATGTCCATATGTATGCGCTACCCATCCATTCATCATAGTAACCATCTTGTTATCAGATCATCATGTGTCACAGTGCTCATGTTTAAACTTTATTTTATTTTCTAGAGGCACCAAGCATGAGAGTAATGATGTCAGCAATTTGCATAATCCAAAGAGACCCCCAAAATTGCTTCATTTAAGTAAAAAAGTCATAGATTTGCATGCAGAGGAGAAAACACTATAAACATAGGATTCAGTATTATGCAGTGTTAAGACATCTCCTGAGGATCTTGAGACTGCACAGATAAACGGAGATAATGTATAATGTATAGATATTGGAAGTTGGGATGACCAAGAAACTTTTTTTTTCTTTCTTTTTTTTTTTTTTTGGTCGGTCGTGGAGCTTGAACTCTGGGCCTGCGCGCTGTCCTTCAGCTCCTCAGCTCAAGGCGAGCGCTCTACCACTTGAGCTACAGTGCCACTTCTGGTTTTCTGGTGGTTTATTGGAGATAGGAGTCTCACAGTCTTTCCTGCCCGGGCTGGCTTTGAACCGCAATCCTCAGATCTCAGCCTCCTGAGTAGCTAGGATTACAGGCGTGAGCCACCAGCGCCCGGCACTTTTTTTTTCTTTCTAAACTACCATTATTGCTAAGTTTTATAGTAAGTACCTTCCATGCATCATAATGACCTACATTAGGATAATGTTAATATTATCTCCAATTAATCACAGAAAAAGCTGGAAGTAGCATTGTGGCTCAAGTGGTACAGTGCTAGTCTTCAGCAAAAAAAGGAGCTTTAGGGACAGTGCCCAGGCCCAGAGTTCAAGCCCTAGGACCAGAAAGAAAAAAGTGCAAGTCTCTCCGTTCAAACACAAGTACCACCAAAACAAAACAAAATCAAACAAAAACCAGGCACTAGTTCTCAAATCTTAGTGCCTCTATGGATAAGGAGAGGTTTGAATAGGAGGTAGAAGTAGTTACAGTCAGTAACAGAGTTTCTGCCTCCAGAGGAACATGAAATCTGTTCAAAGTCTAGCCTCACCTCAAGTGAAGAATTAGTCTCCAGCTGGGCACTGGTGGCTCAGGACTATAATCTCAGCTATTCAGGAGGCTGAGATCTGAGGATTGGGTTCAAAATGAGTCCAGGCAGGAAACTCCATGAGACTCTTATCTCCAATACACTACTCAGAAAAGGCCAGAAGTGGCTCTGTGTCTCAAAGTGGTAGAGCACTAGTCCTGAGTAGAATAGCTCAAGGACAGCTCCCAGACCCTAAGTTCAAGCCCCTTGACTGACAAAAACAAAATGCCAGTAGAAGATCTATTTCTATAGTCTTATACTAGCTTAGTATCCATTGTGCATGTGAGATTGTTGGAGACTATTTTTTTTATGCTGGTGCTGTGGTTTGAACTCAGGTTCTGGGCGTTCTCTTTGAGCTTCTTTGGCTCAAGGCTAGCACTCTACCATATTAGCCATGGTGCCACTTCCAGTTCTCTGGTAGTTAATTGGAGATAAGAGTCTCCTGGACTTTCCTGCACTGGATGGCATCAAACTGCTATTCTCAGATCTCAGCCTTTGAGTTGATAGGATTACAGGTGTGGGTCACCAGTGCTCATCTTCTACTGACATTTATTACAGAAAATGTAACTGAGGGCTGGGAAGGTGGCTCAGTGGTAGAGCACTTGCCTTGCATGCCTGAGGCCCTGGTTCGATTCCTCAGCACCACATAGGCAAAAAGAAAAAAGCCGGAAGTGGCGCTGTGGCTCAAGTGGTAGAGCACTAGTCTTGAGCTGAGGAGCTGAGGGACAGTGCCCAGGCTCAGAGTTCAGGACCCACGACCGGAACCCCCCCCCCAAAAAAAAGAAAATGTAACTGAACACAATCAGAGAAAAAAATCGTTAAGTGGATCTGTAGAGAAGTTGATCCATAAAAACTCTTATAATACCAGGTGCCACTGGCTCACACCTGTAATCTTAGCTACTCAGGAGGCTAAGATCTAAGGATCATGGTTCAAAGCCAGCCCAGACAGAAAAGTCCCCCGAGAGACTCTTATCTACAATTAATCACTCAAAAAACAGAAGTGGTGCTGTGGGTCAAGTGGTAGAGCATTAGCCCTGAGCACAAAGAGGCTCAAGGACAGAGTTCAGGCCCTGAGTTAAACCCCACAACAGACTGCCCTCCCCCAAAAAAACCCTCTTATAATAATTAAATGAAAGTTCTACCTTGAGTTGTTCTTTGAAAGCAAAGTACTTTCCAGAACAATTAAGTTCATAGTTGAGCTGGCACTTCTGCTCTTCCAGGGTTTCAGTGTCGATTTCATGCTCCAGTTTAGCCACTTCTTTCCCAAACATTCTGTGGTACTCATCCAGAATGGCTTTAGAAATGTTCTTGATCTGCAAGTGGTAGTCATTCACTGCCTAGAAAAATATCAAATGTCCGGTACAGAAGACTCAAAGAGCCAGGAGCCAGTGATTTATACCTTTAATTAAAGCTACTCTAGAGATTTAAATCTGAGAATTGCAATTTGGATCCAGCCTGAGCAGATAAATCCAAGAGACTCTTGTCTCTAACTAACTAGCAATAATCCAGAAGTGAAAATGTAGTTCAAGTGGTAGAGTGTCAGCTGTGTGCAAAAAAAAATAAGCAAGAGTATGAAGCCCTAAGACCCAGTATCAGGAGGAAAAAACCCTCGAATATGTACAGATAGACCATGTATTAGAAATTTAAAACTGGATTAAGATTTCTATTTGTGGTATTTGGGGATTGAATCTAGGTCTTGCAATTCTAGACGAATGTTCTACTACTTGAACCATATCTCCAGGACTTAATTTTTTGTTTGGTGATACTGGTGCTAATTAGGTAAGCACTCTACCACTTGAGCCATGCCTCCAGCTGGATTAAATTTTATATTCAATAGTATCTTAGATATAAATTGTCCATCTCCTCTGAGCACAGAGAGCACCAGCCAAAGACTAGACATTGTATGTTATTCATTGCATGCCACTGATCACAAGTGGAACTGAGAATGAAAATGTGTGAGAACTCAAAACAAGTTCTGGAATGCATATTAAAGAGTCCACACCATTTTCAAATGCACTGAGCATCTTCTTTCTTATAGTTTCATCCTCGCTTTCATACTTGCCTTCTGAGCTCCTCCTCTCCGACGGGTAAGAGGTGGCCTTGGAGGAATCATTTCCTTAACCCTGTATCAGAAAAAAATACAGATAATACTTGATTATTTGCTGATTTGTATTACATCCTGCCTGCAAAGAGTCTGTGAAGGAGGACAAGCACCATTCTATTTTCTCATGTGAACACAGCAAAGTAGGTGACTATGGACTGTAGCAAGGGAGCTAGAAAGCAGCTACTCAGAATCTGCATTATACCTTTGGCTCATTTGAGCTCTGGCTTTACAATGACCAGCTTTGTTTGATTTTTCAATGTGCACAAATGGGCATTTCACCAAGGGCTTGGAAAGCAATGAAGGCCCTCAGCAGTTTCTGAAAGCACACAGATCTGGAACCCTGATGGCATAAGCAAGTAAAAGTCTTTCTTTTCTTGTAGGATGAAGTGTACACTCGATCCTCATTTACAAATTACAATAATGCTATCAGACTTAAAGTGAGAACATTTTGATACTGTCAAACTACTTAGGATAAAAGTTCTGCTTTCCCTATAGAGATGGCTTTATGGGAACTTATGAGGAATAAGCCACAAGTCTGTCCTTATGGTTTCAGATTCCTGCTAACATGTATTTTGCTGATGTCTGCAACCAACCCCACAAACTCAATTTTTCTTAATAGATCCTATGTAATTATACATTTCTGTTCATAATGTTAATCTCATTTATTTTAGTCCATATAATTAAAAATTTAAGGGTATGAAATAACAAGCAGCAAAATATCTCATTCCAACTTGGTTGTTCAGGCTCCTGCTTTCCTCCCTCAATGAGGTGATTTACTCATTTGCAATATCTACCAAAGGCCCATTGTCCATCGGGTACTTTGTTAGCTCTGAGGATAGAACATTAAGAACTATAGACAAAAACCTTGCTCTCATGGACTTTCTAATAGGGAAAGAAAGATAAAAAGGATACAGAAGATTAATGTGAGCCAGGCACCAGTGGCTCGCACCTATAATCCTAGCTACTCAGGAAGCTGAGATCTGAGGGTCGCAGTTCAAAGCCAGCCCAGGCAGGAAAGTCCAAGATTCTTTTTTTTTTTGCCGGTTGTAGGACCTGAACTCTGGGCCCCGGCGCTGTCTCTCAGCTCTTCAGCTCAAGGCTAACACTCTACCACTTGAGCCACAGCACCACTTCTGGCTTTTTTTGCTTATGTAATGGTAAGGATCGAACCCAGGGCCTCATTCATGCAAAACAAGCACTCTACCACTGAGCCACTATCCCAGCCCTTCTTTTTTTTTTGTCGGCCGTGGGGCTTGAACTCTGGGCCTGGGTGCTGTCCCTCAGCTCTTCAGCTCAAGCCGAGCGCTCTACCACTTGAGCTACAGCGCCACTTCCGGTTTTCTGGTGGTTTATTGGAGATAGGAGTCTCACGGTCTTTCTTGCCCGGGCTGGCTTTGAACCGAGATCCTCAGATCTCAGCCTCCTGAGTAGCTAGGATTACAGGCGTGAGCCACCGGCACCCGGCTATCCCAGCCCTTCTAACCCCCAGAAAACCAGAAGTGGCATTGTGACTCAAGTGGTAGAGCACTCACCTTGAGCTGAAGAGCTGAGGGACAGCGCCCAGGCCCAGAGTTCAAGTCCCATGACCAATTTTTTAAAAAAAGATTATGTGGTAGGGGTATGTGTTACAGAGAAAAATAGTAAAGAGAGACAGACAGACTCTGTTGGGTTTGGGGGCTGGTAGAGTGGGAAGGACTCACTGAGATGATACCATTTGAGAAAAAGACATGAAGGCACAGAAGCAAACCATACAGAGATTAGGGAAAAGGTATTTTAGGCTTAGGAACAGTAAGTATAAACATTTTACTATAAGAATATGCCTAGCATGTGTGAGGAATAGTGAAACAGCCAGGGAATTTGGATGGACTGAAAAAGTGATGACAGAGGTCATGGTGACAGAGTATGAAAAGTTAAGAATTATGTTTATGTATGTGTGATGGGATGATGTGTATGTCTATGTGAATGTGTATTACAGAGGTTTTAAAATAATTTCAGAAGGACAGACACTAAGGTAAAAGTGGTTATCACAGCTGGGCATCAGTGGCATATACCTATAATCCTAGCTATTCAGGAGGCTGAGATCTGAGGATCATGGTTTAAAGCCAGCCAAAGCAGGAAAGTCCATATACATTTTTGTTTAGTTACGAGACTTGAACTCATGGTCTGGGTGCTGTCCCTGAGCTCTTTTGCTCAAAGCTAGCACTTAACCACTTTGAGCTATAGCTTCACTTCCAGTTTGAGTGGTTAATTAGAGATAAGAGTCTCACGGAGGGGGGGGGGCTGGGAAGGTGGCTCAGTGGTAGAGCACTTGCCTTGCATGCCTGAGGCCCTGGGTTCGATTCCTCAGCACCACATAAGCAAAAAGAAAAAAGCCAGAAGTGGCGCTGTGGCTCAAGTGGTAGAGTGCTAGCCTTGAGCTGAAGAGCTGAGGGACAGCGCCCGGGCCCAGAGTTCAAGCCCCAGAACTAGACCCAAAAAAAAAAAAAAAAAGAGTCTCACAGGGACTTTTCTGTCTGGGCTGGCTTTGAACCATGACCTTCAGATCTCAGCCTCCTGAGTAGCTAGGATTACAGGTATGCGCCACTGGCACCCAGCTCACGAAACTCTTATCGCCAATTAATTACTACAAAATCTGGAAATAGAGCTGTGGCTCAAGTAGTACTAGCCTTGAGCAAAACAAGCTTAGGGACAGGTCCCAGACCCTGAGTTGAAGCCTTGGGACCAGCACACACACAAACACACACAAAAAGTGCTTATCACAAGATGAATAGAAATACATTTTTGCTCATCTTAATTGTCTTTCTTTCTTTCTTTTTCTTTTCTCTTTTCTTTTCTTTCTTTTTTTTTGCTGATCCTGGGGCTTGAACTCAGAGCCTGGGCTCTGTCCTTAAGCCAGTCTATGCTCAAGGCTAGTGCTCTACCACTTGAGCCACAGCACCACTTCTAGCGTTTTCTGTTTATGTGGTACTGAGGAATCAAATCCAGGGCTAACTAAGCCACATTCCCAGCCCCTCATCTCAATTTTCTTTTTTTTTTTTTTTTTGGTCCGGTCGTGGGGCCTGAACTCTGGGCTTGGGCGCTGTCCCTCAGCTCTTCAGCTCCAGGCTAGCGCTCTACCACTTGAGCCATAGCGCCACTTCCGGCTTTTTTCATTTTGCTTTATGTGGTGCTGAGGAATCAAACCCAGGGCCTCAGGCATGCAAGGCAAGCGCTCTACCACTGAGCCACCTTCCCAGCCCCCCTCATCTCAATTTTCTAAAAAAATTTTATAATCAACTTTTGTGATGAGAAAACAATAATAACAAGGGATATTTCATCTACCAACAACAACAACAACAACAACAGAAAAGTGCTGCTTAGGCTAGAAGAAACTACATTTGTGATTGAGCTCTTATCATTTACATCTAAGTGCCTGTGCAAAACAGTGTGAGGATGATTCCTACTTACCTTTCAGCTAATTCTTCAGGCATTCGCTTTGGAACCAAGGCTTTGTCCAGCTCAATCTCCAACACAATGTATGTCCCTGCTTCTAGATATTGCTGTAAAGACATATTTTCTCATTTGTTATTTCCAAGGAAAAAGATATGTATGAAAAAAGTAAGACAGCACTCACAATAGGCAAAGAAAAATACATATACAACAAATACATAAAGTATAATATCAACTGTTAAAGAGTTTTTAGATAGAAAAATATTTAGGGAGGAAATAGAGTAGTAATGGTTATCTCTTGGAGGAAAGGCTTTTCACATATTTATTTGGTTTGAAGTCAGGGCCTGGACATTCTCCATGATTTCTTTTACTCAAAGCTAGTATTCTATCACTTTGAGCCACAGCTCCCCTTCCAGTTTTCTGGTGGTTTATTGGAGATGAGAGTCTCACAGACCTTCCTGCCTGGGCTGGCTTTGAACTTCAGTTCAAAGATCTGAGATCTGAGATTCTCAGATCTCAGCCTCCTGAGTAGCATGACCCACCAGTGCCCAGCTGAGATTTTCACTTTATTTTTGGAAACTTTCACTTGAGTTCAAGTCCTTTCAAACTTATTCATAATACTTTTCATGGAACTGTTTGAAATGAGTGTCATTCTTCCTTCCATCAACCTTTCATAGGTCCTGCAGAAACCTTTACTTCCCAGCTGACTTGACTGATACACTTAAAGTCTGCTCTTGTACATTTTCTCTGTTCTTTCACTCAAGCTCTTCACTGCCTCTCTCTCCATCTTCTTCTGGCAAAGGGCTCTCTTTTTCACTACCTGTTTGGTTAGCATCTCTTTCATAAAGCTTTCCCTGAGACTGCTCTATCCTAACTGTGTTAGTCTTTGTCTCCTCTCAGTCTACATGGAGTTATGTGCTTACAATATATTGCACCTCTATTATGGCATTTAGTATTGTAGCAAGTGAAATATGAGTCTGTCTGTCCTACAGGTACATGAGCTTCCCTGGGGCAGATGAATAAGGTGATGCATCTTTGCATCCCTCATGGAGTTTAGTGTAGAGAGTTAATAAAAGATGTACAATTCATGCTTTCAGAAAAGACCTCATAGCTAATCTGGTACATGGTCACTTTATAGAGTCTCAAAAAGACAAATTTGTCAAGATCATAAACTAGTCATGGGCAAACATGGGATGATAACTCTGATACTCTGCTCTGAGCATTTTCCACAATGGCTGTCTTATCAGTAAAAGGCTGATGAAGTTTCGGTTTAATTTTCTAAAATCTTATGAATATTACCTGGCCTTCTGGATTGTGGGTTACAGGGGTTTCACCTTCCAAAGGAGTATCTGAGCTCTGAGATCTTAGACTAGGTGCTTGCTGAAAGAAAATGAACGCAAAATTGGATTATTATATTATCGTCATAATGGCAGAAGCAATTATTACTACATTGCACCTAAAAGCAACACATACAGAGATAATTCACCAAATAATAAATCAGCGCAAGACTCTGACCCACCTAAAAACACACAAAATCATCTTCTCAAGAACATACCATATCTGTAAGTCTAGGCTTTCCATCTATATCTTTTTCTTTCACTGTTTTATCTTCTTTCAGATTCTTAGCAACTGGTTTGGACAGTGGAGAATTAATTCCTCCTTTATTATTGTGAATCATATTATGATGGCCAGTGTCTCGGAACAAGCTAAATAAACATTTGGTCTGAAAAGAAACAAAAAAATGCAATGAGGCATAGGCCAGTGAAATATACTTAAAAGCATCATAAATTCAACACTGTAAAATCATAAAAGGGCTGGCTTTACACTCTTAATCTTCCTACCTCCACCTCCCAAGTGCTGAGATTGCATATGTATACCACATGCCGAACATCAAGCATTATTTCCTCATTTCAGCTAATTCTTTAGGCATTCTCTTTGGAACCAAGCAAATCAATTGCCCTCCACCAAGATCATCATTTCAACCCTGACTCCAAATTGTGTGAACCTTCGCTGACTGGCGGCACAGCTGTTGATCCTTATAGCTTATTGTGCCCTGGAAGTATGGCTGAGCTAAAGGTGGAAGACCAAATATAGGGAGGCCCTGGGCGGATGCCTCACATTCCTCAGCCTTTCGTACTGTTCACACTTCAATCTGTTCTCACATTTGCTCCATTTCAGGAGTGTAACTACTTTTTGAGTAGAGATGATTTGACAACCTCTTTATTTCTTCAAATACTCCTCTCCAATTTTTTTAGGTATTTAAAAATTATTGTGAAGAAATGTCCTCTCTCTCTCTCTCTCTCTCTCTCTCTCTCTCTCTCACACACACACACACACACACACACACACACACACACACACACACACACACACACACAGAGCTGACCTTCCATATCCGGTGAACTCAATCAACCATCGGTTTGAAATATTTTAATATTATTTCTACTGGATTGAACATATAGATTTTTTTTCTCATGAGTTCCCTAAACAACATAGTACATAGTTTCAAAGCATTCACATTACATTAGGCATTACAAATATATATTAAGGATAAACTAGGATGAAACCTTACATGTAATTCTTCCTTACCTTTTCAAAGACGGCACTGTCTATGTAGGGGTAGACATGAAAAGCTCCTCGAATCCTCTTCACACCAGGATACAGCAATGGGACCATATTAACATAAGCCACACCGTGAAATGAAAGCAGAGTTTCATCTTCAGCCTAAAGGAACCAAAATGAAGAGTTGTTAGCATGAAGTGTCAAGCTCCGATTGAACAGTTCAAAGACTCAGTGTGTGTGTGTGTGTGTGTATGTGTGTGTGTGTGTGTGTGTGTGTGTGAGGGGGCGGGGAAGAGAAGGAAAGAAAGGAAGACAGTCCTCTGTGTGTGTGTGTGTGTGTGTGTGTGTGTGAGAGAGAGAGAGAGAGAGAGAGAGAGAAACAGGGGACAGGGAAGAGAGGGAAAGAGAGGAAGACAGTCCTGGGTTTGAACTCAGGGCCTGAACACTGTTACTGAGCTTTTTTGTTCCAGTCTAGCCTTCTACCACTTGAGCCATAGCTCCACTTCCAGCTTTTTGGTGGTTAATTGGAGATGAGAGTCTCATGGACTGAGCCAGGTACTGGTGGCTCACACCCGTAATCTTAGCTACTCAGGAGGCTGAGATCTAAGAATCGAGGTCTGAAGCTAGCCTATGAAGGAAAAGTCAGAGAAACAATCTCCAATTATTACAAAAAGCTGGAAGTAAAGCTGTGGCTCAAATGGTAGAGCAATAATAAAGCCCAGGGACAGTTCCAAGGCCCCAAGTTCAAGCCCCAGTAAAGGTACACACATATACATAATTACACAAAGTTTCATGGACTTCCCTACCCAGACTGGCTTTGAACTGTGATTGTTAGATTTCAGTCTCCTGAATAGCCAGGATTATATATATGAACCATTGGTGGCCAGCTTCAAAAACTTTTTTGGTTTTTTAGAACCAACTCTGCTACTTAATTAGTTATATATCTTTGGGCCAGTTACATAGGCTTTTAGGAGGAAATGATTCTTTACTTTAAAAAAATACAAATAGCAACAACAATAACAACAAACCAGGAGCTTTGGATCTTAGTTTTGGTTCACAGACCCATGTGAAATGAAAGAAGCCTTACTAATCATGACCAATAGGTTTGATCTTATGTCTAAATTCTCATTAATTGGTAGAATATGCTGTGTTGGAAAAGATTTTGTGTATTTGTCTGGGTTCAGACCAAGAGTGCTTTGCTTGATTAGCAATATCTGCTATAGCTGAAAAAGGGTGAATGACAGTCTACCAGGTTTTTTTGCAATACCTGATCTCACCTGAGCTTGCAAAGAACATGTTAATAAGTTAATCTTAATATACAGCAATAATAATAAGCTTAATAACAAAAATGGTTGTATGTTTGCCACAGAATAGTTTTATAAGGGACAAATATCAATTTTAAAAGAAAATACATTTAATTCTAAGCTTACAGGATACAAGGACACATACACCTCCATGTTCACTGTTCACAATAGCCAAGATATGGAAACAACCCAGATGCCACACTCAAATGAGTGGATCCAAAAATTGTGGTACCTATCAATGGAATATTATGCAGTCATTAGAAAGGACAAAATAGCCAGGTGCTGGTGGCTCACACCTGTAATCCTAGCTACTCAGGAGGCTGAGATCTGAGATTACAGTTCAAAACCAGCCTAGGCAGGAAGGTCCGTGATTCCCTTATCCCCAATAAAGCACTAGAAAACCAGAAGTGGCGCTGTGGCTCAAGTGGTAGAGAGCTCACCTTGAGCTGAAGAGTGCAGGGACAGCGCCCACACCCTGAGTTCAGGCCCTCAACCGACGGGATGGAACTAGAGCAAATTTTTTTTTTTTTTTGTCGGTCGTGGGGCTTGAACTCTGGGCCTGGGCGCTGTCCCTCAGCTCTTCAGCTCAAGGCGAGCGCTCTACCACTTGAGCTACAGCGCCACTTCCGGTTTTCTGATGGTTTATTGGAGATAGGAGTCTCACGGTCTTTCCTGCCCGGGCTGGCTTTGAACCGCGATCCTCAGATCTCAGCCTCCTGAGTAGCTAGGATTACAGGCGTGAGCCACCAGCGCCCGGCGCTAGAGCAAATTATTTTGAGCGAGGTAAGCCAAGAGCAAAGAGACAAATGGCACATGGTTTCCCTGATATGAGGATGCTAAAGCCAAAATGCAAGGAGATATGACAAAGTAAACAAGACTTGAGAAACAAAGGACTTCTACTCATTTTATTGTATCATTGCTAAATGACTCCATGTTCTTGACCACATATATGCATATCTGAGGGAAGCTAGGAGGAGGACACAGAATCAGAGGGAAATATGAAAACATACAACAGAGGGGCCTATCAGCTGCGCTGGACATAGATGAAAATGAACTAAGCAATGGGAGGGAGGGAGGGAATGAGAGGGAAAGAGGGAACAGCTTACATTAAGCAAAAGGAAAGAAATATAAATACCACCTGATGTGGAAGAAATAGTTGTATCGTCAAAGCTCATAGAATTCACAAACTTTGCCTTCTGAAAGTTAAAATGTGTTTGTGACTTTAAGTATCACTATTTCACAATACTGTGAAATACGTGAAATTTATGTAATCACCTAATCTCAATAGAAAATTTTAAAAAATTCTTTGATTTCACCTGTTATAATAAGTAGGCAGTACATTTTAAAGTTCTGTTTGTGTTTGTCTGATATGTGGCTTAGATATCTAAGGAAAGTTAGACAAGATATAGTGTATACTAAAGGGGATATGATTACATTCTTATTATGCAAAAGATCAGTCTGATTTTATTTGACTGATTTTTGTCAGACTGATTTTATTTTTATTTTTTTTAAATCAGTCAAATAACTACTTATTAAATACCTGCTATGTGTCAGGCTAGGTATCGTGGAAAATATAAAGCAGTCTTTTACATGATCCATACCCTCAGTGGGTTTGAACACAAGCAGAAAGACCAGATACACACAGGAAAACAATAGAAAATGTAATCTAGACTCACCAAAGCTGTATCGTTTCAAAGTAGTGTTATATCTATGAAGCCTACAACATGACTTAGTAGTCTAAGTCATTTTGCATATGGATCTAAAGTAATTTTTAATGTATAATAAGTATTTTTATGTATTAAGTTGAACTGTATTACCAATTTGAACTAGAAAAACAGCTATTTCATATGGTTCTATCTATAGCAAAACCATATTGAAGGGTTAAGAGGAAAGATAGTATCTTCAAAGAATGAACAATAGACCAGGCATGACAGCACAAGCTTGCAACCCATTACTTAGGAAGAAGAGATTGATTGAGAGGTGGTTTGAAGCCAACTCAGGGAAAAAAATCAGAGAGAATCCCATGTCAATAAATAAAGTACCATGCCAGGTGCTGGTGGCTCATTCCTGTAATCTTAGCTGCTCAGGAGGCTGAGATCTGAGGATCATGGTTTAAAGCCAGCCCAGGCAGGAAAGTCTAAGAGACTCTTATGTCCAATTAACCACCAGAAAACCGGAATTGGCGCTGTGGCTCAAGTGGTAGAGCGCTAGCCTTGAGTTGAAGAGCTCAGGGACAGTGTCCAGGCCCAGAGTTCAAGCCCCACAACTGACAACAAAAAAAAAGCTAGAATATCCACAATAGATAAATGGATCAAAAGAAAAAAAGTAGTACCTATATACACAGTGGAATTTGACATGGCCATTAGAAAGAATAAAATAATGTCATTAGCAGGAAAATGGATTGAATAAGAACAAATCATGTTAAGTAAGGTAAACTAAGCTCAAAGAGACAAATGGCACATTTCTCTGATATGCAGAAATTTGATCTAAAATATACTGGAATATGATAAATTATACAGGATTCTAGATATTCACACACAGTGAGACCAAAAGATACTCTTAGTAGAGAAATACAAAAGCACAATACATTAGTGCCTCTTCGTATTTATATAAAATAATACGCATGCTAAAACGAACTCTAAGATATGGAAACAAGAGACCTTTTTTCTTTCTTTTTTTCAGTTTTTATTTTTTTGATGATTCTTTCATCTTTACCTTATGTATGGCGTATTCAAGTGTACACCTTTGGGAGGGTTGGAGGGAGGGTATAGAACTCGAGGGAAAAGGGGTGAATAGGTACAGCAGTGGAGGTCACTGGACACTGATGAAAGTAAGCTTTATAACTCATGGGTGTAGATGGGAGGGAGGGACTGGGGGAAAACGGGGGAACAGTGAACAATGAGGGAACACCGAGACACTGTACAAAAGGAAATGTACTCATTTCTGAGTCATGTAAGTATAATCATCTCTACAACAATAATAAAGTAAATTAAGAATAAAATAAGCTGGCATAGTAGTTCCTGTTTATAATTCTAGATCCACTGGTAGGTACGGGTAGGAGGGTCTTAGTCAAGTGTGACTACAAAAATAACAGAAATAAAAAGGGTTAGGGATGTGGCTTAAATGGTAGAATGCCTGCCTCCTAAGTACAAGGATCTGTAATGACCCCTTCCCAAAAAGCCAATTATTAGTAAAAAGGGAATTATGGGGGCCAATAAGCTCAAGCTTTTCTGAGACAAAGGTTTTTTTTGTGAAATGAGACTTTTAGCACTAAAACCAAGTCTGAGCAAGTCAGCACTAGATGATCACCAAAGGAACAACAGCTGTACCTTTGGTATCAGAATTAGAAACAAAATAGCATGTTTGGTTTGTCTAATCAAGCAGTTCTTATATGTAACTTCTTTTAAAACTTGAGACTGGGTCTCACTATGTTGTCCAAGTTAGTCTTTTATTTTTGGTCAGTCATGGGGCTTGAACTCTGCGCCTGAGCACTGTCCCTCAGCTCTTCAGCTCTCAAGACTAGCGTTCTACCACTTGAGCTACAGCGCTACTTCTAGTTTTCTGGTTGTTTATCAGAGATAAGAGACTCATGGACTTTTTTTCCTGGGCTGGCTTTGAACCACAATCCTCAGATCTCAGCCTCCTGAGTAGCTAGGATTACAGGCGTGAACCACCGGCGCCTGGCTCCAGGTTAGTCTTGAACTCCTAGGCTCAAGTGAACCTCTTGCCTCAGCCTATATCAATTGCTAGGATTACAGGCACACACCACCATGCTCAATTTTATCAATATTGAATGCACCTGTTTACCTTTTCAGCCTTGGCAGCTTTCCCTTTGGGTACAACAATCAGAGGAACTCTTGTGATCTCTACAGGCCAAAGCCGGCAATCAGCAATTCGCTTTTGGAAACTGTAAATAAAGCATCATCCCTTTAGCATTATATGCAAAACTGGGGTCCAGTATAGTTTAAAGGGAAATGTTTTTCTTTAGAAAGTAACAGAGGAGGAGGAGTGATAAGAAAAGAATTGTTAAAGTATATTGTACGCACTTACAGATATAACACAATAAAAGCCCTATTGTAAAATTATGCTAATAAAAAATCAGGGATTAAAAATACAACCAAGTAACAAACAAAAAAGAGAAAGTAATGGGATACATGCATATGCATATATATTTACATACAAATATATACATACATACATATATGCATACATACATACATTTTATGATTTTTTTGAGGACAGTTCAGACTGTCTTCAAACTTGCAGTCCTCCTTTCTTAGCTTCCTAAGTGCTGGATTACCACCATACCTGGTCAGGCTAGTGATTTTTCTTTTTTCTTGATCCTGAGTACTGGGGCTGCCTCTGAGCTGTTTCATTCAAGGCTAGTGCTCTACCACTTGAGCCACAGCTTCACTTCTGATTTTTTTTTTTTGTCGGTCGTGGGGCTTGAACTCTGGACCTGGGCGTTGTCCCTCAGCTCTTCAGCTCAAGGCGAGCACTCTACCACTTGAGCTACAGCGCCACTTCTGGTTTTCTGGTGGTTTATTGGAGATAGGAGTCTCATGGTCTCTCCTGCCCAGGCTGGCTTTGAACCGAGATCCTCAGATCTCAGCCTCCTGAGTAGCTAGGATTACAGGCGTGAGCCACCAGCGCCCGGCCGCTTCTGATTTTTTTGATGATTAATTGGAGATAAAAGTCTCACAGATTGGGCTAGGAAGGTGGCTCAGTGGTAGAGCGCTTGCCTTGCATACCTGAGGCCCTGGGTTCGATTCCTCAGCACCACATAAAAAAAAAAAAGCCGGAAGTGGCACTGTGGCTCAAGTGGTAGAGCGCTAGCCTTGAGCTGAAGAGCTGAGGGACAGCGCCCAGGGCCAGAGTTCAGGCCCCACAACCGGACCAAAAAAAAAAAAAAAAGTCTCACAGATTTTCCTGCCAGGGCTGGTTTCAAATTGCAATCCTCAGATCTAAGCCTCTTGGGTAGTTCAGATTATGTACATGAGCCAATATACGTACAATGAGCCAGCTTGAATATTTTAAAATATAAAAGCAATAAATGGTCACCTTGACAAAGCTACCATCACCAAGTGACTCAGATACTAACAGATGAATACAGTGTTTAACTCACACAGAGGCAGTGGAAGAGAAAATCACAAATTACTTTAAATATGAGTGAGATTAACGATAACTTTTTCCCACCTTTGGTCTTCTTGCACAGACATACTCCCTTTCTGTTCCTACCTGACAGCTGCAGAAGGATCAAGGTAGCAGCGACTTTCCAAGTCCCAAACAATCCTTTTTTTCACGCACTCTGCTTGGTTCCTAAATTCTCTGTCCTGTAAAGTAATAAGACAGGGAATTCTGTTCTCTGTGTGTGCCACAGTTCATCCTTCTCAATCTGTGGGGCATTCTTTGTTGTTGTTGTCAGTCGTGGGGCTTGAACTCTGGGCCTGGGCACTGTCCCTGAGCAATTCAGCTCAAGGCAAGCGCTCTACCAGTTGAGCCACAGTGCCACTTCCTAGTGGGGCATTCTTTGAATGGATTTTTATCACAATATTATGCAACTACTATCACCATGTTAAAATGTAGTAACAGAAGATAATCCTTACTCAGCTAATCCTTATAGCACTACAGTACTAGGTGTCAAATATTCCCTCACATAACCTCAAATGAGTGATTTTTAACATGGATGCATATTAAAGTCATATGTGAGTGTAAAAGCAAAATAATACCACCTTCCCCTGCCACACACTGCCAATTCTTGGAGCAGTAGTAGTATTTTTTTTTTGGGGGGGGAGAGTTCCGGTCGTGGGGCCTGAACTCTGAGCCTGGGCACTGTCCCTCATTTCAGCTCAAGGCTAGCGCTCTACCACTTGAGCCACAGTACCACTTCTGGCTTTTTTTCTTTTTGCTTATGTGGTGCTGAGGAATCAAACCCAGGGCCTGATGCATGCAAGGCAAGCGCTCTACCACTGAGCCACCTTCCCAGCCCTGTAGTAGAATTTATTTTTGAGACAGGGTTTTGCTATGTGCACTGGTCCTAAATGTGTGGGCTCAAGTGATCCTTTATTTCAGCTTGTCAAATAGCCTAGACTATAGGCACATACCACTGCATCTGGCTGTAGCTTTTTAAGATCTGTTTCTGTTTCTCTCTCTCTCCCTCCGCCCCCCCCTCCCTCTCTTCCTTCTCCTCTCCCCTCCTTTCTCTCCTCTCCCTTCCACCCTCTGCCTGCCTCTGTGTGTGTGTGTGTGTGTGTGTGTGTGTGTATTTTTCCAGTGTTCAGAGAGTTGAGATCAAACTCAGGACTAGTGCATGCTAGGGAAGCACTCTAGCACTGGGCTATACCCACCCTGTGGTATTACCTTAAAAGGGAACTTTAATGTAATACATCTGGGTCAGGGTTTCAACACTGTCATTGTTTTAAAGCTATCCAGAGGCCAATATGACTATAATCTTCAAGATGCTGAGGCAGAAGTATCTCAAGTTCAACCAACCTGAGCTTACTATTGTAAGACCTGTTGGAAGGAAGGAAGGAAGGAAGGAAGGAAGGAAGGAAGGAAGGAAGGAAGGAAGGAAGGAAGGAAGGAAGGAAGGAAGGAAGGAAGGAAGGGAGGAAGGGAGGAAGGGAGGAAGGAAGGAAGGAAGGAAGGGAGGAAGGGAGGAAGGGAGGGAGGGAGGGAGGGAGAGAAGGAGGGAGGGAGGGAGGCAGAGGGAGGAAGGGAGGAAAGGAGGAAGGAAGGAAGGAAGGTAAAAAGAAACTTCTCCATGTAATTTCAATATGCAACCAGGGTTGGGAATTCATGATCTAGACAAAAATATGAAATCCAAATATCTAATCTAAATTAAAATATAAATCTAAGGAAGGAATAAATTTTTACTTAACAAATGATGACAAAAATACTTGTGTTTTTAAAATAGTGCTATCCTTTTTTCTATTTTTTAAATATGTAGAGCCCAAAATGAAAACACTCAATAATTTTCATTTTATGAGTTATTTTATTGAATGTTTTCACTAATGAGTATCAGCTTGCTCTTGCTCTCTACCACTCTCTCTCTTATTTTTTCTTTCTCCTCTCCCTTCTTCCTCCCCAATATAAGGAGAGAACAGTAACTTTTATTATTGTTATAGTTTGGATGGTGACTCTCTCCCAAAGGCCCATGATTGAAAAAGTACTATAGGACAGTTCCAGTTGGAGCAGACATGCTCTCAAAAGATACTACAGATCCTAGACCCTTTTGCTTTCTAGCCATGAGGCCAGCAGCTGTGCTTTGCCATGGTGCACTACCTTGCCACATGTGCAAAACAAGTTAATTGATTCCAAGCTAGAAGTTCTAAAACTGTAAACCAAAATAAAACTTTACACTTCATCAGTTGATTGGCTCAGGCATTTCATTATAGCAAAAGAAACCATGCAAAAAAGGAAAACAAAGGTCAAATTTTATGTATTTTGTGTGTTGAATTTAAGAAATAAAGAGAATCATCAGAACTGGATAAGTATTTTGCCTTGACATGTAAATGTTTTAGTTTTACAAGTGACAGATATATATATATATATATATATATATATATACATATTTAAATTATAAAATGTTTTATCATTTCTCAGTACAATGAGTTTATCATAAAAATCAGCTCACTCTCACCTCGGGATGGTTGAGTTCTCCTTCTTCTTCCTCATAGGGACCACCAACAATGAATTCATCAGGAATGTTATTTGCTCCTGGAGCTAGAATGTTGGCAATAGGCCATTTTTTGGGTCGGGGAACAGGTTCTCTTTCACCTCCAACCTTTAGATTTCCATTCTTGAATAAAATGGTATAGTCTTTCTAGAGAAACAAATACCATCTATGAGGAGAAATTGTAAATGACTTTGAAAAAAATTCTGAAGTGTCTTTTCATTATAATTGATATGGTATTATGTAAAATGCCCTTCTGTGACTGACTTTGTATAGGGCCTAGGTCCATCATTTATGTGTTATTTTGCTATCCTGTGATATATAGAAAACTATCACAATGCAAATTACTCTGGCCCACAGATATGCAAATATATTTATACAGTATGAATGTAGTTGTTCATTGCTTTAGGATAATGACAAGTTTTGAATTATTACCAAATTTATTAAGCATTCCTGTGCTTGTTTACAAGTCACTTTTTCAAATTCTCCTTCGATATGCTTTACATTTTACTTATTTACTCACTAATTGGTTAAATGAAATATTTATCTCTGTCTGTGCCTCTGTGTGTGTTTTTTGTTTTTTTGTTTTCTGGTTTTTTTTTTGTCGGGGGGGGGGGGGGGGTGTTGAACTCTGGGCCTGGGTGCTGTCCCTCAGCTCTTCACCTCAAGCCTAGTACTCTACCACTTGAGTCACAGCATCACTTCTGGTTTTCTGAGTGGTTTTATTGGAGCTAAGAGTCTCACTGGCCTTTCCTGTCTGGGCTGGCTTTGAACCAGGATCCTCAGATCTCAGCCTCCTGAGTAACTGGGATTACAAACTGAGCCACCAGAACCCAGCATGCATGTGTGTTTTTACTGGGGATCCAGTCTAGGGTGCATGCATACTAGACAAACTAAACTATATCCCCAATCTTAAATGAATTCCTTGAATAAATGCTATCATTTTATGTTTATATGGAAGTTATGAAAGTTTTAACTATACCTGTTTAAAAAAATTATCCTTGCTCGGCGTTGGTGGCTCACACCTGTAATCCTAGCTACTCAGGAGGCTGAGATCTGAGGATTGCAGTTCAAAGCCAGATGAGGCAGGAAAGGCCATTAGACACTTATCCCCAATAAACCACTCAGGAAACCAGAAGTGGTGCTATGGCTCAAGTGGTAGAGCACTCACCTTGAGCTGAAGAGCTGAGGACAGTACCTAGGCCCAGAGTTCAAGCCCCATGACTGACAAAAAGAATAAATTTTTTAAAAAAATTATCCTTTAAAAAGAAAACTAAAATTTATCCTGTCAAGAAATTTAAAAATACAGGCATTTTCATCTTAGAATTTATCCAAAAATACACGTTTAATAGGTCTAGCAAAGTTGTCAATAGGCAACTTAAGAGAAAAGGAAATTAGAAAAATCCAATATTTAAATAAAAAGTGCTATAATTAATAAACAGTGAAATACATAATTAGATATCATTTGGCAAAATCAAAGTCTAAATATGCCCAATGTTGGTAACATGGCTAATGGAAATAATAGTGTGTGTGTTGGCCAGGCAGAAAAGTGTGTCAGATTACATCTCCAATTAACAATAAAAAGCCAGAAATGGATATGTGGCTTAAATTGCAAAGCACCAGCCATTACCAAAAAACTGACCAAGAATATGAGGCCCAGAGTTTAAATTCTAGTACCAACATACAGACAGAATTTTTTTATGTTTTTGGCTGTGGGGCTTGAACTCTGGGCCTGGGAGTGTCCCTGAGCTCTTCAGCTCAAGGCAAGCTCTCGACTACTTGAGCAACAGCACCACTTTTGGTTTTCTGGTGGTTAATTGGAGATAAGAGTCTCACAGATGGATATTCCTGCCTGGGCTGACTTTGAACCATGATCCTCAGATCTCAGCTTCCTGAGTAGCTAGGATTACAGGCATGAGCCACACCAGCACCCGGCCAGAATTTTTTTTAACAATCAACAAAGAAAATTCTAAGATCTCCAGGGGGTGGAGTGGGGTGGGGGAATTATACTAATGAAGGTACTTTTAGAAAACAAAACAAACAACAAATAAATGAGAAAAATAAACAGAAACACAAAGTTGAAGATGGGGCAATGCATAGCTCTGTCTTGTACAATTCTGTAGGGTATTCCCAGAAGTAGATCAACCACTCAGATTTTCCTGGACTGTCCCAGTGTTAAGACCGAAACCCCTTATTTCTCAAACAAACTGGGCAAGATTTAGTGGGTCAATCACAGAGATAGTTTTGGTAACAAGACATCTGGGAGTGCTACCTGATTACAAGCCTTTTTAGTAGGCAATTTTAAAAATTTACCAACATAGCCAAGTGTTGATGGCTTATACCTGTAATTCTAGCTACTCAGGAGACTGAGATTGCAGTTCAAAGCAAACCTAGGCAGGAAAGTCCATGAGATTCTTCAATAATCATCAAAAAGCTGGAAGTAGTCTAAGTGCTTGAGTAAAAAAAGCTAAGGGACAACATCCAGGCGTGGCACAAAAACCTGTACCAAAATCCTCAAAGGTCCATACTTAAATGTTCATATAGCTAAAACTTCAGCCTAAGAAAATAACCTGGAGTAAAGAGAGATACATTGTGTAAAACCCACAAAAATGTGTACAAAATGTGCACATTTTATATAAATATGCCCAAAGAGCAGCAATATATTACTGTAAACTAGACATAATATACAATATATTACATATGGTTATATAAATTATAAATATAAAACTATGAGCATAAAAATTTTTGGTCTGTTGTGGAGCTTGAACTCAGGGCCTGGTCACTGTCTGAGTCTCTTTGTGCTCAAGACTAGCACTCTACCACTTGAGAAACAGCACCACTTTGGGTTTGTGAGTGGTTAATTGGAGACAAGAGTCTCATGGGGACTTTTCTGCGCAAGCTTGATTTGAACTGCTATCCCTGAGGACAGCATATCTATCCCTGAGGATACTCAGCCTCCTGAGTAGCTAGGATTACAGGCATAAGCTACCAGTGTTCAGTAAGTATAAAACATTTTTGAAGCCTCAAACACATTCTCAGCCATCAGCAGAGTGATACTTCACCTTTAGAAGGTGAAGAAGAGATGAGCATTTGAATGTAGAATGGTTTGAGTCTATGAAACTAAATGGCAGCAGGGCTTACCTCTCCAACTGATGGAACTTGCATACCAACCATGTAGTTCTGCTGAGTCCCTGCTGGGACGAATGATTCAGGCAGAGAGTAGGCAGCCTCCAATGTGACCTTCAGAAGATTGCCCCCTAAGACCTGGGCTGAGGTCAGTAAGGGCTCTCCCACAGATACCTTAACATCAAGACTGCTCTGCTGTAAAGAATAAAATGACGCAGAACTTGAAAATTGCTTTATCCCTGTTTTGGGTGGGTTTTTTTTTCATCATCTCATATCTAAATATGAGGTTCAAGACAAAAGAGCAAGCTCAATTATTTCTATAATGAAACAACTTTGTCCAGACCCCTCTGTACAGTATTTTCAAAATAAAAAAAACTTATTAAAAAAAAAGAAATAACTTTGTTCAGGTTCTATGAGTTGGAGAAAGAACCAAATAGAAAGACACACTCCTTGCTGGGCACTGATGGCTCATGCCTGTAATCCTAGCGACTCAGGAGGCTGAGATCTGAGAATCACAGTTTGAAGCCAGCCTGGGCAGAAAAACTCCTGTGAGAATCTTATCTCCAATAAACCACTTAAAATAATAACAGAAGTGGGGCTGTGGCTCAAAGTGGCACTAGCCACTCAAGGCACTAGCCTTGAGAAAAATAGCTCAGGGACAGCGCCCACACCCTGAGTTCAAGCCCCACAACCGACAACAACAACAAAAAGAAAACCTTCCTCCTAAACCCAGAATGCTTTCTCATCACAGTAAGGCAAAATGCATATACAAATACATATAGAAAAGAAAGTGATGATACTATACTGAAATATCAACAGCTGCTACAAATTAGTAGCTTGTATTTTGTATCTCTTTTGTAATTTCAATGTAGTGCTTTATAATATTTTCAAATCTATACGTATGTATCCATAGACAGATATATATGTATGTCTCTAATATTTTCATATGGAATAAAAATTAGATTTAAAATGTGTTCTGATTGCTAATTACATTGGACTTCAATGCAAAGAGACTTACTAAATTGAATGGCAGGCTAAAATGTTAAGTTAAAGCCAATTACCTTAACACCTGGCCGAAGAGTCTCTAAGGGCGAGCCCTGCACAGGGTGTAGTGGGACTGATATTTCAAATGAACTCTCTCCTGTGAAAAGAAGGCCAAGATGTGCCCAAGAAGGAAGGTTAAATTAGTACTACCACAGGCATAAATAAATATCCTATTTTCCCCTCAAATCTTTCCGTTTTATTGTGACTGAGTTTTATAATTCTCTAGAGATAAATTTATGAGTGTTGCTATTTAGGGGAAAATCACTTATCTCACCTTCCAGTAATGGAAGAAGGTCCACCACAGCTTGACCAAGAATTAAGGTCTTTTCTTCTTTCTGCTTCTTTTCCTTTGGTAAAACTTCAGTCACAGTCACTGAAAAATTAAATTAAATTAAAAAAGTAAATAAGCCAGGCACCAATGGTTCACGCCTATAATCAATCCTAGCTACTTAGGAGGCTGAAGTCTGAGCATCAAAGCCAGCCCAGGCAGGAAAGTCCATGAGACTCTTATCTCCAATTAACCACCAGAAAACCAGAAGCGGCACTGTGGCTCAGGTGGTAGAGGACTAGCTTTTAGGTGAAGGGCTCAGGGACAGCGCTAGGGCCCAGAGTTCAAGCCCCATGATTGACAAAAAGAGAAGAAGAAGGAGGACAAGAAGGAGGAGGAGGAGGAGTAGCAGCAGCAGCAGCAGCAGCAGCAGCAGCAAATCAACTGAGAACATTTCTATTTCATCTATAAGATAATCAAGGCACAGAAAACGAAGTATTGCCAAATAAGTTTAAGAAAAATGAACTTTGGCTGGGGGACCATAGATTAGTACAGGATGTGGGCAAGCTTTGGGTTCAATTCCTCAGCTTAGAAGATAAAGACTGCAAAGTACAGGCACGAGCGTGTGTGCGTGTGTGCACGCGTGTATACACCAAGGCTTAAACTTATACTCTGGTTCAACTTTTTTGGCACTGTACCACTTGAACCATGTCTCCACATCCAGCTTCTCATTGATTAATTGGAGATTAGAGTCTTCCAGATTTTTCTGACCAAGCTGGCTTTGAACCTTAATTCTCAGATTTCAGCTTCCTAAGTAGCTAGAATTATACTGTGAGCTGGCAACTGGCCAAAGTTTAGTCTTAGATTCAAAGCTTTGATGAAAAGCTGATTAAATTAGTAGGTATGTTTACCTGTGCCAGAAGCAGTTAATTCATTGTTTCTACAGTAAGGACCATCTGACTGTTCCAACAACAGTGACCAAGTGCCACAGATCACTTCATAACCAGCATTTTTTTTTAGAACCACCAGGACTTACAGAATGCAGGTTTGTGGGCGATGTCATCTAAAGTGATTCCTCCATCCTGATTGTACTCAAAACTGCTAGTGAAGTTGTACTTTGTAGTTCCTTCTGGAGAAACTGTAACTTTTGAAGAATCTCCCAGTACTACTTGATTGAATTCTGCACGAATAAAAGTAACTGGAGTATCTCCTTTAAAACCTTTCTGTTGATAGAAACATATCTGTTTAAAATTACATTCAAATACAAAATTTCCCTACATATCTGGTAACCCATTTTGAATTGGGCTGAACAGTGTTTTCCATTTTTCCCCCACAATCAAGTAGAAACTTGTTAAACGTATCAAGTTGTAGTTAAATGTAACATTCTAGTTACATACCAGTATGTTAAAGTTTTTTTAAAGTGTTTATTGTATTGGTTGGTTGTAAAAATATTTATAAACTGGGTACCTTTAATCCTAGCATTCAGGAGGTGGATATCTGGAGGATCTAGTTTCTGCCAGTTTGGGCAGAAAAGTCTATTTCTAGTTAACCAGCAAAATGACGAACTGGAGACATGGTTCAATTGCCACAGTATCAACCATGAATAGCAAGCTGAGAGTGTGAGTCCCTGAGTTCAAGCCATGGTACCTACACACATATTCAGAAAATATATTATAGAGCCAGGCATTGATGCTTCATGCCTTTAATCTTAACTACTTGGGAGGCTGAGAGCAGGAGGTGGGAAGATCACTGTTGAAGGCCAACCCAGGCAAAAAGAAAAGTTCTCTAGACTCTATCTCAAAAGGAAAACAAAACAAAACAGCAAAAGGCAGAGTTGGAGGTGTGGCTCAAGTGGTAAAGTGCCAGCTTGGCAAGCATAAGGCCCTGAGTTCAAATTCTAGTACAGCCAAAGAACAATGTATGTTGTTGAATATTTAACAATAAATAAAGAAATTACACAGGAAAACAAATTACCTGTAAACTGACTCCAACATGTAAGCACTATTAACATTTTAGAATACATACTTTAGTGTATGGCTCCGGCCATACATTTTTATATATACATTTTAAAACAAATATGGTTCATTACTCATATCCTCTTTTGGAACAGCTTTTTAAACTTCATAATAGCGAACTATTGTCATCTCATTATTCTAATTTTTGATATTTATGGCAGTATGTTATTTCAGTTCCTCAAATAAAGTTAATTAAATGAACTAAGCAACTTAATGGCAGTGATGGGAGGGAGGGAACAAGTGGGAAAGAGGGAACAGCTGATGCTATGCAAAACAAAAGAAATATACATACCACCCAATGTGGAAGGAATAACTGTATCGCAAAGCTCATAGAACTCATAAATGTTATAGACCGTGATAGACAACTTGCTCCAGGAAAGTTAGAATGTGTTTGTGACTTTAACTGAGCATTATTATCCCACAATACTGTGAAATTTGGGAAATTATGTAACCACTTAATCACAATAAAAAATTTGGAAAAAGAAAAAAGAAATGATCACAAAAGGGTGGGGGGAGAAAATTGAGCTGGTGGCTCACACCTATAATCCTAACTACTTAGGAGGCTGCGATCTGAGGATCATGGTTCAAAGCCAGCCAGGGCAGAAAAGTCCGAGAGACTCTTATCTCCAATAAACCACTAGAAAAACCACAAGTGGCACTGTGGCTAGTGGTAGAGCACTAGCCTTGATCCGAAGAGCTGAGGGCGGGACCCAGGCCCAGAGTTCAAGCCCATGACCGAAGAAAGAAAGAAGGAAAGAAAGGAGGAAAGAAAGAAAGAAGGAAAGAAAGAAAAAGAAAAGAAAGAAAGAAAGAAGAAAGAAAGAAGGGAGGGAGGGAAAGAAAGAAAATTGGAAACATTTAGATTCTTCTAAAAAGAAAAGGGAAAAAAAGAACTTAGTGGAAAAACAAAAACAACTTCTTATTCTACCCCTGTTAACCTTAGTATTCAAATGGTCAGGTATTTTAGTTACCCAGCAATGTGATTTGCTGAGCAAAGACTAAAAATAAGGGGAAACTACCGTGGAAAGCCAAATAATGGAAAATTCCATTATTTTTCAGATGCTCCCAAATTAGGAACATTACAGAATATAACTTTACCAAATCATATCCATCTGTCACAGTGATTTGCACTACTCTGGTTGTTTGTGTGACCGGTTCCATATCAGCAACTGGGCACCCTCTCTGGTCTTCTTTGGCTGGTCACTGTAAAGAAAACAAACAAACCTGTCCCCTCATGTACATTATCTGTCCCATACACAAGTACTATTGGAAAACCTAAGGACAAGTATTGCCCTGATTCCCTTTTCCAATGTCTGCTGATGGACAGACAGTGCTTTTAGAGATGGATGCAAGCAAGGTCCCACTGGTTGGTACTAAAAATATTCATATATGTGTAATCTATCAAGTACAAATTATCACAAAACATTGCCCTACCATTCACCATCCTTCACAATGTACATTGGTACTTATTTTTTCCAATCTGCAAAACTCTCCTTAAAGATTATTTCTTGATTTTACAAAAATGTATCTTGAAAGAAAGGCAATCCACATAAAATGACAATCTACTGGAAAAGATTTTTACATATGTCTCCATCAGATTATACTTCTAATTATTTTCCAAAACCCAAAGAAACAATTTAAAAAATAATTAGTGCTACTTGTTTTGTTTTTATGGTTATGCTTTTCTAAGTCAAATTGGAATTTATTCAATTGAAAAACTGAGGCTATACTATGCAGTCTATGTATGATTAATGTTAGAAAAAATAATACAAACATTTACAGTCTTCAGGCTTTGTAATTATTCTGGTTCCACCTCTGTAACTCCCCCATTTTTCCATTTACCTAAACATCTCAGAGCATTTGTTCAACTAGACTCTTTCAAGACTAAGTGGCACTGAATTTCCTTATTCAGTGTACATTTGAAAAGCCCTTTTATATCAGGCCCATTCTTTCCCCTATGTGAGTAAGATCTTCATGTCCCCTCCTTCTGCTGCTATAACAAGAGCTTTCCAACTGGTCTGATTCCAGCTTCTTTTTTTTTTTTTTTTTTGGGGGGGGGGGTCCGGTCGTGGTGCCTGAACTCTGGGCCTGGGCGCTGTCCCTCAACTCTTCAGCTCAAGGCTAGCGCTCTACCACTTGAGCCACAGTGCCACTTCCAGCTTTTTTCTTTTTGCTTATGTGGTGCTGAGGACTCGAACCCAGGGCCTCAGGCATGCAAGGCAAGCACTCTACCACTGAGCCACCTTCCCAGCCCCAGTTCCTTTTTTTTTTTCTCTCTAATCCACACTATTTCTGTCCAAATAATTCATGTAAGTTGGGCCACTTGTCGGGGGCACAGTCCTGTAATCCTAGCTACTTTGGGAGGCTGAGAATGGGAGGCTCACAGAGAAGCTGGGGCAGAATAGTCAAGACCCCATCTGCTGGATATGGCAGTGCTAAACCATTAATGACAGGAAGCCTGAATTAGGTAGATCCCAGTCCAAGCATGCACTAGGGTAGGAAGTGAGATTCTATCCTACAAATAACAGGTAAAAGCAGGGCTAGAGGCATGGCTTAGCAATAGAGCACCCACCTACCCAAGAGCATGTGGCCCTGAGTTCAAACCCCAGCACCACCAGAAAAAAAAAATCAATGATTCAGCTAAGTACTATGGTAAGTGTTGAGAATATAAGAAATCAGGTGTAAAATCCTTAACCTCAAGAAGTGAGGAAAAAAGACATGAAAAGACTAAAAGCTATCTTCTGTATAATGGATGCTCTGACAGTAGAAGGCAAAGAGAGGAGAGGAGAATATAATTGAGAAGAGGAAAGGATGGAATTAACTTTGATTATGGCTTAGTATACACCCCTGTGCTTAGAACTTTACAAATATCATATGTATCCACTCTTCCAGGTGAATAAAAAAATGTCTATATATTAAGTGCTAAAGGTGGGAACAAACTGGATTTGAGAGTATATGTATGGTGGGCCTGCCAGAAAAATCTCCTTCTAAGAGGTGACCTGGAGCAAAAATAATAGACTAAAATGATGTTCTAGGAAGAGAATAGATGTTCAAAGACAAAATTTAAAATGCAGAGGCAAGGAAAATAGCTTATGTATGTGTATATTGTATGTGTGTGTATTTTGTAATGCCAATAGTAAAATCTAGGGTCTCATGCATGCTAAGCAAGCTCTCTACCACTGACCTGTACCTGAAGCCCCAGGACTGGGGAGATAAAACCTTATTTTACTTAATAATTGTGATAAATGTCTAACTTTTCTGAGCCTCAGTGACACCATCTGTAAAATGAGTATAACCACTTCTGGCCTTGGGTTCACCTTTGTGGTGAATATTCCCTAAAACAGTCAAACCATTTGAGATATGAAGCACTACACAGTATCAATGTTGGTGTGCACTACTTTCCTCAAAGCATCTTGAAGATACCACCTGCTCCCAGGAAGCTGCAAGGTCGAGGGTCAAAGGGGAAACAGGAGGAGATGGAGAGGTCGGCCTGGAGAGGTCGCACGGGGCGAGGGTGATGGGAGCTCTCCGGGCCCTGTTCCGGCAGGAGAGTTGGCACCTATTGAAGTCAGTGGCACAAGATTTGTGTGATAGGGTGTTGTGCAAAAGCAGGGAGGGAGTGGGGAAACCTGGAAGAAAAGCTTTATCCGGAGGAAAACCGTCTTACCTGAGGCGGGCGCTGCTGGGTTAGAAAAGCGGCGTTTGTGCAACTATAGCAACCAACAAATCTCGCGCGAATTGCCCTCCTGAGCAGGCGGGAAGCTTGCGTCTTCCGAGACTCCCCGGCTTGCGCGAGAGCCCGCCGGGCTGGCCGCGTCCCCGCGCTCCCCAGCTGCGCTCTCCCCTCTCCTGCGGGATTTTCCATACAGGTTTCTTCACCTTTGGAAGAGTTTGGATGATCTCGTGTATTTCACTATTCCTCCATGTAGGAGAAAAGTCAAAAGGAAATTTAAAGGAACGAAGCCCACACGTTTTCTTTTTAAATGCACTGGAACAGAGATCATTTTGGTTGGGTGTTCTCCAGTCTCAGCTAGATGGGAGGCTGAGGCAAGAGCTTCGAGATTTAAGCTACCTTGAACAAGCAAGACCTCATCTTAAAGTCTTATAGTCGGTGTTCACTATTCTTTCTCTCAATTTTAAGCGCATTTAACAAACCAATATTAGGTATCTGATTTGTGCCAAGGAGCGGAATATTAGAAATGTGTGTGTGTGTGTGTGTGTGTGTGTGTGTGTGTGTGTGTGTATCCTTGGCAGAACTTATAATCTAACATTCTAATTCTAGTAACTTCATTTTTGTTTAGAAGTCTTACTTGATAAAAGGAGAGTTCTCAGAAGAAGAGATAAAAATGGCAAAGACACACATGAAGAACTGTTCATCATCTTTGGCTGTAAAGGAAATACAAATAAAAGCAACCCTGAGATACCACCTTACCCCAGTCAGAATGGCCCACATCCTAAAGTCAGCCATCAACAAATGCTGAAGGGAATGCAGAGAAAGAGGAACCTATTGCATTGCTGGTGGAAATGTCCACTAATACAACCACTTAGGAAAATAGTCTGGAGGTACCTCAGAAAGCTAGGTATAGACCTCCCCTATGACCCAGTCATACTACTCCTAGACATCTAGCAACAGAAACCAGGATACAAGGACCCATGCACCTCCATGTTCATTGTAGCACTGTTCACAATAGCCAAGATATGGAAACAACCCAGATGTCCCACTACAGATGAATAGATCAAAAAATTGTGGTAGCTATATACAATGGAATATTATGTAGCCATTAGAAAGGACAAAATAATGGCATTTGCAAGGAAATGGATGGAACTAGAAAAAATCATTTTGAGCGAGGTAAGCCAAAAGCAGAGACAAATGGCACATTATCTCCTTGATATGTGGATGTTAATTCCAAAATACAAGGAGATGTGACAAACAGGATCTGAGAAACTAAGGACCTCTGGGGCTGGGAAGATGGCTCAGTGGTAGAGCGCTTGCCTTGAATGAATAAGGCCCTGGGTTCCATTCCTCAGCACCACATAAGCAGAAAATGCCAGAAGTGGTGCTTTGGCTCAAGTGGTAGAGTGCTAGCCTTGAGCTGAAGAGCTGAGGGACAGCGCCCAGGCCCAGAGTTCAGGCCTCTTAACAGACAAAAAAAAAAAAAAAGGACCTCCACTCATCTTGTCATGTCATATTACTAAATGACCCCATGTTGTTGGCCACATATATGGTGTGTGTGTGTGTGTGTGTGTGTGTGTGTGTGTGTGTGTGTGTATGTGTGTGAACATCTGAGGGAAGCTAGGAGGAGGACACAGAGGCAGAGGAAAACATACAACAGAGGGGCCCATCAGCTGCGCTGCATGAACTAAGCAACTCAAAGGCAGCGATGGGAAGGAAGGAGTGAGCAGGAAAGAGGGAACAAGAGGAAACAGCTTACACTAAACAAAAGGAAAGAAGTGTACATGTCACCTGATGTGGAAGATATAGTTGTATTGTCAAAGCTCATAGAATTCACAAACTTTATAGACCATGAAAATGACGATTTACCTCATGAAGGCTAGAATGTGTATGTGACTTTAAGTATAACTATCTCACAATACTGTGAAACTTGTGAAATTTATGTAATCACTTAATCACAATAAAAATTATGAAAAACAAATTATATTAATCACTTTTTTAAAAAGTCCTATTTCATTACAAAGGTCAGCCTGAGAAGGTGGCTTAGTGGTAGAGTGCTTACCTAGCACACATGAAGCCCTGGGTTTGATTCTTAGGTAACACATAAACAAGGTGTTTGATTTGCACTTTCTCTAATACCTAGTACAATGACTAACAAAATAACTTAGTACCAGAGCTAAATCAACAAGTTTTGAAGTCATTTTCCTATACCACTACCTGACTTCCTGGATTGTTACCTCTCCCAAAAGCTAGCATTAGTTCTCTCAGAGAAAAACAAAGACCTACATAAAGTTTTACTAGATATGAAAGTTGGTTACATATCTTGCAAAAGCATGAAATTAGACCCTTATCTTTACACTTTACACACACACACACACACACACACACACACATACATACACAAAATCAACTGAAAATGGATTGAGATTTAAAGGCATAACCTACCAATCCCCAGCACCAAAGGTAAAATGAGGGAAAAAAAAAAAAAACCTAAGACTAAGTGGCAAAGCAAGGAGTTTACTAGAGAGAGAAAATAAGTTAAAGGAAATACCAGTTTTGAGTTAGGTAGTTGAAAAGCAAGCACTATGATTAAAATTTTCATTAGAGTTCAAGGCGTCAGACAGGAACTGATGTTGACAACAGTGGGCTGATCTTAAGGGAATGAGGTTTCATGACTTGGCAGACTTCTGGAGGAAACCTGCACATGTACAAGGTCACCATCCTATAATTTAAGCATACATATGAGATGTAATGTATATGTATGAAGGCTGAGGTAGGAGAGGCTGTGAAAAGCCCAGGCTAACGACATACACATTTTCACTGTGTAGGTTCCTTAGTTTGGTTAGAACTACCCCTAGGGAAAAGGCTGAACTGACAATTGACCACTAACTACTCACAATGAGAAGTGGCCATGGGACATACTATATGAGATAGAGCTCATGAACCTTTCTAAGGGTATGACTAGGAGAAGGGGTTGGTTTCAGCATTTGTTGTTGTTGTTGGTCATGGGGCTTGAACTCTGGGCCTGGGCTTTGTCCCTCAGCTCTTCAGCTCAAGGCTAAGGCTCTACCTCTTGAGCCACAGTGCCACTTCCAGTTTTCTGGTGATTTATTGGAGATAAGAGTCTCATAGCCTTGCCTGCTTGGGCTGGCTTTGAACCACAATGCTCAGGTCTCAGCTTCCTGAGTAGCTGGGATTACAGGCGAGAGCCACCTGCACCTGGCTCAGAAGCTGGGCTTTAAAGGAATCCTACTGTCCATATGTAAGTGCCAACCCAAAAAACCACTCGGACACCCAGTCATGTAGGAGAAAGAAGCGTTTAATGTCAGCTAGAGGCTGACAGGCTACCTCTTGAGGGACGCAAATGGCTCTTGCAGCCTTAGAGGTAAACATAGTATTAGGAGTCTGAGAGCAGAAGGGGCTGGTGCAGGAAATCTTTGTAGTCACAGCTGGACTGTAGATATCTGACAGCCAGGACAGGACATTCTATAGCTGGCTCACAGCCAGGGAAAACATCCCATCACAGAAACAATACATTCTATATCTAGCACATAGCAAAACCAATATATCTTATAGCTGTCATGTAGCTGGGGGAAACATCTTGGAGCAGAGACAATACATTCTATAGTTGGCACCTTGAGCTCATACAAGAGAGACCAAGACTAGTGTCTGGACTCCACTGCTGATGCAGCCAGGGCCAGTGGGAATAGACCACTATGGCCGGGCCTGGCTTGGAAAGGACTCAGGGCAAGGGCTGTCAACCCAAAGTGGCAGTGAATAAACTTACACCATACATCATACTAATTTTTTTCAAAGTAACTTTTGAATACATAATATTGCACTTTATATATATATATATATATATATATATATATATATATATATATATATATATATATATATATATATATATATTCGCAGTACTGGCACTCTAGGAGGACCCCTAACCCCCTCCCTCTTTTTTTTGCTTTTTAACAAAAAATTAGTTATGGGCCTAGGCTCCGTAGCAGTCAGTCCAGTATTCTCTTAACCTCCTCCAGAGTACTGGCATGTACCATTAGCCCTAACCCCATAAATTTTGTTGGTGGTGGTAGTGGGGGTTGAACTCAGGGTCTGGTCCTATCCCTGAGCCTCTCTGTGCTCAAGGATATCGTTCTACCACTTTAAGCCACAGCACCACAGCACCACTTCTGGTTTTCTGTGTTTAATTGGAGATGAGTTTCACACACTTTCTTGCCTGGGCTGACTTTGAACTGTGATCCTCAGGTCTCAGCCTTCTGATTAGCTAGGATTACAGGCCTGAGCCACTGGCACCCAGCTTACATTTTCTTGAGTCATTTGTCCAGTGTTAGGACTATGAGCTGTTTCCTTTCATAACTTAGCTACTGTGAATAACGCTACAATGAACATGGACATGCAGGAGCGAGCTTGGTTTATATGATCCATGACTGCTACTGAGGTGTTAATATAAAAGCACATTTCTACTTCAGATAGACACATATGCCTCCAGCACTGTTGTTTTTCTAGGACCTTCCTATTTTGTAAAATAACATCTGCCAATGAATCTACTTACTAGGTCAGCGTACAGAGCTCTTGAGTGCCTTGGCAAGGTGGACATATGCGCAGAGGCACTTCCCTAGTTGCGGTTGTTTCAGTCAGTCCCAAGGTCTCAATAATGAAAGGCTATTGCATTGGTGCTATCACTGTCCTCTTTGGGGGCTATTGTTATTATTATTATCACGGCATCCAGGTATTTCCATTAGCATAATCCACATCAGGGAGGGGTTAGGCCAAAATGGCACCTTCTAGTGCCTCTAGTGCCATGCTGTATCTCCCATTTTCAATTGATTGGAAGGTTAGATATAGTTACCACGGAAGAAAGTCTTTGTGTGGGATCTAAAGATAATGGATGCCCACAGCTTCAGTTTCTTGGACCAATGTGCAGGGGAAAATTTTGCCTAATGGTTTTAGTGGAAATTCAAAGCCTTTAAAGTCTTAGTGGCCAGTGCCTCACTTGGATAGTTATAGAAAAAAACAAAAAACCTTAGATGTTATTAGGAGTTCTTTTGTCAGAGGGATATAGGAAGAGAAATTTGAGACCTGTCAGGTTACTGAATCCCATCCTGATGACAGGTTTTGTTCACTTTTGTACAAAATTGGGCCTTTCTAGGGCTAGGAAGCTGTGTCCTCAGAAAGACATATTTACTGATCAAGTAGTAAGGCTTTAATTGTTCCTCATATGTAGAAGTTTAGGTTGTTCCCCACTTGTAGTCACCTGAAAAGTGAAGTCACACTGGGTGATATTAAGGTTACTGCAGGCTCCCCTGATTTTAGGTACCTAGAGGTTTCAAAGCAAATGTGGAACTTAACATCTTTGCAACAGTAAGGTCAGTTATGAGAGAGCATGGAACTATCATTGGATAATGGGGAGGAAGGTTTCTGTTCAGACTTCACCACAAAGGCTTTAAGAAATGCTTTCTAGGGCTGGGAAAGTGGCTCAGTGGTAGAGTGCTTGCCTTGCATGAATAAGGCCCTGGGTTCAATTCCTCAGCACCACATAAGAAGAAAAAAGCCAGAAGTGGCTCTGTGGCTCAAGAAGTGGTAGGGTGCAAGCCATGAACTGAGAGCTGAGGGACTATGCCCAGGCCCAGAGTTAGACCCCATGACCGACAAAAAAAAAAAAAAATTCTTTTTATTGCTTCGTTAGGAAAGGGGGCCTGATATAGAACCTGGGTGAAGAAAGTGGCTATCATGATTAGCCATACTGGCAAAGGAGTTGGTACCACCATTTCTATTTAGTCCTTCCCATAGGCCCAGTAATCTGTCAGGTTGAAAGTCATTGGTGGCTGGGAAGGTGGCTCAGTGGTAGAGTGCTTGGCTCGCATGCATGAGGCCCTGGGTTTGACTCCTCTGTACCACATAAACAGAAAAAGCTGGAGTGGCACTGTGGCTCAAGTGGTAGAGTGCTAGTCTTGAGCACAGAGAGGCTCAGAGACAGTGCCAGGCCCCCAGAGTTCAAACCCAGGACCTGCAAAAAAAAAAAAAGAAGAAGAGGAGGAGGAGGAGGAGGAGGAGGAGAAAGAAGAAGAGGAGGAAGAAGAAAAGAAAGTCATTAGCATTTAATTGTATCCATGGGAGGACTCAGGCCACAGGAAAACCAAAAGAGACTATAGAGAGGAAGGTCAAAATAGGCAACATGAATGTCATCAGAGGATGGCCCCTTGTAGCAGAAAGAAGAGTTCCACCCAGAAGGAACTAAGCAACTATATGTACCAGTTCCCAATGCTCCCAGAAGGGCATTAAGAACAACTACAAGCCAAAACAATGGGTGCCTTAGCCTATCATAACTCACCCTTTTTTTTGTTGTTGTTGTTGGTAGGTCTTGAACTCTGGGCCTGAATGCTGTCCCTCAGCTCTTCAGCTCAAGGTTAGCACTCTACCACTTGAGCTACAGTGCCACATCCGGTTTTCTGGTTTATTGGAGATAAGAGTTTCACGGACTTTCCTGCCTGGGCTGGCTTTGAACCATGATCCTCAGATCTCAGCCTCCTAAGTAGCTAGGATTACAGGCATGAGCCACTAGTGCCCGGCTCAAGCTCTTGAATAGCTAGGATTACAGGCATAAGCCACTGGTGCCTAGAAAATTCCATAACTTTTAAAAAAGAAATATAAATCTTTTCAATACAAAACTTTTCTAAAATTAGTGCTGAAAAGGTTCACATATTAAAAAAAGAATAACCAATGCCTTAAACTTATCAGTAAGGAACACAATGATTTGGGGTGATGCCCAGATCCTCACTGCTAATGTGAGACAAATTTTTGAGCTGGTAATGGTTGCCCTTAAGGTGACCCACCTACTTTGCAGGATGCCTGGGTGCTGCAATCTGAAAAAAAAAAAAAAAAGAAGAAGAAGAAGGAATAACCAGTTATCACTGATTGTGAGGTGGGACACTTCATTACTTGTGTTTCTGAGCTGGTAATGATGTTCTGAAATCAAGCTGGATGAGCAGCATTTTTAAATAATTCTATTTTTAGTCTGGCATGGTGCTTATGCCTCTGGTCTTAGTTATTTAAGAAGCTGAGATCAAGAGGATCAAGATTCAAAGCTATTGCAAGAGAGCACCCCTTCTCTTGAAGGGGTGATATTGTCCAAAAAGAAATGTACTCATGTTGGGCACCAGTGGCTCATGCCTATAACCCTAGCTACTCAGGAGGCTGAGATCTGAGGATTGTGGTTCAAAACCAGATTGCCAGGCAAGTCCTCATGAGATTCTTCTCCAGTTAACCCCCAGAAACTATAAGTAGCACCATGGTTCAATGTGGTAGAGTACTAGCACCTAGCAAAAGACCTGAGGACAGCACCCAGACCATGAGTTGAAGTCCCACAACTGACAAAAAAAGATGTATTAATCACCTGATATATGTAATTGTAATCCCTCTGTATATCACCTTTATAATAGCAATACATTTTTTTTTGGGGGGGTCCAGTCGTGGGGCCTGTACTCTGGGCCTGGGCGCTGTCCCTCAGCTCTTCAGCTCAAGGCTAGCGCTCTACCACTTGAGCCACAGCACCACTTCCGGCTTTTTTCTTTTTGCTTATGTGGTGCTGAGTAATCGAACCCAGGGCCTCAGGCATGCAAGGCAAGCGCTCTACCACGGAGCCACCTTCCCAGCCCCAGCAATACATTTTTTTAAAGACTCAAAGTTCAAAAAGTTTGCAAAACCTCATCTCAACCAATAAAGGCAGTTGGGTGTGATATATATATTTATATATAATATATATATAAATATATCATATATCATATCATATATCATCCTAGCTACACATACAGCTCTAAACTCAAAACCCAGCACCACAAAAGGAAAAAATTCCTTTCTTCTTCTTTGTGCCAGTCCTGGGGCTTCAATTCAGGGCCTGGGCACCATTCCATTGCTCTAGGCTAGTGCTCTACCACTTGAGCCACAGTGTTAATTACAGCTATTTTGGTGCCCAGGCTGGCTTCAAACTGTGATCCTCTACCCTTAGCCTCCTGAGTAGCTAGAATTACAGGCATGAGCCACCAATGCATGGCAAAATTCTCAATTTTTGAACTTGATAAAAGTAACAAGAAAACTTTTCATTTTAAGCAAAAAAGTTCAATATTACAGCCGGGCACCAGTTGCTCAAGCCTGTAATCCTAGCTACTCAGGAGGCTGAGATCTGAGAATTATGGTTCAAAGTCAGCCCAGGCAGGAAAGGCCATGGGACTCATCTCTAATAAACCACTAGAAAACCAGAAGTGGCGCTGTGGCACAAAAGGTAGAGCACTCGCCTTGAGCTGAAGAGCACAGGCACAGCGCCCAGGCCCAGGGTTCAAGGCACACAACTGACCAAAAAAAAAAAAAAAGTTCAACATTAGAGAGATTAGAATGATTTTTATTCCATTTGAAATCTTGATTAGAAATAAATGCAGTGAGAATGAAGCTTTATAAACAGTTCAAAATTACTACATCATTATAATATGGCTTTTACATTGATTGTACATAGAGGGAAAATTAGAATTAAGGCAATAACATGTGCAACCCATGCACATTCCCTTGACACAGTCCTCAGTAAGAAGCTGTTTTAGTTAAGTGATAGTTGATATTGCTGCATGCAGTCAAGCAGTCTTGGTAAGCCATGAATAGCTTCATTCGTTATGGGGAAAAACAAATCTCTCCTACTGGCCCACAATAGCCAGAAGTAGCTTCTGGTAATCTCCACTTGTATCACTTGCAATCATTGTGGCGAGGGTCTTCTGATACATCTGAGTGAACATCTGTTTTATTTGTACGAGGTCAATCTGTATGAGGAATCACAAGTTAGGAAAAAACTGTCAAAAGAAAGCATGTGTATTATAATTTTTTGAGTAATGGTATCCTAATAATCAAAATGGGAAGAAGGGAGAAACAGCTAGTGTTAATACCAGTGCAGACTGTCCAATTGTAAGTCTGATTCTCTGCTCTCTAAAACACTGAAGGACATTAGTTATTTAAGCACTACTTAATAATAAGATGGCTATTAAAAGAATTACAAAACACAGCAAGGGTTGGCAAGGGTGTTGAGAAATGGGTACACTTGTACATTGCCAGTGGGAATGTAAAATGTTATGTGTTCTGAGTTAAATAATATGGTGGTTTCTGAAAAAAAAAAATCCCAAATGAAAGCAGAGACTTAAACAGATATTTTCACATTTACATTTGTAGCAGCATTATTTACAATAGACAAAAGTGGAAGCAACCAAAATATTTACAGACAGAAAAAGGAATAAACCAAAGGGGATATATGATACCATGGTATCATATGGTAGCTTTAAGAGGGAATGTATTTCTGACATATGCTACAACCTGGGTAAACCCTGGTGACACTAGGCTAAGTGAATGGAGTCAGTCACTAAAGGACAAATACTGTATGAAATGTAGTCAAATACAGAAAGTCTCATGGTGGTTTCTTCTGGTTGGGAGAGTTATTTAATGAGTAAGGATTTTCAGCTTTTGGAATTGGAAAAAAGTTCTGGAGGTGGATGATGGTGATGGATGCCCAACAATGTGAATGTAAGTAATTCCAAGGAATTATGTACTCAAAAGTAGCTAGAATATGTATACTTTTAAGGAAAAAAATACACTGCTTTGAGAATTTCAGTCTAAGAATAAACACAATAAATGCCATAGTCTTCTTTCAAAAAAACCTATTTACTTTCTCTGGTATTATTTCAAAGTATTATATTTTCTTTTGATTAAAAATATATAACGTAACAAAAAACATTTGAGTCTATATTTTCACAAAAAGATGAATATTCTTTTGGTGGTGCTGCTGCAGGCTTCCTGCTGTTGTGGTTAACATTCCTAAAACTTGCCATACTTTCTGTAAGAAGTGTGGCAAGCACCAAACTCACAAAGTAGCACAGTACAAGAATGGCAAGGATGGGGCTGGGAAGGTGGCTCAGTGGTAGAGCGCTTGCCTTGCATGCCTGAGGCCCTGGGTTCGATTCCTCAGCACCACATAAGCAAAAAGAAAAAAGCCGGAAGTGGCGCTGTGGCTCAAGTGGTAGAGTGTTTGCCTTGAGCTGAAGAGCTGAGGGACAGCGCCCAGGCCCAGAGTTCAGGCCCCATGACTGGACCCAAAAAAAAAAAAAAAAAAAAAAAAAAGAATGGCAAGGATTCTGTTTGCCCAGGGAAAGCGTTGTTATGATGGGAAGTAAGAGTGGTTATCACAAAGACAATTATTCCAGAAAAATGCTAAGAATATAAAGAAGGTGGTGCTGAGACTTCAATTTTTGTGGAGCCCAACTGCAGATCTAAGAGAATGCTGGCTATTAAGAGATGCAAAGTGATCCAGTTCTAAATTCCAGCTTTTGTTACAAATCATGAGGTCTAAGCTCTAACTTTTGTTATGAAGATAAAAACCATAAGGTCTAAGCTCCAATTTCTGTTATGCAGAAAATAAAATCATGAGGTCAATTTTTTTTTTTGTTGTTGTTGGTCATGGGGCTTGAACTCTGGGCCTGGGCGCTGTCCCTCAGCTCTTCAGCTCAAAGCAAGCACTCTACCACTTGAGCTACAGCACCACTTCCAGTTTTCTAGTTGTTTATGGAAATAGGAGTCTCACAGTCTTTCCTGCCCAGACTGGGAACTGCAATCCTCAGATCTCAGCCTCCTGAGTAGCTAGGATTACAGGCATGAGCCACTGGCGCCTGGCGAGATCAAATTTTTTAAAAATTGTTTTATATGGTTAATAAAAGATGCTAAATTTCAACAACTTTGATATCCAATGATAAGTCTATAAAAGTCTTCCATGAAAAGTATAAACAAAATGAAAATACAAAAAAAAAAAGCCAGTTTTAGCACTTCCCTAAATGTATAAGGCTTCAGGTGTAATCCCCAGGGCAATCAAATAAATATCAGGCCCAAACCTGGAGTCCCAGCCTCTCAGGAGGCTGAGGCAGAGGACAGCTTACATCTAGGAATTTGGTGCCAGCATGAGCAATAGAAAGTCTCTTAAGGAAATTAAATAAATATCTTCCAACTAGATCGGTATTCTCTGCACCACCCTCAAGTAGGAAATGTTCTTTAGTGCAGCACCAGGTTCTGTTTTTACTATTGTGTAAAAGTCAATATGGTGCTGTTTCTATTCTACCTCTCTTTCTTTACTTCATTCTTGAGGGTTTCACAGTTATTTAAGCAACATTTAAGAAGTCAACATTTGAAATCAAGTAAGAGCAGACAAGAGGAACTGTTGCCTTGCCTTACCTCACTGCGAGTGACCACAATCCTGACCAGGGTAGAGTCATCTGTGCCAGCACCTTTCATAGAATAGTACAGACGTTCAGCAAAGAAGGCAGGGCGACTCAGGGCACACTGCACTACAAGACAGAGATGCTTCAGACAGAAACCATGGCTTGACAAACATCTATCCCACCCACCTAACTTCACTTATCACTGCTAACCTGCACTTGTTTACTGTCCACACAACTTCTTAGAATTGACCAGGTGGCTCACGCCTGTAATCCTAGCTACTCAGGAGGCTGAGATCTGAGGATCACGGTTCAAAGACGGCCCAGGCAGGAAAGTCCATGAGACTCATCTCCAATAAAACCACTAGAAAACTGGAAGTGGTGCTGTGGCTCAAGTGGTAGAGCACTCGCCTTGAGCTGAAGAGCGCAGGGACAGCACCCACGCCCAGAGTTCAAGCCCCACAACCGACAAAAAGAAGAAAAAAAAAAAGAATTAAAGGTGACCTGGAGATAATTTCCTCTTTGACTTTTTCAGCACATACACACATACACATACACACACATTTTTGCCTGTCCTGGGGTTTGAACTCAGGGCCTAGGCTTGAGCCCATGCACCACTTCTAGATTTTTCTGCATAGTCTATTGGAGATAAGTCTCATGGACTTTTGTGCTGAGGCTGGCTTTGAACTATGACCCTCAGATGTCAGTCTCCTGAGTAGCTAAGCATGAGTCACCAGCACGTGGCTATTTTTTAATGCATCAGACAGGCAACATGAGATTCTAGAAAACTCCTTTTGGCTAATAAATCTTAATTTCTCAGTATTGATGCAATATTTTATATTTCTTTTCCCCTCCAGTGTGAAAATCTGTAGCAAATGTACTGCGAAAGCTTATTAAAAGAAATACGGACAAAAATATGAATTCTGTAAGTTAAAAGATATATATATATATATATATATTTTTTTTTTTTTTCCCTTGGTCGTGGGGCTTGAACTCTGGGCCTGGGCGCTGTCCCTCTGCTCTTTAGCTCAAGGCTAGCACTCTACCACTCAAACCACAACTCCACTTCTGGCTTTCTGAGTGGTTTATTGGAGATAAGAGTTTCCCAGACTTTCATGCCAGGGCTGGCTTTGGATTAGGATCCTCAGATCTCAGCTTCCTGCGTAGCTAGGATTACAGGCATGGGTCACCAGTGCCCGGCTAATGGATATCATTTGACTGAGAGAAAGAAATGAGATATATTCTAAGAGGATACAGATTTGAGCAGAGATTTCAAAATGATTCTCACAAATCTGACATATCTCTTTGGAAAATTCACTTCATGAAGTTTCCTCTTCACAGATGGCAAAGAAGTATTAACTGTACATATATTACTATAGTAATATTTGTAAGATATGCCTTTGTTAATATCAATGCAGTACTAATACTGTCAATAGATATGTAGTTTCCACTGTACAACATTTCCATTTCATTAGACATTTAGGCATTATATCAACAGAAACTAGCTAATTTTAAAAGGGCAAATTTCTTATTGGGCTGACTTCTTGAAAAGTATCTTTTGAAGGCTCAAAATGATATTCTGTGGTGGTATTAGGAGTTCCTTTCATTCACTTTAAAGAAAGTGCTAAAATCTATTGGATCTTCTTGTACAGTCCTCTTGAAAGGCTGAAATAAAGGTCAAATAATCTCAAAGCAAGCCACTGGTCACACTAATCATTCACAGGAAGTTATGTAATCTTTAGCCATTTAAAAACATAAATGGGCTCAGCTTCTGTGTAAGCAGATTTCTTGGGAAATCATATTAATTAAACTCACTAAATGAGAACAACAATTCAAAACCACTACTCATTTAGAAACAAAATAAAGCAAAGCTCAAAAGTATCTTACAGATGGTCTTCAAACCACTTTCAACATATCCAGAAAATTCACGACCCACGCTGCTTAACAAATCTCGATTAGCCATCTGCAAATAAAAATTACAGTTTTAAATCTGTTCACATCTTGAGATCAACACCAAACCTTCAAAAGAGCTCATACCGTGGAATAAGCCTCCATAGTAGCTCTCAGCTGAGGAAAGCTTCTTGTGGCAAGTATCATGTTAAAGCAGGATTCATCTGTTCCTAGTCTCCCCTCACCAGCTTGATAGAGACGCTGAGCATCCTCCTGAGCCATTTGGTGGTTTATACTTTGACTCTCATCACGATTTCCCTGCATAAAGGAAAGAGAGGAATTAGAAGAAAGAAAAAAAGTTCTATTAAGAAATTTTCCCCATCTGGTAACTTTTGAATATAAAGGGATCATTTATTATGGATTAAGGTATAAAATCCATCATATATATGTGCGTTTTCCAAAGACACTATATCAGTACAGCTAGCATGTTATTACACATTGATTTTGGATTTCAGTAATAGGTATCATCGTTTACTGAGTCTATGTTAAAACAAGGGGTTTCAAGTGCAATAGCTCATATCTAAATTCCCAGCTACTCAAGAAGCAAGGATCAGAAGGACTGAGGTTTGAAGCCAATCTGTGCAAAAAAAAGTTGAGATCTGCTATATTAATAAGCTGGGCATGGTGTTGCACACATGCTACTCCAGCTATGCAGGAGATCACAGGTAGGAGGATCATATTCTAAGGCCAGCCCTGGCAAAAATGAGACCCTTCGTGAAAAATACATAAAGCAAAAAGGGGCTGATAGTGTGCCTTAAGTGGCAGAATGCCTGCCTTTCAAATATGAAGTGTAAGTTCAAATCCCAGTATTACAAGGCGGGGGAGGGGTTTCAGGACTTTGCAAGCTGAATTAAACCAGAAAAATTCTGAACAAAAATATCTGTAACTGGAAATACAAATTACCAAGTCAAATGACAAAGTTATAACTCTCCTTACTAGGGAGATCAATATGCACTGTGTTGAGTTATGCTTGTATTCACTCATGCAACTAAAAGATGTGGAATACTTTCTTTGTACCAGATAGTAGGCTAAGTGAAGGGGACAAAGGGTGATAAGATCTCTGACATCAAAGAATTTTAAATCTAGGGAGAAAAGGTATAATATGGAAGCCTCATTAATTTCCTTTCATCCAGGTATAATCTTAACATGAGTATCATAAAGACATAAATAAAAATGACACATGAGCTTTATAGAAAGCAAGGCTGCTCTCTAGTGTTTTGTTACCCATATGAGGACAAAATGGAAGAGGAACAACTTGGCACAAGGAAGACTTGTCCTAAATGGGCAACTGAACAAAGCACAGAGGTTGAGGTGTGACTGAGGTAGAGCATTAGCTTAGCATGCATGAGGCTATAGGTTCTGTCTCTAGTACAACAATCAGTTAATCAAACAAATAACTACAAACAGATACATATAAAACATTTTTTAAAAAATAAAAGGTACTCAGGAAAACTTCCCGGACTATTGCCTATGGATTCAAACACACAATGTAGTCCCATTTTCTAGACAGTTACTTCTCTGTTCAAACTCTAGAAAAGGTATGGGTAGGTAGGTGGTGAGCCTGCATAAAGAGAAACCCAGCACCCCATGCGGAGTCTGATTTGGTTTTTTAGTACTAAATGTCTATTTCTGGCTTTCTTCATTTTTGTTTTAAAATACTAATTTATTTTTCATTTCCCTGCCTTGTTACTCTGTGGCAGGTACATTTAGTTTTCCTTTTTGCCATCTGCTGTATTTTCTCACTTCCATATCCCCTAATTTTTGTATATTCTGCACTTCACTCAGTTAGCACACTTTCTGTAATTACCTCTTTTGGTCTACTTTCAGATCCCTCAAGACCATTCAACCTTGTGTTCCAGCAGGACAGCAAGTAACTCCTGGCAATAATGCTAGTCATTTGTATTATGTCTTTCAAATACATTCTCATTCTCTAATTCCATTTCTAATCATTCTGAATACTGTCCTGGCTTTCTGTCACTTTTGCAGCACATTTGGGGAATCAGAATTATATTATGAACTCTAAAGCACTTTCAGTATTTGTGGCTTTTCTCACACAGTTCTCCCAACCTCTAACACTTCTAAGGCAGTCCTGCATTTCTTCAGTCAGTCAGTATAACTAGGAATACTACTAAGCTTAAACACACAGTTTTATCACCATCACAGGGCCCCAAGTGGGTTTCTAATTCTATAAAACCTTAAGGAGGAAAATTTCTTCTTACAATAGCCAGACTTGCAGATATAAATCCTAGTAATAAACACAAAGTAATCTGAACATTGGATTCTGTGCTGTTAGTGCTAAAAGTTGGCAATATTCCAAGGTGGCTATGTATTCAAAGGAATACAGATGCTCACCAACATCAGATATAATAATACATCCTCACCAACGTACAAACATTCATACTATACTCACCTGGCACATGGATACAAGTAAACGTTCAAAATGCCCTGATGTATCTGACCTAATGTCCTTTTCAAGGTCTCTGCCAAATTCTGATTGATAACATCTGACAATTTCTCGTATTTCTTGATTTGTTCTTGTACACAAAATCTCAATCAATACACGCTCCTGAGTTCCTGCTCCCTATATAAAAATTAAGAATGGACAAATTATACAAAAGGAAAAAACCCTCTGAGTTAGACATTATTATTTTATCTAATGTCTTTAGAACTGAAATGCTCTATATTTCAGACGATGCACTATAATACATTGCTGCATTACCACAAATTCAGAACCACTATAACTTGTATTTATTCTAAATACTTAAAGTACAGATAATACCTGCATTGCATTCCGTAAACTCCAGGCATCATAATATGTGGGAGGCATGAACAAGGCAAGGATCAGTTCTTCCATATTGCCACTCAATTCAGACTTGAGATCTTTGATTAAATCCTATTTAATTATAAATACAAGCTAAGTACATGTGCTCTCCAAATTTTGTCACTTAAATTTTTAAGAAAAATACAGAAAAGTAAAATGACATTGCTTTATGAATGCAAAAATTTCAAACCTGAAATATAGTAAGAAATAAATGCATACATATTCAGTTGAATGTAGTTTATTCACTGTATTTATGAACATATTTTCTTTTCTTTTCTTTTTTTTTGTTAGTCATGAGGCTTGAACTTAGGGCCTGGGCACTTGACCTGAGTTTTTTGCTCAAGTTTTGTGCTCTACCACTTTGAGCTACAGGTCTACTTCTGGTTTTAAGTAGTTAATTGAAGTTAAGAGTCTCATGGATTTTTCTGCCTAGGTTGGCTTTGAACCAAGATCCCCAAATCTCAGTCTCCTGAGTAACTGGGATTATAGGCATGAGGCACCAGCACCCAGCCATGAACACTTCAATTTTTATGGCAATGTTTAGTGGGATAGGAATGGAAGAAGATGAAAAACAGGCAGGGATTATAAGCCACAAATCCCACTGTGAGGAGATCACAATGGTGGTCATAATCTACTTACCAATGAATAATTCATATATGACTTAATATAAGGTTAAACTATAAAATTAAAGTTTACTCTAGGATGAAAATGGCTTTTAAGAGAAATACACAGTAGATCCATCACTTCCACAATCTGTAAAGTGCAGCTGTCTCTCTTTTGTAGCACAGATATAATGAAAACATAGTATCTAATACAATACAATGCAGAGTCTATAGGCCTGTGCTATGGCTCACTATAGAAACAATAAACAATAACAAAAAACGTACCTTGCCATACATGGTTTTAAAAGCTGCTTTAATTTTTTGCCTCTGATCATTGGAACGATTGGCCACAACATCCACAATTGCTTGTTCATCAGTCCCTGGAAGAGCCATGCAGGTGGATATAGGGATGAAGTCCTTGTTTGGTGACCCTAGAGGTCATCTCTTAGAATGTTTATAAGGTAGTATGTGCTTAATTAAACTGAGGTGTGGGTACACAGGAACTTGGTTTATGACATAGATTTATTTTACTTTACAGCTAATCATTTTAATTTATTGTAACAGACAAAAAAAAAAATCTGCTTTCTCACCAAATCCTTTCATCGCTTTACGGAGAATTTCTGCATCTCTCATAGGATCGAAGTTGGCAGCTGGTCGGATTGTACCTTGAGTGCCCTGAGTCATCGCAGCAGGCTGAGAATAAGAGGCATGAAATCCAACTCAGGATTCTCTGATGACAATAAGGCAATTTAAAGACTTTCCCAGATATGAGTGTTTGGGTTTGGGGGCTCAAATAAGAACATTTTATTATCAAGACTCATTCTAACAGGACCTGTCCCCTTTAGGACAGAGTTTTCTCCTGCTAACAGATGGGTAGATATCAAACTTCCAGGGGAAAAAAAGGGCCAAACTTTTACAGTTAAAGTCACAGTCTTCTCATGCTTTGGCTTCCTTATACATTCCCATATATCTACACACAGAAAGATAAGAGAAGAGACTGGTCCCTGAATAGTACAAGATGAATGACAATATTTGATATAAAAAGACAGAAACAGCAAAGGCTTTACTGAACTAGAAATGAAGTACCTGAGTTTTCAAACAGGCCATCTATCTTCATTTGCTACAGGGCCCTGTTTGTTAAAGATGTAGTAAAACATTTTGTAATTAAAAGAAGAATAAAAGTGATTAGTATGAAGCAAATTAGATACTAAAATAGCAAGTGAGTGAGTGAGTGAGTGTGTGTGTGTGTGTGTGTGTGTGTGTGTGTGTGTGTGGTGTGTGGTGTGTGTGTGTGTGTGGTGTGTGTGTGTGTGTATATACTGGGGCTTAAACTCATGGCCTTGCACTTAACTTTAGTTTTTCTGCTGAAGGATGCTACTTTACCACTTGAGCCACTTAGTTGGAGCTAAGAGTCTCTCAGATTTGCCTGGGCTGGCCTCGGCCTCCTGAGTAGCTAGGACTATAGGCACTAGCCACTGATGTGAGGCAAGGCTGCTATATTTAAAACACAAATCTACATGGAAACGAACAAAATTGCTATTTGGCAAATACATTCATGAGAACTGTTTCAAGCAAGGGTTATAACTGGATGCTAAAAGGAGATGGCAAAAGTATGCTAGGAGCCAAGATATTTGTATAGGTTTTAATGTTACATTACAGAAACCAGGAGAACATCATCCTAAATAAATGGTCAAAAGTAATGATCACTAGTAATGGAGCAAGTCAACAATAACTATCTCCAGATATGGTGTGCCTGGAAAACGTTTTTTTGGTCCTCCTGACAAAAAGTCTAACCTAATTTAATGAGAAAACATCAGACAAACCCAAATTAAACGTTTTAGAAAAACTGGTAGCACCCTCAAAAGTGTCAAGGTCTTGAACAAGAGCAATTGAGAAAGGATTCCAGATTAAAGATGACTTGATACATGACAATAAATACAATGTTGCATTCTGGATTTGACCCGTAGTCAGAAAAAGGACACTATAGGACATTAGTAAGACTTATCTGAAAGTTAGGTAGTTAAGTGTTATATCAATGTTACTTTCTGATTTGGGACACTTCTTTTGTGTGCCAGTTCTGCGGTTGAGTTCAATTGACACTTGCTGAGTTGGTTTTTTTCTTTAGTTGGTAGTGGTACTTGAACTCAAGGCCAGGGCACTATCCTTGAGCTTTTTCACTCAAGGCCAGCATTCTATCACCTTGACCCACACTGCAACGTCCAGTTTTCTGGTGGTTAATTGGAGTTAGAGAGTCTCACAAGCCAGGTGCTGGTGGCTCATGACTGAAATCTTAGCTACTCAGGAGGCTGAAATCTGAGGATCACAGTGCAAAGCCAGCCCAGGAAAATCTGAGAGACTCTTCACTCCAACTAACTCCTAGAAAGCCAGAAAGTGGAAGGAAAGTCTGCAAGACTCTATCTCAATAAACTATTCAGAAAAATCAGGAAGTGGCACTGTGGGTCAAGTGGTAGTGCTAGCTTTGAGCACAGAGAGGCTCAGGGACAGAGCCTAGGCCCTGAGTTCAAGCCCCAGGACTGGCAAAAAAATAAAAATGTCTCACAGACTTTCCTGCCCAGACTGGCTTTGAACTGCAATCCTTAGATCTCAGCCTCTTGAGTAGCTAAGATTATAGGCATGAGCCACCAGCATCCACCTATATTGTGGGGTTTTTTTATTTTTGTTTTTTTTCTGGTCGTGGGGCCTGAACTCTGGGCCTGGGCGCTGTCCCTCAGCTCTTCAGCTCAAGGCTAGCGCTCTACCACTTGAGCCATAGCGCCACTTCTGGCTTTTTTCTTTTTGCTTATGTGGTGCTAAGGAATCGAACTCAGGGCCTCAGGCATGCAAGGCAAGCGCTCTACCACTGAGCCACCTTCCCAGCCCCCACCTATATTGTGTTTTACAGAAAATTAAATCATGTATATAAAACTTACACAAGGGGGCTGGGAAGGTGGCTCAAAGGTAGAGTGCTTGCCTTGCACGCATGAGGCCCTGGGTTCGATTCCTCAGGACCACATAAACAAAAAGAAAAAAGCCGTAAGTGGCACTGTGGCTCAAGTAGAGCGATAGCCTTGAGCTGAAGAGCTGAGGGACAGTGCCCAGGTCCAGAGTTCAGGCCCCATGACTGGACCTCTCAAAAAAAATTTAAAAAAATAAAACTTACACAAGTACTATTATTATAAACATAGGTACTATCATTGCAAATTTTTGTAAGTCTGTTATTTCAAAATAAAGTTTAAAAAATTAAAATATAATGCTATGAATTAATTCAATTGTTTTCTTAAAATATTCAAGGCAACCTTAGAGGAATGAAATATAATAAAATTCATGTGAGTTAAAAATGTAGTTACCATAACATGTTTTATTTAATCAAGTATCTCAAAAATTCTATTGCTAAAATGCAAATCAGTAGAATTTCAGAATATAAAATCATCCAATTGCTTTATAAGCAATTGTAACTGAATTTAAAATTATATCCATTGACCTATTAACTTTTGTGAGGACAGAGACTTCACTCCTAAGACAGATGATTTCCCTCGCATCTAGAAACTCTTCCAAAACCTACCACTGTATTCATTTCTATCTGCTGCCTTTAGTTCTCGCATGAGCTAGAAATTGTAACAGAAAGTAACTGCTTATGCTTTTTTTTTTTTTTTGTCAGTTGTGGAGCTTGAACTTGGGCCTGGGCACTGTCCCTCAGCTCTTCAGCTCAAAGTGCGTGCTCTACCACTTGAGCCACTTCTGGTTTTTTGGTGGTTAATTGGAGATGGGAGTCTCATGGCCTTTCTTGCCTGGGCTGGCTTTGAACCGCTATCCTCAAATCTCAGCCTCCTGAGTAGCTAGGATTACAGGCACCCAGCTATGTATGCTTTAATGTTTAAAAAAATCTTTTCATGTTATAAAATGATGTCTTTGATATTATGTAAGAAAAAGCAAAAGTCAAAAGTGATTAAAAAGTTATATTAACAACCAACCTCAACAACAAAACAGTAATAAAAGGATTGGAAGTAATTACTACATCCATTAGAAGAACAGTTATTTACTTTTTCAGCAGAGCAGCATTGTTTAGCAGAGAAACTACCAGTCTGCAAGTCAGAAGAACTATAGATAGGGTCATCACAGCTTTGTCTTTTTCTAGCTCTGTGGCTAGATGTGGTTTCTCCACATCTCTGGATCTCAAATTCCTCACATCAGCAAAGTGGGCCAAGAAATCACTAAAAGATTTCTCTTCCATTACTGGAAGAAAATTGTTCTTCCTTAATCTATCTTAGCCAAAATCAAACTTGAAAATATTATACTTTTATTAATATACATGATACAAATCAGTAAGAAAATCAAGATGAAGGTAGGCATAACAGTATTCTGTATTTTTCTAGTAACTTTCTTTTTGCAAATTCTTTATTGTGATTAAGTGATTACATAATTTCATAAATTTCACAGTATTATGGGATAGTGATCTTGAAGTCACAAATACGTTCTAACTTTCATGAGGCAAATTGTCTACCATGATCTATAAAGTTTATAAGTTCTATGAGCTTTGACAATACAGTTACTTCTTCTGCACTGGATGATATGTACATTCCTTTCCTTTTATTTAGTGTCAGCTGTTCCCTCTTTCCCACTCACTCCTAGTAACTTTCATAGGACAAAAAATTAAATAAGGAAATTTATGAATAAAACAGTATTAAAATCAGTAGCTATACATATGTGGATTTCATATATGGAAAACCTGTGGATACTGAGAAATCAACTCAAAAGACTTAACGAGGGGCTGGGAAGGTGGCTCAGTGGTAGAGTGCTTGCCTTGCATGCCTGAGGCCCTGGGTTCAAGTCCACATAAGCAAAAAGAAAAAAGCCAGAAGTGGCACTGTGGCTCAAATGGTAGAGTGCTAGCCTTGAGCTGAAGAGCTGAGGGACACCGCTCAGGCCCAGAGTTCAGGCCCCACGACTGGACCCAAAAAAAAAAAAAAGACTTAACGAGTGACCATGTTTAAGCCAAGCATGTGAACCAACATTTATAATCTTAAATACTGGGAAACAGATCTGGAGGACGGCAGTTCAAGGCTAGCCTCAAATGAGTTCTTAGTGAGAATCTATCACAATTAATAAGGCAGATGGTCCTTAATTATACAGGAGGCTGTAGGTAGAAGATCTTAATCTGAGACTAGCCACAGCAAAAACACAAGAAACTTCACTTGGAAAAATAAAGAAAAAAGAGGTAGGGACATGACTCAAGTAGCAAAACATCTACCTAGGAAGCAAAAGACCCGTGAACAAATCCCCAAAACAGATAGCCAACCCCACCAAGCACTATAGGAACATAAAGTTAAAACCCATGTATCTGGAGTTGGGAAATGTGGCTCAGTTGTAGAATGCTTGCCTAGCATGTAGGAAGCCCTGGGTTCGATTCCTAAGTACCACATAAACAGAAAAAGCCAGAAGTGGCCTGTGGCTCAAGTGGTAGAGTGCTAGTGTTGAGTGAAAAGAAGCTCAGGGACAGAGCCCAGGTCCTGAGTTCAAGCCCCAGGACTGACAACAAAACACACACACACAATGTATCTGAGCCCAGGTCCTGAGTTCAAGCCCCAGGGCTGACAACAAAACACACACACACACACACACACACACACACACACACACACACACACACACACACAAAATGTATCTGAGCCCTCAAGAAATTATATGAGAAATCATACATAAGGACCTAGTAATTAGTGGACATTAGAAATCCTTACTCACTTCACTGCTATAATCCAAAGAAACAGGAGAGAAAACAGGATAGGAAGAAAAGGATTCTGTACTGATCTGAAATAAGAGTAGAAAGTTATAAAGGGAAAAAGGGAAAACCAAATCACCCTTCATAAACCACTGCCAATCACCCAAGTTCCTAGATATAACTGCTGGGAAGGGTAGCAAAGAGGAGAAAGAACTAGAACCAATGTCGAGAGCCTATGTGAATCTCAAGGACTAACTTATGAACATCATCACCTGTGAGAAGGACTTAGGGTTGTTTTATCAAACTTATCTGTATACTGAGATAGCAGATAGACCAATTAGAGCATAAGGTCTATCAGAAGCCAAGAGTAAAGCTTAAGTTACTGAGGTAAACTATTTACTGTTTCACATAAACCATTAGCATCAGCAAAGGAGGGATGCTCTTCTTTGGTATGAGTTCCCATAACCTAGACCAAACTTAAAATGTATAAGCAAAAAATTTAAAAGAGAGCAGTAGCTGGGCCCAGTGGCTCACGCCTATAATCCTAGCTACTCAGGAGGCTGAGATCTGAGGATTGTGGTTCAAAGCCAGCCTGGGCAGGAAAGTCTGTGAGACTCTTATCTCCAATAACCCACCAGAAAACTGGAAATGGTGCTGTGGCTCAAGTGGTAGAGTGCTTGCCTTGAGCTGAAGAGCTGAGGGACAGTGCCCAGGCCGAGTTCAAGCCCCATGACCTACCAAAAGAAAAAGAAAAAAAGAAAGCAGCAAATATACCTGACTAGGATAAGGAACTTGTCCTCCAGGAAACTGAGAAGGCATATGTCCTCCAGGAAAGCCACCTACATGTGACAAAACAAACAGAACAACACTCAATTTATACAACTGGTTTTACAGTTGCAACCAGGTTACGTGACTTAATATTTCCAGACAGTGTTGATCACTGTGAATATAGAAACATGAGAATATTCATGCTGTCATTAAATGAGATACTTTAAAAAATATTATGATCTGCTGTAAAATATAATGTTGTGCTGAATGTAAAACCAAGTTGGATCATAAGAGCCTTTTAATATTCCATACTTTATGTAAGTGGTTAATGAGTGTGTGTACTTGTACCACATTTAATTTAAATTCCATCTGGAATAGTTTTCAGGATATACTTCTGAAGGTGGTTTCACTTGTGGTACAGGAGTGGGCAGAAGTTCCTGAAGGATCTGCTTTTGGGCTTTGAGCCAGACTTTTTAACATAACAACAAGCTTCTCATCTCCATTTGATTCATTACATTCTTCTATCAAATAAATTTATTTCTTAAAACTATTTAATTTAGGGGATGGTCACGGAAAGTGACAGAGGAGATGAGATTGATTAGAATAAAGTAGAAACAAGTGTGGGGACACAACAATAAAATCCTGCCCTGTTTAGCTAATAAAAAGAATCTATATATTTATATTTATTTTACAGAAATAAACATTCCCTGAAGAGTATTCAAAGCATAAATTAAGTTCTCCTAGTAGCAACTGAAAGACTGACAGTGTCATGATACTGTTTCTCTCTGGACAACTGGTACCTACCAGGTAGTGGGACCTGAGTTGGACCTCCACTATAAGACTGTGAAGGTGGTTGTGGATAGCCAGAAAAGCCTGCTCCAGCTGGTGGGGCTCCAAATCCTTGTCCTGGAGAAAATTCAGTGGATAGTTTAATTATAGTTCACGTTCTCATGGTTACAGAGAAAACTTTAGAAATATGCCTACTGTTAACAGTAGAAAAGATATGTCAATAATGCTAGAATATCAATACTTTTTGTCTATATTTATCTTCTTACCAACTCTTTCCACATTAAAGAACAAATTTAAGAGCCAAGAATAATGACACACATCCATAATCCCACACTTAGAATGCTAAGGTAGGAAGATCAGGAATTTGAGGCCAGCCTGTGTGAAACAGTGAGATACTGTCTCAAAAAATACATAAATAAAATCTTACTATATTATTTTCCTTTATTGACTTATTACACAGATTGGTAAGGTTTTTTCTTTTTACTTTCAGAGAAAGCTATCCAAATAGTAGTTACTGTCATGCTAAGTGAAATAGTTTAATCTGTGTGTGTGTGCACACACACACACGCGCATGCTTGCTCATGATAGAGAGACAGAGACAGGGGGGGGGGAGGGAGAGGGAGAGGAGAGAGAGAGAGAGAGAGAGAGAGAGAGAGAGAGAGAGAGAGAGAGAGAGACAGACAGACAGACAGAGAGACAGAGAGACAGAGAGAGAGAGAGAGAGCGAACTCAGAGACGGCACTGTCCCTGAGCTTCTTTTGCTCAAGGCTAGAACTCTACCACTTGAGCCACAGCTCCACTTCCAGCTTTTTTGGTAGTTTAGTGGAGATATGGAATCTCATGGATTTTCCTGCCTGGCTGGTTTTGAACCCTGATCATCAGATCTCAGTCTATCTAAGTACTTAGGATTATAAGCTTGAGTCACCAGCACCTGGGCCTTAATCAATTCTTAAGAGTATAAACAATGAAGCAAAGTGGTATATACAGGCCCTTCAATTACTCAAAAAATTAATTCCTTTCATAGCAGAACGTTTTAGCCTGTTCCTAGCTCTCATGCCCTAAGAATCTTCTCAGCTATCCCCAAGCTAAGACAAGTGTGACCTTTCAGAAAACAAGAAGGAATGAAGAGGATAGACGAAAGAAAAAAGTACTTCAGTAGTCTTAAATCACTACTAGTTCTATGATGCATAGCTTACCTCCAGGATAGGATGGAGCTCCCCCTGGTTGTGGGGCACCAGGATAGCCTCCGGGGGCTGGATAGCCTCCTGGTACAGGGTAGCCTCCAGCTCCTGGGTAGCCTCCACTTGGAGCTGGTGGGTAAGCACTTCCTCCCATTGGAGGGAAGCCACTGGGATAGGGATACTGACCAGGAGGGGGAAAAGACTCCTGACCTGCAGGCTAGAAAATAAAAATTTTCAATGAACATGATCATAAATGTATCTCAAAAAAAGCAAACAAAAAAAACAAGGATTAATATTAAGGTTTCTTATTTTGCTTTATTCTGTTTTAAATTATTTATTCATTTTTTAGATAAGGGCGCACTCTACAGCCTAGCCTGAAGTTCAGGATCTCTTGCTTTAGCTTCCTGAGTGCTGGGATTATAGGTATGCATAACTATGCACAGCCTGCCCCATGCCTAGATAAAAAATAAAAAGAAAAAATTTTTTTTTTTTTGTCGGTCATGGGGCTTGAATTCTGGGCCTGGGCGCTGTCCCTCAGCTCTTCAGCTCAAGGTGAGCCCTCTACCACTTGAGCTACAGCGCCACTTCCGGTTTTCTAGTGGTTTATTGGAGATAGGAGTCTCACGGTCTTTCCTGCCCGGGCTGGCTTTGAACCGTGATTCTCAGATCTCAGCCTCCTGAGTAGCTAGGATTACAGGCAGTGAGCCACCGGCACCTGGCAAGAAAAATATTTTTAATTTTCAATAATCTCATTAGAGCCAGGTGTCAGTGCCTCATTCTTATAATCCTAGCTATTGAAGAGGCTGAGAGCTGAAGACTATAATTCAAAGCCAGATCAGGCAGGAATGTCTATGAGTCTTATCTCTAATTAACCACTAGAAAAAACCTGGCCCTGGAGTTTTGGCTCAAGTGCTATCTTTGAGCACAAAAGCTCAGGTCCTGAGTTCGAGCCTTAGAACCAATACATATACACACAAAAATCTCATTAGCTATCCTTTTATCTTACACTAGCTTATTAGTAGTATATTAGTCTGTCAGGAAATATTTTTGTCAGAATTTGGTTAGATTTATTTCTACTTGAGTTAAACTAGAGGATTCTATTTCTGTTTGGGAGAACCAGGTTGTCACTTTAAGGACAACTAACTTTAAGAACAACTAACAGAGCTTGTGAGTTCCCTCATTTTCCTAGCATCTTGAAATATATCTCTCTACCCTAGTGAGAGAAATTCACAGCTCCCTTGCAGCACACTTGAGCCTATGATTGAAGTGGTAAGTCCCTTCACACACAGTGTGCAACATTTTGGATCTCAGTGCAGGCCAGACAGGGCCTAGGAATGGCAGAAGTCAGTGTTCAGGAAGTTCTTTCTCTCCAGACGCAAACCTATACTACATTTCTTAAACCTCCTTTCAGTCAGACAAGACCACATGAGTGAACCCATATGAAAAAATGGTCCCTAAAGCTCTGCCCAATCCTCAGTGCTCTCTCTTGTCCTTCATCTGCCAGCCAGCTGCAGGGGTTCCAATGGAAGATTTCAAGGTACTACAGGGTGGTAGTATCTGAACAAATGAGCCAGGGAACCTGAAGCACTACACAAAACAAGACCAATGGCCCCTATACCATTGGTGATCTCAGGAAACAGGTGAGAAATGTCATTAGTGGTTATGGTAAGAAAAGGAATTATCTACTTCAACAATGAGCCTAAATGACTGAAAATGGTTGCCAGAGTCCAGTTTAAAAAAAGGGACTTACACATTATCACTCACCTAGATGGACCCCTCTTGCTAGTATCCTAAGATGACAGCCCTACTACTTGCAATTATAAAACTGAGTCATTCTTACATATACATCAGAGTAAGTCCAGTTATGGAGTGCAGGGCTAATCCTCTATCACTCTGTAATTTACCTGAGTCAAGCCATTCTTATTTTAAACCTTCTGACACAGTTTAAAAACCAGTATGTACATATGTATGTATGCTTACATACATATCTGGAGGTTAGCATTTAATTTTTTTTTTTTTTTTTTTGTCAGTCGTGGGGCTTGAACTCTGGGCCTGGGCGCTGTCCCTCAGCTCTTCAGCTCAAGGCGAGCGCTCTACCACTTGAGCTACAGCGCCACTTCCGGTTTTCTGGTGGTTTATTGGAGATAGGAGTCTCACGGTCTTTCTTGCCTGGGCTGGCTTTGAACCGCGATCCTCAGATCTCAGCCTCCTGAGTAGCTATAGGATTACAGGCGTGAGCCACCAGCGCCCGGCTAGCATTTAATTTTTTAAAATTTGTATCATGATGTAAAATGCAAGTCTCTGGCTTCCCTTGAAATACTGCCACTGGGTCTGTTTCCCTGCACAGCCTTATCAGGCTATTGTTTAGCAGCCTCCTACTTTCCAGAGATGAAGTGTGGTTTCTCATTCCGCACAGCCCATGTCTTCATGCACTAATCCCACTCAGTGCCTCTGCGCATCTGCGTTTATGACTCTTGCTCTCACACATCTGTAAGATACTTCATTGACCATTCATACATAACATCTGTTTCAGGAATGTGAATACTTTAGTAGCAATACTTACAGGATATCCAGGGAAAGGCGGGTAGCCTGTGGGGGGATAGCCTGGGTATGACATTCTGTAACAATGGTTTAAAAAAAAAGACAAGAAAAAAATCCTATGTAGTTTGTTGTTTTAAAATCTTTGAAGATACACAGAGACACACATGTATACTTCTACGGTAGACATTAACATGAGGCCAGAAACCAGTTAGGATGACTCCATTATTGTTGCAGAATTAAATATTTATTATTTCCTAGCAGACCACCATTAAAACCCCTTCTCTCTCAAAGGAATCACTAGTTAAATTACCTAATATGCTAGCAAGTAACCCAATATTTTACCATTCCTCCTTTGAAATGCCTCTCCTATTCTTTCCATTATTTATATTTTTAGATCAGGCTTCATAACATAAACCTATCTTTCTAAATTGCTTCTCCATTTATACTTCTGCTTAAACTCTCTCACCTTTCCAATTTTCCTGGACACCATCATTACCTGTTCATTTTTTTTTTTGGAGGGGGGAGGTCCAGTCATGGGTTTGAAATCTGGGCCTGGGCACTGTCCCTCAGATCTTCAGCTCCAGGCTAGCGCTCTACCACTTGAGCCACAGTGCCACTTCCGGCTTCTTCTGCTTATGTGGTGCTGAGGATCGAACCCAGGGCCTCATGCATGCAAGGCAAGTGCTCTACCACTGAGCCACCTTCCCAGCCCCATTTTTTTTTTTTAATGCTGCTTTTCAGCCAGGTGCGGTTGGCTCATGCCTGTAATCCTAACACTCAGGAGCTGAGATCTGAGGATTGCACTTTGAAGCCAGCCTGGGCAGGAAAGTCCAATTAACTACCAGAAAACCAGAAGTGGAATTATGGCTCAAAGTCTTAGAGTGCTAGCCTTAAGCAAAAAGCAGCTCAGGGACAGTGCCTAGGCCCAAAGTTCAACCTTGGCTTAAACTTTAATATGGATGTAAATTGCCTGAGGATCTTGTTAAAATGCAGACTCTAATTCAGTAGTTTCAGAATGGGAACTAAGATTCTGCATATCTAGGAAAATGTCAGATGATGCTCATGTAGCAGTGAAAATACTGCATTGTTTTGGCATTTCTAGACCTGCCATTTAGTTTACCATGTGCAGTGGCTCATGTCTGTAGTACCAACTGCTTGGGAGGTGAAGATGGAAGAATGGTGGTTCAAAGTCTGAGCAAAAAAAAAGTTAGAGACTTCCACCTCAATCATTCATTAGTTGGTCACTTGTGATTTCAATTAAGTGAGAAATTGAAGGTAGGACTTGCTCTGAGGCTAGCTCTGGGCCAACAAAACAAAGAAACATACAAAAACTATGAGGCTCTTCCTGAAAAATGACTAAAGGCCTGAGGAAGGGGTTCACGTGATAGAGCACCTGCTTAACAAGTGTGAGGCCGAGTTCAAACCCCAGTATCACTAAATAAGGAAAATGTTTTTGGTGCTTCTTTCCATTATAGGCATCCATGATTCATATTTCTTTTACATCAATATGCCAAACCAACAGTTAAAGTGTATAGCTCAGTGATTGAGTACATGCAGGAGGCCCTGGGTTCAGTGCATTGCATTAAAAAAAAAAAAGACACCAACAACTCCAACTCAGCACTTACCAAAGACCATTCTATAATAAACAGTAACCTAGGTGCTGATAAAAATGATGAGGGGGGGGAATATTCATTCTTTTGAGCATGCAACATTGACATGTTTGCTTTTATAGTGTTCCTTACAATAAGATGATAAATTAGTTATAGAAGCTAAAAGAGATGCCGAATTGAATGGATGCAATTATATTGAATCAAGTTATAAGTTACTAACTAGTAAGATAATACAAAAATTGACCCAGTCAATTCTCAAATTGTCATTTGGAATCCAAAGACCTGAGTACAAAAACAGGAGAAGATAAATGTTTTTTGCTTTCTTTTTCTCTATAGCTGGTCAGAATGAGAGTATGAAGTAAGATGACAGCTTCTAAAGAACAATCAGATATGTTGGGTACTGGTGGCCCACACTATCCTTTACTCTGGAGGCAGAGATCTGAGGATCAGTTTGAAGCCAGTCCAGACAGACTCTCTCTCCAATTAACCGGCAAAGAGGTCAGCATGGAGGTTCAAGTGGCAAAGTGCCAGCTGTGAGTGATAAAGCTGAACAAGAATGGGAGAGTGCAAGGTGCTGAGTTAAAGACCTTGCACCGACACAAATAATAAACAGACAAATATTACTACTAAAATATTAAGATGGACTAAAGGGAAAGGGGCCAGAATTGAAAAGGAAAGAAGCTGAACATAAGTTTTGCTTTTTTTTGGCTTTTGTCGGTTGTGGGACCTGAACTCTGGGCCTGGACACTGCCCCTTAGCTCTTCAGCTCATGGCTAGCACTTGAGCCACAGCATCACTTCCGGCTTTTTCTGCTTACGTGGTGATGAGGAATTGAACCCAGGGTTTCATGCATGCAAGGCAAGCACTCTACCTCTGAGCCACCTTCCCAGCCCCTGAACGTAAGTTTTTAAGATAAATAGTGTAGTTGCAAGACCAAAGACTGCATAAGCAATTTAAAGTCTCAAGAAATTATTCCACAAAGTTATATGTTTACATTTTTGGGGGTAAATTTGACCCTTAAATATTATCTTTAAGGGTCTTATGGAAATATGTCAACAGGATTTTCACAAGAGTGAAAAAAAGCAAAGACTATTTACAAATAATAAAAATTAAAACTTTAATGAATTTCAGGCTGGGAATGTGGCTTAGTGATAGAGTGCTTGCCTAGCATGCATGAAGCCCTGGATTCGATTCCTCAGCACCCTATAAACAGAAAAAGCTGGAAGTGGTGCTGTGTGGCTCAAGTGGAAGAGTGCTAGCCTTGAGCAAAAGCAGCTCAGGGACAGTGCTCAGGCCTTGAGTTCAAGCCCTAGTACTGGCAAGCAAAAAAAAAAAAAGTGGTGAATTTTGGCACGTTGTGAAGAATGTAGTATAAAGGACTAGCATGCAATTCCATTTTCTTTTTTTTTTTTTGTCGGTTGTGGGGCTTGAACTCTGGGCCTGAGCGCTGTCCCTGCGCTCTTCAGGTCCAGGCTAGCAGTCTACAACTTGAGCTACAGCGACACTTCTGGTTTTCTGGTGGTGTATTGGAAATAAGAGTTTCACAGACTTTCCTGTCCGCGCTGGCTTTGAACCGAGATCCTCAGATCTCAGCCTCCTGAGTAGCTAGGATTACAGGCGTGAGCCACCGGCACCCGGCTACCATTCCATTTTCAAGAATGAATATTGTAGAAATACTTCCACAAATGACAAATTTAATGTAAAAAAGCCATTCCTTACAGTGTTATATATAACAGAAAAGTTAAAAGCAATCTAAATATCCATCATTAAGGGACAGATAAAACATTATGAAACTTTTTTCCCCCCAATAAAACCATTTCCAATACATATCATGTGAAGAAAAACAAGGTGAAAACCGCAAATGTAGTTTGCAACATGTTAAAAAGCTATTTTCAAGGAAGTAGAAAACAGTACCTGCTTCCTGGGGAGAGAGCGAGCACAGGAATAATGAAAAATAAATTACTTTCCAGTGTTCCTGTAGAACCTTTAAAAATATGTATGGGCGGGTGCTGGTGGCTCATGCCTGTAATCCTAACTGTTCAGGAGGCTGAGATCTGAGTATCATTGTTTGAAGCCAGACCCAGAGGAAAGTCCCTGAGACTATCTCCAATTAACCACTAGAAAACCGGAAGTGGAAATGTGGCTCAAAGTGGTAGAGAGCTAGCCTTGAGTAAAAAGAGCTTAGGGACAGTGCCCAGATCCTGAGTTCAAGCCCCATGACAACCACCACCACTAGCAAAATATATGGAGTTAGGAGTGATGGTACATGTCAATACGCTGAAGGTGGAGGTAAAGAGGACAGTGGAATGCTAGGGAGCCTAGGGCCATAACTAATTTTTTTAAGGCAAAAAAGGGGCTGGAGGTGTGGCTCAAATATTAGAGGTCCTGCTGGAGAACCTGAATTAAGCTCCAGTACTGCTAAAAAATTTTTTTTTATTTCTATTTTTTGCCAGTCCTGGGGCTTGAACTCAGGGCCTGACAACTGTCCCGGAGTTCTGAGCTTCGTTTGCTCAAGGATAGCCCTCTACCACTTGAGCCAGTGCCACTTCCGGCTTTTTCTGTGTGTGTGTTAGTGAGGATTGAACCTAGGGCTTCATGCATGGTAGGAAAACACTTTACCACTAAGCCATATTCCCAGGCCCCTAAAAACCATTTTAAGTGCAGTATTCTGTATTAAAAACTTTAATTTTTTTTCCAATAAAAAGTTAAATACCCTTAGGGGGGACTTGGCAAACTACTCAACTTTTGCTCAAATGAATAAGTAAACTAGAACTTTTATTTTCTTTTTACCATTCTGTCAGAAACCACTTTTGAGAGAAGCAGAAAATCATTCTTGGTTCTCCAAATTACTTCCACCCAGTGAGTCAGCTCCTAAAAGGGTGGGGTCCTACTATGGGAGTTTCGGATGGCATGAAGCCCAGGAACCAAAAAGGCAGCTGTTGCAAATTTATGAAGGAAAAACAATTCCCCCTCCACCTGCCCCCGCCCCTCCCAAATACTGTGACTTCAACTGGGAAACATCAACAGATCCAATTTTCCAAGACCTGCCTTAGGGTCTGAAAGGAACTGCAGTCTGGTGATTTGGATAAAGAACGTGGAAATTCAGTATGGTTCCAAATAGGCCAGAAAAGTGAACACCCCAAGTAGTATTCCCCGTTCTGTGGCCCAAATGACCTATTCTAACAGTTATGTGATGCCTGAAACACCTTCCTGGTTCCTCATTACACTTTTAAGAATGTAATTAGGACTTTATCAGGCTAACTTGCTATCAGCTGGCAGCAATTAAGGAGTACGAGGCAGTGGGAAAGATATTGCCTATCTGCTTTGTGTCCCCAAAATGGTGGCTGTCAGTCATCTCCTGGAGCACCTAGGGTTCCTTAGAAAGTGTGAGCACAAGAAGGGCTGATCAGCCACACGCTTGTTGCAGGGCAAGGAAACGAATCAGATCTGTAATGCCATTTCCTAGAACGGTTTCCAAGAACTACTGTAGGCTGAGCCAGTAATCGGCGTCAGGTTTATGAAATTCTGCACTAGGCCTCACTAAACACAAATGCCCTAAGTTCCCCTCCGTTTGCTGTGTCACCTACCACACCTGGCTGCTCGGTTTTCCCTAGTGGGCCTCCCCGGAGGTGACTTCAGTAGGGACGTCCTCTGGCCTTTCGCTTCTCCACCCTGAGCCCACCTGTCCTCGGAGGCCGAGGAGCCAAGGCTCCCTCCGACTCAGGCCTCGCCCAAGGCCGTCAGGCCCTCGGGAGCCGCCCTGCCCGGTTACCCCCCAGGCCCGCCGAAGCCACCCCGCCCCGCACGGCCCCTGCCCCGCAGCCGGGGTCTCCAGACCCGCGCCCGAGGCATCGACACCGCTCCCCGCCTCCAACGGGGACGGAGGACCCCACGGTGGAAGGGGGCGGTGGCCGGGGGGAACTCGCGGGCTGAAACGAGCAGAGGGGCGTCGTTCGTGCTCACCTGACCCGGGGAGTAGCGTCACAGCCCGCCCGCTGGTGCGCAAGAGGAAGCCACGGCGGGCGGGACGGGGCGGGGCGGGGCGGGGCCAGACTGCGACCCGGCAGCCGGCCGCACCCGAGCGGGGAACGCCCCCGGGATCCAGCGCGGGAGGGCGGGGAGCACTCACCGTCCCTTGGTAGCCAAGCCGGTTAGGCCACACACCTCCCTACCGAGAAGTTGCCGCCGCTCAACTTTGGGAGAAAAATCTTGAACCTCTAGAGTGGGAAGCCTGGGCAAACTCTATGGCCGACGGAGAAATGAATACTTGTTGTGAATGCTAGATGGTTGGTACTGGAGAGGTACTCATCAAAATATTCCTTCAAACACTGTGACATTTCCCACTCCATCTGTCAAATAGTCTTCCTTTCCTGGATACAAGGTCTTTAGGATCAGAGATGATTTTTTTGTGGCGGTATTGGAGTTTGAATTCAGGGCCTTGGGCTGGGAAGGTGGCTCAGTGGTAAAGCGCTTGCCTTGCATGCCTGAGGCCCTGGGTTCGATTCCTCAGCACCACATAAGCAAAAAGAAAAAACCCGGAAGTGGCGCTGTGGCTCAAGTGGTAGGGCACTAGCCTTGAGCTGAAGAGCTGAGGGACAGCGCCCAGGCCCAGAGTTCAGGCCCCACAACCGGACCAAAAAAAAAAAAAAAGAATTCGGGGCCTTGAGATCACTAGGCAAGCACTCTACCACTGAAGTCCTTTTTGCTTTAGTTTCTTTCCTGGAGGGTCCCACAATTTGGGACCAGGATTCCCCTGCCACCTCCAAGTAGCGAGGGTTACAGGTGCACACGACCATGGCTAGCTTGCTTGTTATGTGGAGTATGGTAACTTTTGTCTTGTCTGGCCTTGCACCATGATCTCTTGAGTACCTTGTGAACAACTGGGATCATAGGTGTGTACCATTCAGTTCTAACCTTGTGAACAACTGGGATCATAGGTGTGTACCATTCAGTTCTAAGCAAGTGAGACTTGAACTCAGGGCCTGGGCACTGTTCCTGAGCTTCTTTTTGTTCAAGGCTAGCACTCTACCACTTGAGCCACAGTGCCATTTCCAGCTCTTTGTTTATGTGGTATTGAGGAATCAGACCCAGGGCTTCATCATGCATGCTAGGCAAACATTCTACCACTAAGCCACATTCCCAGACCCTTACCTTTATTAACCTTACAAACTTATTACAGTAATAACAAAACATGCATAGGAGCTCATGTCTGTTATTCTGGCTATTCACGAGGCTAAGATCTGAGGGGCCCTGTTCAAAGACAGTTTGGGGAAGGCAAATAATGTGACTTTTATATCCAATTAATCACAAAAAAAGCCAGAAATGGAGCTGTGGTTCAAGTAGTAGAGTGCCAACCTTGAACACAACACACATACCCCCTGGAAGGCCACCTTGTGTTCACTTTTCTATAGAAGCTACTTTGCTTCTCTTAATGGGAACACTTATGTCTGTCAGTGCTTGTGCATATACTTTTTATAGTTAGAAAAGTAATTTTATCACTAGTGGACACAACAGAATACTTTCGGTTGGCTGGACACTAGCATTTAATGGGTAGAGTCCAGAAATGGTACTAAATATCCCATAATGCCTATGATGTTTGTAGGATGGTACCCAACATTCTACAATCCCTACAACAAAATTTGGCCCCTAGGGCTGGGAATGTGGCTTAGTGGTAGTGTTCACCTAGCATGCACGAAGCCCTGGGTTTGATTCCTCAGTACTACATACACAGAAAAGGCTGGAAGTGGCACTGTGCCTCAAGCGGTAAAGTGCTAGCCTTGAGCAAAAGAGGCTCAGGGACAGCACCCAGAGTTCAAGACCCAGGACTGGTACAAGCGCACACACACAGATTTGGCCCCAAGTCAATACTGTTGAGGTTAAGAGCTTTCTAAAGAGTAAATTGAATCCCATCATCCTCTTGATTAACCTCCTTTAAGAGCTTCCTGAAATCAGAATAGTCTAAAGTACTGATTAGTTGGCTAGGTGCTAAATACTGGTTCCCTTCTATTCTGTTTTCATCCTCAATGACTTAAATTCTTGTTGCAGATACTTTCTGTCTAAACAAGCTTCTGCCCAACACAAATTCTCAGACTTCTATACTTCCTATTGCTTCTACTTTGAATGTTCTTTACTCTAGCATTACAAATGTCATTCTCTTGGAGGTACACTCTCTGACCAACACTAGTGATATATACATATACATGATCATGTTTTTCTCTATAGAATTAAATGCATCTGAAATTGTGTTTAACATGTCCCTTCCAACAGAATGTAAACTATTAAAACAAGACTATATCTAGAGCTAATAGTAATGTGTTCAATAAATAATTGACCCTCAAAATACAAGCTAGTTTAGTTTTTTAAAATTTTTATTATAAAGGTGATGTACCAGGGGATTACAGTTACATAAACCAGGTAAAGAGTACATTTCTTTTTGGATGTCACCCCTCCCCCTAGTTTACTGTTGATTAAATAAGCAGATGGGGTAGGGTTATCCGACAGGTTTCTTTTTTCTTTTCTTTTGTCTATGTGTTGCACATGTACACATGCCAGAACTGGTACTTGATCTCAGGACTTTTTCTTTTTCTTTTGGGTCCGGTCGTGGGGTCTGAACTCTGGGCCTGGGCGCTGTCCCTCAGCTCTTCAGCTCAAGGCTAGCGCTCTACCACTTGAGCCACAGTGCCACTTCCGGCTTTTTTTTCTGCTTATGTGGTGCTGAGGAATCGAACCCTGCCTATTGATATACAGACAGTATATCCTGCCTATTGATATACAGACAGTAATCTTTGTGTCCCCAGAGACATACCTATTCCGGACATAGCATATTAATGCACTAAAAAAATATATGATCACTTGTGCCTGGCTTATTTTGGGGGGGAGGGACAGGGATTTAGTAGTTTGAATTCAGGGCCTTGGGCTTGCTTGGCAAACCCTCTACCACTTGAACTATACTCCAGCCCTTTTTTCCCTTAGTTTTTTTTTTTTTTTTTTTTTTTTTTTTCCCCTTAGTTTTTATCTGAGCTGGCCTCAAACCACAAACCAGTACTTGTTTTCTTTCTCTTAAAATATTTTCAAAGATCATTTTTGTGTTCAAGCCCCAGGACTGAGTTCCATCCTTGAGTTTTTGGGCTCAAGGATAATACTCTATTACTTGAGCCACAGCTCCCCTTCCAGATTTTTGGTAGTTAACTGGAGATAAGAGTATCACAGACGCCGGGGGGCGCTGGTGGCTCACGCCTGTAATCCTAGCTACTCAGGAGGCTGAGATCTGAGGATCGCGGTTCAAAGCCAGCCCGGGCAGGAGAGACTGTGAGACTCCTATCTCCAATAAACCACCAGAAAACCGGAAGTGGCGCTGTAGCTCAAGTGGTAGAGCGCTCGCCTTGAGCTGAAGAGCTGAGGGACAGCGCCCAGGCCCAGAGTTCAAGCTCCACGACCGACAAAAAAAAAAAAAGGTATCAGGTATAGTTTAGTCTCTCCATCATGAAAGGACACAGTATAAAAGAGCTTTTGTATGCCAGAAAATGAGCCCTCATCAGATATCAGAATGGCTAGATCCTTGATCTTTGGACTTCCTGATTTCAAAAACTCCCAACAAATAAATTTCTTTTTTCTTTTTTTTGTTGGTAGTGGGGCCTGAACTCTGAGACCGAGCACTGTACCTCTTCAGCACAAGGCTAGTGCTCTACCACTTGATCCACAGCGACACTTCCAGCTTTTTCTGCTTATGTGGTGGTGAGGAATGGAACCCAGGGCCTCAGGCATGCAAGGCAAGCATTCTACCACTGAGCCACCTTCCCAGCCCTAACAAATAAATTTCAATAAGCCATCCAGTTTATATTTTTAATAGAAATACAAAAGAACTAAGATCATTTTTAATTCTATTTTACTGATCTATCTATCTCCTATACATTATCATGATTGCTTTAAAAAAAATGGTTTGAAATTTGGATATGTAAGTCCACCAACTTCTCACATATTTTCCTTTATACTTTAACATATCTTAGGGTTTTAGGTAGTGTCCAAATTTTAAAAATGTGGAAACTAAGGCTAACAGAAGTTTACCTTAGGACCAATTTTTTTTTTTTGGGGGGGTCCGGTCATGGGGCCTGAACTCTGGGCCGGGCGCTGTCCCTCAGCTCTTCAGCTCAAGGCTAGCGCTCTACCACTTGAGCCACAGCGCCACTTCCAGCTTTTTCCTTTTGTGGTGCTGAGGAATCGAACCCAGGGCCTCAGACATGCAAGGCAAGCGCTCTACCACTGAGCCACCTTCCCAGCCCAGGACCAAAATTTTTTGATGGTTATCTCAGGAGTCATACTTAGATCTACAGAAATCCAAAGCTGACCTGCCAGCTATGTCTCATCCATAATATGATCCCAATCTACTTTCCAGACTTAATTTATATTAATCCCTTAATGCATTCTCCCATTTTCTGCCTTCAAACTTCTGTTCCCAATGTCCATTTGTAATTCCTTGCCCTCTGTTTTATAACATTTTAATTTACAATACCACTGTCATTTACCAAAATTACCTCTCTTTCTTGATGTACTTCCTCACCATCTAGTCTCTCTTATGTTTCTTATTCCAGATTATACTTTGTAATAAAGGTTTCACTGTATACATATAATTTCTCTTCCTATGTTAAGAATAAGGACCAGAACTCATTCATCTTTCTGCCCCAAAGTAACAATAAATACTACATTTTTGTGTGTGTGTTTGCTTTTTGATGTACTAGAGACTGAAATTATGGGCAATAAGCAAGGATTTTATTACTTAAGCCATACCTCTAGTCCTAAGTAAAGGTTTTGAGTTGGGGGGGAGGTGTGAGGAAAGTGGGAGAAAGCAAGGGAGAGGGCAACAATGTTTGATAAGAAATGTACTCATTATCTTACTTATATAACTGTAATCCCTCTGTACATCACCCTCACAATAAAATTAAATTTTAAAAAATGAATGTTTTGAATGAATAAACACATTCTAACATTTCCCCCACAGAAAAAGAAAAGTACAAATGTGTATGTGTCAGGGAGACAGGTTTTGTGTGTGTGATTGTATGTGTGAATGTCATGGCATGGTTGTACAAATAAATATCTAAGGAATGTCCCAGTCCTAAGAGTATGATTAAAAAAAATAGTAACATGAGAAATTTGTGGTGGTGCAGGCACTTCTGCTGGCATCAGAGAAACCTAATATTGAGGTTTTGTGCAGATGAGAAATACTTGCTAATACTAGAAAAAAAGGGAGGATAATGATTTAAGAGGTCTCAAAGTAGCTAGATGCAGAGGCAAGTATCTTTAGTTCCAGTACTTAGAAGACTGGGACAAGAGAATTGCTAGAGATCTAGAGTTCTGAATCAGTTTGGACAACACACACCAAAAACAAAAACAAAAAACCAAAAAACAGAAAACCTAATTTTATTGCAGGACAGGTGAAATCTGATATACCCTGGGATATGTAGATACAATACCAGGGCCTCTCTCAAGTCAGAATCCCCTCTCCCCCACCCTGCCCAAAAGACAGAGGGGAAAGAGATATTTCTCTAGAACAAATCAAGAAAATAGGATCCTTACAACTTTCTTCGTGTCACCAAAACTTGTTGACTCGAATTAACACTTCCATTTTTAAGCCCAAATTGTTACATCAGAAAGTCTTTTTGAGAAGGAAGATTCAGGTAGTTCTCATTCTTGTTTTCAGTGACATCCAGTTCTATTCAATAGGTATCTTTCACACAAAGGAAACTATTAGGAACTCTAGATTTTTGATTGCTTGATACCAAGTAACTCTAGAAACCTATGTCTAGTCATTACTTTGACTAACCTCAGACTTTTTTTTTCCTTTTGAGATAGTATCTTGCTATGTAGCCCAGGTTAGCCTTCAACTTGAGATCTTTCTGCCTTAGCCTTCTGAGTGCTGGGATTACTGACATGCATCACTATACCTAGCTATGACTAAGTTGTTAGAAATGAGTCACGTAATATTGACGCTCTCATTCACTTTATTTGAGTGATAAATAAAGTTTAGGAGATATTTCAAAGTTGGCCACAATCTGACATCAACAGGGTAACTTCATCACAGTCTTCTCATTTCCCTGGTATCCAGTAAGGATCTGGTTTAGCTATTTAAATACCACCATGTACTATCTAATTGCCTTCCTTTAGCTGGCAAGAAGAGCTTCCAAGAAACATTATGTAGTAGGCACTGCAGTATACTGGCTGCTTGTTGGGATTAGAATAGACCTGTTCAGGTTTGAGGGATGTGAAAGGATTAGCTCCATAGCCAATGATGTGCATATCCAGGTCCACCAGTATCTGTAAAGAGGCTGCCAATTCCTGTTTGCTGTGGGAGAGAAGAAAAATTGCTCTACTATTATGAGAAAAGAGTAACAATTGGTTGAAAGCATGACATTTCTGTACTTATCAAGCCTGGACTAGACTATCCTTTCCTCCCAAATGTCTCACTAAATCTCTAGTTAAGTAGCACAGGTTTTTGTTCCAAGAGAATGGAAGAAGGCAATAGAAGAAAGAACATATTACCCAGACAGAAGAACACAAGAGCACAAAATAAGCTCATCTGGATAAACAGAGAAATAAGCGAATCAGGGAAATATCACAAATAGGAAAAGATCAAAACCTGTAAAGCGTAATCAATGTAGGGATCTCATAGTCACGAAGCAGCAGCAGAGTAGGGAGCCAAGATTCCATCAAGTTTGGGGAAGCATGGAAACCTATAGAACCAGAATGAGAATTGGAATGAAAATTCAAAAAGGGGGAATAGTAGGTGGGGGCGGATTTTTTAGACAGACCTTTTTTTTGGGGTCCGGTTGTGGGGCCTAAACTCTGGGCCTAGGTGCTGTCCCTCAGTTCTTCAGCTCAAGGCTAACGCTCTACCACTTAAGCCACAGCACCACTTCTGGCTTTTTTCTTTTTGCTTATGTGGTGCTAAGGAATCGAACCCAGGGCCTGTGCATGCAAGGCAAGCAATCTACCACTGAGCCACCTTCCCAGCCCCTAGACAGACCTTAAAAACAAAACATTTCTTCAACAGTGCCTGCTCCAATCCTCATGTTACTCTTCCCCAATAACTACCACCACCATCATCATGATCGTTCACAAGATTCTGTCCCCCCCCAATTCTAAACCCGAGTGTAGTTTATATGTGAAATAATCATCAAATTATTGTGACTAATGAGATCAAATAAAAAGGGTTCCAAAGAAGATGTAAGAAACAGGATGGAAAATTCTCAAGGGAAGCACCAAAGATTTCTCTGATATCAATGGCTCTTACCTGGATGGAATGCTACGACCATATCTGGATGGGCTACATGTCCAGTCTCTACCTGCTCCTCCCAGAAGTCATGATAGAGTCCTCTGTGGCCACCAAGCTGAACTGTGCCAGGTTCCAAAGATGAAGCTGAGGTGCTCTGTAAAAAGTCAGTAGCCACATCCACACCTACCATGATTACATGGAGGCCAAGGTGTCCAGGAAACATGTATCCAAGCTCATCATAGTCCCCAGAACGAGAGAGAAGTGTCTCCACATGGGAAGCACCAGCCACATGCAATGTGCATCTCCCAGTCTTCCCAACATCTATCCCCAGGGCCCTAAGCCCTAAGCCCAGTGTCAAGGGACGTGATATAACATCTGTTAGCAGCCGCTTCAAAGAACCCTGTAGGACATCTGGATCTGGCCTTGGCCTTCCTACACTGGCCCATAGAGTAGTCATAGCATGACTACCTAGCACAGCATCCAAGATAGGATCCAGCTGTAACTTCCTCATAGAAAACCAGGTATCCCAGTCCCGTACAACTTCAGCGGGCCATGGCCAAGGTCCTGATGGTAGGACAAAATCACCTAAGGGGAAGAAGAAATAAGAAGTCACCTAATCTTTCCTGGCTTCAAAATTTCATTTCTCACTAATAATCTATGTTCACTCTGCTCTAATTCTTCATTTTTCCCTATAATAATATGCTTTCATATTTTTATTCAAGGATAACCATTTATTTTTTTGGGTCCGGTCGTGGGGCCTGAACTCTGGGCCTGGGCGCTGTCCCTCAGCTCTTCAGCTCAAGGCTAGCGCTCTACCACTTGAGCCACAGCGCCACTTCTGGCTTTTATTCTTTTTGCTTATGTGGTGCTGTAGAATCGAACCCAGGGCCTCAGGCATGCAAGGCAAGCGCTCTACCACTGAGCCACCTTCCCAGCCCAAGGACAACCATTTATGACCATTAGGGCAAGGTTCCAAACACCAGCATTCCACCTGTGACCAGGAGCCATTCCATGAGACGATCCACAGCCACGAGACGAAGTTCTTGACAAACCCTTCTGTGTTCTGGCCAATCTGATCTTTGGCATTCTGGACCACAGTAGTAGACATTTCTGCACCTGAGGGAATTGACCACAGAAACAGATGTTCCTATACCAATAAAATATACTCTGGGATACTTGCACCTAAAAGAAACATCACTGAATAGGGAAAGATGGTACAGCAAGGAGCAACAACTGAGGAAGTACCAACTGTAGAAACTGCATTGGCAGGGGAGGCAGACGTGATTTGAGATGCAATTATTATGTAAGAGTTACCTCACACTCATCAGGAACAACTGAATTTTTACATCTTTTTGGGAAAAATAAAACAGACTTTGCAGCTACTCTCTTTTATTAGGCATAGTTTAACTTTAACTTCCCCAGAAGATTGTAGCTTTAACCACTGAGGCTTCAAGAAGAGAGTAGGTAAGTGTCTCGTCTCATCACCCACACCAACAAAACGATGAGGGATTAGAACTGTGTTCTAATTTCTCTATAGATTGTGTTACACAAAATCAAGAATAATCTTTTAGGTATTCTTAAAATTCTCAAACCTTTCCTGTTACAATGAAAACTCAGTATAGGGTTACTTCTAAAAGTCTCCCCTATTAGCATACCACAAATCACCTCTTACAGTGTCGGAGAACCTTGTAGTCTGAAAGGCCACTAGGCAGTGCTCTACAGTAAGCACAGAATCGGAACGTGTCCTCCATCTTTTGGAACATTTCTTTAGGACATCGAAATCCAAAGCCTGAGGCAGGGGTTCCCCCATCTACTACCAACCTGTAGAGACAACATAGAAAAAAAGTAGTGCAAGAAAGAGTGTCTCTAAAATCTCTCAGATCCCACCTTGTCTCCTATACATTTTCACGTACTCTTTCATTTTATATCATTTCTTACTTAAGCAAATTATATCTTCTGTGGCAATATATTTGTCAAAAGTCAAGATGAGAAAATCCCTTATTAGAAATATCCCATATATACCTTTTCTAGTCACTTCTACTAAAGACAGTAAGTCTCACTTCCACAGAGTTGGTCACTCACTTAAATTCATCATAGCTTTTCATGTTCAGCTTTTCAAGGATCAGCTGGGACAGACCAGGAACATTACTGTCCAAGGAGAAGAAGCCAAGAGCATCAATGCTAGGACCAGATTTTGAGAGCGTCATTGCTACAGGAGTCACAACTGTGGGTGCGTTCACAATCACAGAAGCCTCTGACAGAAACTTCTTGTGCCTTCGTCTCCGAGAACGTGGAGCCATGGCCTGTCCAAAAATACATAGGGACTATATTCAAAACAAATCTAGAGTGAAATTTGGCAAACTAGACAAATGATAACTTTAGATGCTTGACTTTTTACTTCTCATTCCAGTTTCTTAGACACAGATCAGTATAGTTTAGGATTTTTGTATTATTGATCACTATAGGCAAGTGTGAGAAAGATTAGCATTGTATATATATGAATATAATTTACATGTATGTTGAAGATGAAGTTCTATAAATAGACATTACATGCATGGAGAGGGAAAAACTGGGAGATAGAGGGGGAAGGAGTGACGTCCAAAAAGAAATGTACTCTTTACCTGACTTATGTAACTCTTCTGAATATCGCTTTTATTATAATAATTTAAAATTTTAAAAATGCATAGAGAAAGATCTAGCAGAACTCTAAACAGTGATTAACTCTGAATAGGGGAAGAATGCAATGGGAACTGGACTGATCAGGAAGACTTCAAGCTTCTCTGTAATGTTTTTTCTTTTGGTCCGTTGTGGGACTTAAACTCTGTACCTGGGTGCTGTCCCTTAGCTATTCAACTCAAGGCAAGCGCTCTACCACTTGAGCCACAGTGCTACTTCCAGTTTTCTAGTGGTTAATTGGAGGTAAGAGTCTCACCAACTTTCCTGCCCTGGCTAGCTTTGAACTGTGATCCTCAGATCTCAGCCTCCTAAGTAGCTAGCATTACAAGTGTGACCTACCAGTGTCCAGCTAATTTTTTTTTTAAACCAGGGCTGAGAACCGAACCCACGGCCTTGGGCATGCCAGGCGGGCGCCCTTCCGCTGGGCTAAACCCCCAGCCCCTATGTTTAATTTTTTATAAGGAGAATATATTAGTAATAGTATGTGTGTATGTGTATACAAAAACATGCTGATACCAAGTCTTGAACTCAGTGTCTCAAGTTCTTACTCGGTTTGCTTGCTTAAATGGTATTCTGCCACGAGTCATACCTCTAGTTCTACACTTCACTGATTAATTGGAGATGGACTCTTTCAGATTTTTCTGCAAGGGCTGACTTTGAACCTCGATGCTCAGATCTCAGCCTCCTAAGTGGCCAGAATTACAGGCATAAACCACAGGTGCCTCGTAGTATACAGAAGCAACCAAAGTTTGGTTATCCAAAACTCCCACCAACTGAAGAATTAGCTAATCTAATCTGGTTGAAGAGATAAAATGTTTATCAGCCACAGTGCTGGTGGCTCATGCCTGTAATCCTAGCTACTCTGGAGGCTGAGATCTAAGAATCATGGTTCAAACCCAACCTGGGCAAGAAAGTCCGCGAGACTCTTAGCTCCAAGAAAACTACCAGGAAACCAGAAGAGGTGCTGTGGTTCAAGTGGTTGAACACTAGCCTTAAGCTGAAGAGGGACAGCACCCAGGCCCAGAGTTCAAGCCAGACTGACCAAAAAAAAAAGAAAGAAAGAAAAGAAAAACATTAAATCAAGAAATGCAAATTAAATGCAAACCAAAAGGAACAACATAAAATGCTAAGAGTTATGTAGCAAAAGTAAATCAATTAAGGCCATATTCATCTACTACCTAGCTGAGACACTATGATACCCAGCTTACCTGCCTCATCTTCTCCCATAATTTTCACAAAGGTTGAGTAGACAGAAGAGACCACAGCGGAAAAGTTTTAAACATTCATTAATTCCACATATATTTATTAATTTACAGATAAAATCCATTGCAAAATATGAAATGGAAACAAATATATAGAGAGATCTTTGCTGGTGAGGGTACATGCCTGTAAACACAATGCTTGGGAGGCTGAGGGAGGTGAATTACAAGGTCAAGGTCAGTCTGAATTATATAGTAAACTTTGTCTCAGAAAAAAAAAGGAGGTTTGGGAAGGTGGCTCAGTGGTAGAGCGCTTGCCTTGCATGCTTGAGGCCCTGGGTTCGATTCCTCAGCACCACATAAACAAAAAGAAAAAAAGCTGGAAGTGGCGTTGTGGCTCAAGTGGTAGAGCGCTAGCCTTGAGCTGAAGAGCTGAGGGACAGCGCCCAGGCCCAGAGTTCAGGCCCCACGACCGGACCCCTCCCCGCCCCAAAGAAAAGGAAAAAAAGAAAAATATACATTTAATCTAAATAGTGAGTTTATATATAAACAATAAGGTACTATATAAATCCTCTAGTGAAAATAAAGCCATAATGGGAAATGAGGAGAGATTCTGCTTAGTAGGGTCAAGTATGTTGGAAGACTTCATGAAGCAGGTAGCAGTTGGAATTAATCTTGGATTTGATACTCTGAATGAACAAAATGGAGAAAAAGGAATTCTAAGTACAGAGAGGTATTCAGCATGACTGTAGAAATGAAGACAAGAACAATTTGGGAATAAAATACTTGACTTGAGTTTGAAGATGAAGTCTAAAAACTTAGAAGTAAGAACTAAAACTATAAAAGTAGTAGAAGAAAATCTACGAGGGAAGCTTCATTACATTGACTTGCTAACACTTTCTTAGATATGACACCGAAAGGACAGGCAACCACAATGAAAAAATAAGACTAAAAGTTAAAAACTTTCGAGCATTAAAGGACACTATCAAGCAGGAGGTATAGGATCAGCGGTACTGGGTTCAATCCCCATCACTCCCCAAAATAAAAATAATAAAAAGACATTATCAGTCAAGTGATGGTGGTTCACATCTGTAAGCCTTGCTACTCAGGAGGCTGATATCTGAGGATCACATATCAAAGCCAGATGAGACAGGAAAGTCCATGAGATTTTTCTCCATTTAGCCATCAAAAAGCTGGAAGTAGGGATGAGGCCCAGATAGTTGAGCTCTGGCATTGAACACAAAAGATCAGGGACAAGCCAGGCATTGGTGACTCATGCCAGTAATCTTATCCATTCAGGAGGCTTGAGGACTGATGTTCAAAGCTAGCCAGGGAAGAAAAGTCCCTATCTCTAATTAACCACTCAAAAACTGGAAGTGGAGCTGTGGCTCAAAGTGGAGCACTAGCCTTAGGACTGGCGCGCGCGGACGCACGCGCGCACACACACACACACACACACACACACACACACACACACACACACACACACACACACACACACACACACACACACACACACACACACACACACACACACACACACACACACACACACACACACACACACACACACACACACACACCCTAATAGAATGAAATGACAACCCACAAAATGGTAAAAATATACAAACAAGAGAATTAATATCTAGACTATATAAAGAACTTCTATAAATCAACACCAAAAAAGAATATAACTAAAATCCAACTAAGTATTTGAATAAACATTTTTTCCAAATATATACAAATGTCCAATAAACAGAGGAAAATATGTTCATAAGTCATTAGGAAAATGCCAATTAAATTACAATGAATGCTGAATAGGGTGTCTCTCCTATAATCTCAGCTACTTGGGAGGTAGGTATTAGGAGGATTTGAGCTGGAGGCCAGACTAGACAAAAAGTTAGTCAGAGCTCATCTCAATAAGCCAGGCATGGTGGCCTACCCCTGAGGTCACATCTACACAGGATACCACAGGTTGAAAGGTCATAGTCTGAGGCTGGTTAGGGCAAAAATTTGAGACTTTCATCTAAAAATACAGAAAAAAATGGCTGAGGAAGACACAAAAGTGGTAGAATATTTGCCTAAAAAGCATGAGATTCTCAGGTAAAATTCTTGTATTGACAAAGGAGAAAAATTTACAGTAAGGTATCAGTTCACACTAACTAGGATGACCATTATTTTTTAAAAACACAGAAAACAGTCAATGTTGATAAGGATGGAGTATATAGAGCAATCAAGTTTTATGTACTGCTAGTGGTGAGAATGCAGGCATTATGAAAAAAATAGTAGTTCTTAAAAAACTTAGATATATAATTAAGATGTGATCATCAGCAATTTTATTCATAGGTATATACCTCAGTTAAACTGAATATTTTAACAAATGTGTGTCTATGAATGTTCACAATAGCACTATTCACAGTAGTCAAAAGGCAGAATGGATAAGCAAATTGAGATTATAGACACACACAGAAGACACACACAGAAGATACTGAGTAACAGCCATAAATACCGATACATGCCACACTGTAGATGAACCCCCCAAAACTTAAAAAAGCAGCCAAATGATTACTTGTTACATTACTCCATTTATATAAAATATCAAGACTAAGAAAACTCAGAGAGTTCAGAAGGCAGAATGATAGAGACAGAACATGGGGATTAACTTTCACAATTACAGGGTTTTCTTTGGGAGTGAGAAAAATGTTTTGAAACTACATGGAGTGGTGTTTACACAAGACTGTGAATGTTCTGATTGCTAGCTTTAAAAATATTCATTTTGTTACACGAATTTCACCTCAGTTAAGGAAGAGAGGTAGGAAAGGAAGGAAAAAGGAGGGGGAAAAAAGGTATCTATAGACACTGAGGCTAAAAGTTATTAATATCCAGACCAACTGCCTCCACACACAAGGAAATGACACAAGATAAAAACAGTGGCAGTGTTTGGTTTTACTGTGAATAAGTTATCAAGTTCACCTTGGGGATCATGTTTTGCTATAAAAATGGCCTGACATTTCATCTTTCTAGACCAACTTTGTTAAAGGAAACCTTCAGAAAGTATCTTTCACTTGAAACAATTTTAGGGTCTTAAATCCCAGGATTTCTAGTAACTATTTTCTTAATGGTAAATAACTAAGCCTTTTAGTTGCAATGGAAGCCAGTCAAAAGTAAAAAAGGACTGCCTCAACTGCATTTTCCAAGATGTCTTCTTCCAATAACGGAAGAATAACTCTTGTCAATTCGAAGGTTGGTTGAACTGGTTAGAAGTTAAAGGGAGCATAATGCTTGGGGAAAAGAAGTGGTCACAGTGAAACCCCTAATGTGATAAGACTTCTCTAGTTCTAGAACACACTGATGGACCCACAGTACGAAATGTGGTAGCATTCTGGCAGGAAGACAAGAAAGTAGCAATGAGGTGTTTTCATTTCTTTCTTTTTCTTCTCCCTTCCTTTCTATTTTTCTGCCTGCCTGCCTGATTTTGTGTACTCCAGGGCTAGGTGCAGCATCTTTGGTTCTAACTTTTCCACAAAAGGCCTTGGTTCGTTCCTCTAAGTTATAAGCCCCTTAAGAAGCAGAGAAATAAAGCAGAGGGGGCATCCAAGAGTAAATCCAGAAAGAACTGCAGTAAGCACTAAGAACTTTGTCAGAGTTCATTCTACCCTACTTTATAGAAAAAGAATCACTTTTTCTAGCCATCCTCAGTGACTGAGGCATTTAATTTATTCTCAGCACGTAAAAACAAAATCCAAAAACAAAAAAATCAAGTCTTTGTATGACATAAAAAATTGCTGAGAAATTTACTTGGATGTCTAGAAAAAGTCTACACTTCATCTCAAAATTAAAAGTTGAAGCATTAACCTATTCCCAGACAAAAGTCTCTCCTATATTTCTTCTCTTCAACAAAAAAGCCCTGACTTTTCACCTAAGTCACAGTAATTTTCTCATCATCTTCATACCAGAAGGTACCTAAATTTCTCTACCAACAGACACAAAAACAACTTCAGAAGTGAAGAGAAGGGGGGATGAGGCTGCTCACTAAGGATCTTCAAAAGGGCTAGAAAAATATTGAAAAAGGGAATACATAGGGCTGGGAAGGTGCCTCAGTGGTAGAGTACTTGCCTTGCATGCTTGAGGCCCTGGGTTCCATTCCTCAGCACCACAAAAGCAGAAAAGGCCAGAAGTGGCACTGTGACTCAAGTGGTAGAGCACTAGCCTTGAACTGAAGAGCTGAGGGACAGCCCCCAGGCCCAGAGGTCAAGCCCTGTGACCAACCAAAAAAAAAAAAAAAGGAGGGGGGGGGGGGCAAAACATAAAGAAGATGGCTATTATGACTCTATTCAGCTACTTAATCAGTGACTAACACTCCCTGGGGTGATAAATACTTTACTCAATTATAAACTAAGCAGACAGGTTGATGAAAAAGTAACTTACCCCTGCTAAGCCCTGGGCTTTCTTCCTTCTCTCTTTCCTCCAAGTGAAGTGAATGCTTGATCTCCTCAGATCCAGACTGGGGTTTACTTGCAGCTGTTCCTTCATATCATTTTCTCTGCAAACTGCTGAAATGCTAGGTCTCAGTGATTAAGTATACCCTAACAACCAGACAGACAAGTCTGAATTCTCTCTAATGAGGCAAGTAAGGATCTGGACCCTTGCCTGAGGACTACTCTCCTTCTGATCCTAATTATCTGCCAAGATAGCTCAAGATACTGTCAACACTCCCAAACTCACCAAAAGCCAGGCAAGTTGAGGAAAGATGAAACCTACCTGGACTTCTTTCAAGAGAGTATTTCTGTTCTCAGTTTACAGCTTCAGAAAGGACAAAAATCTCTGGGGATTAATTAAAGAGGCAATATTTCATCAGAAAAGGAAAGCATTAGTACAAAGTCCTAGAGTTTTTGGATGCCCTCTAGACCTAGGATGAGTTCAAGACCCAAATCCTTTTTTTAGCATAATAAACACTGGTGAAACATAAGTCAATAATAGCCAATCTAAGCTTAAGTAAAAATAAAATTACCCAAAGAAAGCAGAAGAGAAATGGTCATTTGATGGTATAGAAAGAACTTAACTGAAAGGTAAATACACAGAATTAGTTTGCAAAATTAACTTTTCCAAAAGGAAATAACAATGTATTATTTTAAACGAGTGTCATCAATGACATACTACTTCCTTATTTTAAGAATAATTCTAGAATAGTAAAATAATTAAAATAATTTTAGTTAATAACTAAAAATACAGTTTCTAGGAACAGAAAATAGAAAAAAACTATCTCATTCTTTCATCTTAGCTACTTTACACTTTAAAGCTTGAGTTGTAGGCTATATCAAAACATGTTGGAGTAGTGGTCCTATATTAATGACTAAAAGGCTTGACTTCTGTTTATATTTGATCCTAGCTGTCACTTACCTGCTTCTGTGAATATCATATCAAAGTAGGAAACAAAACCTCTGGCAATGAGGTCCAGATCAAACAAATCCACAGTTTTGTCACAGAAAATGGATTTCAAAGGAACTCCAAATTGTACAAAAAATAAATTATAAGCAGGGAAGGTGAAAGAAAATATTGAAACATTACATAAATTACATAAACACTATAAACACCATATAAATTATGTCAAAAAGCTGTGAACAAAGAAAAATCAGTTATGGTATGCATCAACTTTGGTTAAATATGGGTGATTCTCTTTTGTTGGGCCAGTCTCGGGGCTTGAATTCAGGGCCTAGGTCCGGTCTGTGAGCTTTTTTTTACTCAAGAAAAATGTTCTACCACTTGACTCACAACTCCACTTCTGGCTTAATTGGAAATAAGTATCTTACTAACTTTCCTGCCTAGGCTGGCTTCAATCTACAATCCTCATGTCTAAGCCTCCTGAATGTGTAAGCCACTGGTACACAACCTTTTGAACAAAGATTTCAAGCCAACTTCAGCCTTAACTAGCCTCAAAATTAAACTATGAATCTTAAAGAGGTTATAAGCTCTGTTACTATGGCTGAATCATATAAGGTTTAAGAGGTATGGGATTAAGACTTTGCTAATTCAAAGTGTCACTTTTAGCTGGGTACCTGTGGCTAGTCTTGGACAAAAAAAGTTCAGGGACAGCACTAAGGCCATGAGTTCAAACCTAAGGAATAGCAAAAAAAAAAGAATTGTCATTTTGCTGGGCATTGGTGTCTCACATGTATAATCCTATCTACTCAGGAGACTGAGATGTAAGGATTGAAGTTTGAAGTCAGCCCGGGCAAGAGTCCCTAAGACTCAGGGCTGGGAAGGTGGCTCAGTGGTAGAGTGTTTGCCTTGCATCCATGAGGCCCTGGGTTCAATTCCTCAGCACCACATAAGCAGAAAAAGCTGGAAGTAGTGCTGTGGCTCAAGTGGTAGAGTGCTAGCCTTGAGCTGAAGAGCTGAGGGACAGCGCCCAAGCCCAGAGTTCAGGCCCCATGACTGACCAAAAAAAAAAAAAAAAGTCTTATCTTAAAAAAAAAAAAAATACTCATCTTCAATAAACTATTCAGAAAATGCCAGAAATGGTGTTATAGCTCAAGTGCTAGAGCACTAGCCTTGATCAAGAAGAAGAATTTCTGGAACAGCACGCCAGGTCCTAGGCGAAAGACAGAAAAAGAAAGAAAGACAGAAAAAGAAAGACAGAAAAAAAGAAAGGAAGGAAGGGAGGGAGGGAGGTTGGTCGGGAGGGAGGGAGGGAGGGAAAGAAAGGAAAGAAAGGAACAAAGGAGGAGGCTATAATGCTTGATAAGAAATGTACTCATGGGGCTGGGAAGGTGGCTCAGTGGTAGAGCTCTTGCCTTGTATGCATGAGGCCCTGGGTTCGATTCCTTAGCACCACATAAGCAAAAAGAAAAAAAAAAAAAAAAGAAATGTACTCATTATCTTGCCCATGTAATTGTAACCCCTCTGTACAGTATTTTCACAATAAAAAAAAGAAAGAAAAAGAAGTGTCATTTTTTAATATAAAGGGGAATGACAGAAAAAAGTGGTGTTCATTTTACCAGTATTGCGACTCACATTGTTAGACCATTTAAATAGTAACAATTCAGAAAGATCTGAAGTTTTCACAATTTTCATTCATTATGAATTGCAATAAAATGAAATAAAATACCTTTCACACTGGGCTGGGAAGAGACTCAGTGGTAGAGTGCTTGCCTTGCATATATGAGGCTTTGGATTCAATTCCTCAGCACTACATAAGCAGAAAAAGCCGGAAGTAGCACTGTGGCTCAAGCAGACTTGAGCTGAAGAGCTGAGGGACAGAACCCAGGCAGGCCCAGAGTTCAAGCCCCACAACCACCAAAAAACAAGCAAATAAAGTACAACAACAACAACAAAAAACCTTACATACTTAACAAAGGTTTGTTGTGAAATAAGTGATGAAGATAGGCTACAAGGCCAGGCATGGTGGTGGCTCATGTCTGTGATACTAGCACTTAGGAGGCTGAAGCTGGAAGATTGTGAAGTTCAACATTCTGGGCTACATAGTGAGGCACTGTGGAAAGGAAGGAAGGAGGGAGGGGTTGGAGAAGGAAAAAGAGAACGAGACAGACAAGTAAAAAAAAAAATCCTAACCAATAGATTAGAAACTGTAAGGTTAGGGTAAGAGATCCTATGATGATTATATACTTTTTTTTTCTGAGTTGTTCCTTTCTTTTACTTTCCTCATCTTTCTTAAACATCAAGCTATAATTCCTCTAGTTTGCTTCATGCTTACCCCTAATTACCACAAACACTATAAAAACCTAGTGATGAATCTAAGAACTAAGGAAGTTCTAGTCTCCAATATACTATTTAAGTTCCTATTTAAAATAGTAACATAAAGAAATATACCTTAAGGTATAGAGTATATATCAGAGGCAATTCATGGAGGTTTGCAAATTGATATTACAGAACATAAAAGTTGCAAAAGTCAACACTTTAAGAAATTTGGTTTGTTTGTGGAATCAGAAAAAATACATATACTATGTAGATTAAGACTTTATAATGTATATTATTGTATAATTATTTAAAACGTAAGTAAATTAAAGTTATATTCTAACGTGAGCAAAACTTTCAAAGTCCTATACTTACTTTGATTATGGAAATGAATTAGTATGATTGTAGGACAATTATATTTCCTGCTTACTGTTAGAATACTCAAAAATACCACAAATACATTTTCTTTCCAGTTAAAGTTAATTAAAATAATGACATCAACTATTAGATTAAGGAGGCCTATTGTAGGCATCCTAAGTCCTCTAGTGTCAGCTACTCAGATAAAGCAAGTATAACAAAAGTTTAAGGGGAAAAAAACCCCAATATTATAAAGAATTTAATTAATCAAATCACCACCAACTGTAATCTTCCCTGGAGGATATCCCAGCCCATTAACAGAATTTTTTGATTTCATAGAATGTTCAAATCAAACTATCTTCCAAATAAAACCCAACACAGAGATAGGAGCAGCGGCCCATGCATGGAATTTATTGTGTGCTACTGGTTATAAAATACTCAATTAGTCCTGCACATGCATAATATTTCCAACTTAGACAGGAGACCATACAGGGTGCACTTTCTGGCAAACAAAACAACGGATGGTTCCGCTGCCTGGAGCTCTGAGTTGTATTCCAGGGCATGAGGGAAGCAGGCCACCAAAGTAAAGGGGAGTACCAAACTACAGTGGCAATCAATACAGGTCAATAATTGTGTAAAATTATAGCACATGGTTCCATTTAGTTTAACCAAGCAGTTCTGTAACTATTAGAAGAAAAATTTCACATGCAGTCTTGACTTATGCTTCCACTAGCATCTGAAGGACTGAACAGAACCATTGCTTCTAGGCTGCATTGCTTAATCAAAAACATTTTCAGAACATTTTAAAATTTCCTCTGCATTAAAACATAAAAAGGATAGGAAGCCAGCAGCAAATCACCCTGGTGGCTATTTTAGCAACTCACGATAAACTAAAATTTCGCATAACATCTAGGTAACCTATATATGTCGTACCTGTACATCATAGGTCTATATATTAAATATTTGCAAAATGAAAACATGCATACACAAAATACGTCAAGTTTTACAGACATGATTTCAATTAAAATTTACTTTGACAATGTACAAACTTCTTTTAAAGTACCTTAAATGAGTAATTCTGTAATTCATTAATTTTGAAATTTAGAGGTTTTCTTCTTAAATCTCTGGGGTATAAATCTCAAAAGATCTGGGCAAAAAAAGACTCTAGTTTTTGGATTTGGGTTCAAGTAAAAGAGTCTTCCTAGAAATAGTCTGAGCATTCATAATTGAAAAATACCAAGACTGTATTACAGAATTAGCCACATTTAAGAACTATAGACCTGAGGTTAGCATTTTGTATAAACGCCAACTGGATTTCTCAGCATTTTTTCCTACAATTCAAAATACAGCTAGTAACCTCAGAAATATATTTTAAGACCATGCGAATTCATTCTTTAATGACATTTCATGGGGGAAAAAAAGTTCACATTAATTCTTAGGATTGCATTTGAAGTCATGGTTGAAAAAAAAACAAACAAACCTAATTCTACTGAGAGGGGAAAAAAAAGGTATCTCATTTGTAAACTTAAATGTGTGAACCACAAGCATAAATGGAGGTGTAGATACCCTCCACTGGAAATTGCCTCAAGCCCCTTGCTCACTGCTCTCCACCTAGGCAGCAATGACCAAATCTTATCAGATAGCACATGTCCCAGGGCCCTCAAGCCTCCATCCAGGAAGGGGGCTAAGGTTTTAAAAAGCACAATGGTTTCTTCAGAGGGATTGTGACAGTTATAGTCAGATTGGCTGAACCCTCCAGCTCCTCGGGTGATCAGTCCATTTGGGGCCCGAGATATGAGAGTCCCTGGGAAGCTGCTGGTCACTGGGCACTATGGTTGCCAGTCCCGTGGTTCTCAGTGGCATGTGCGGTGTTCAGAGAATTGAAACCATCTTGCTGTACTGCATCTTTCCGAGGTGGCATTCTTTCATTGATCCTATCCAAACCCTTTGCCTCTTCAAAACTGCAGATTCTATGTGGTGGAGAGAATCCTCGTATTGCTTAACAAAATGCAAATTTGATAAGTCAGTAATTATAAAACAATGCTGAGATTTAAAAAACATAACTAATGATTCTTTAGAAGAAAGAAATTAGCTTTATATAGCAACAGAACTTAAATCTTACTTAACTGTATCCTGTCCCCATTTCAGTCTTCCCACTTAAATATGAAATGCTTAAACCTAAATATCAACATGATTGCTTTATAGATGACAAGCATTAGCCTAGCTTTAAAAAAAGAAAACACAAAAATGAACCCTCCCAGCCCACGATATCAACCTGTGGGCAATGGTCTCTGGGCATCAGTGTGCCAATTATTTCCTACCCCAGATCCTAAGATTACAGTGACCACCACAGTAAGGTACCAACAAGAGTAGGGGTGAGGAGATTAAACAAGATTAATCCTCGGTATATAAATCCATAC